ATCTTAAAACTGTGAGACAAGTTTGATGATGCTCATTCTAGTGATGCTGATCAAGAATATATATACAATGTAGGGTCTGAGATGTTTCCTTAACTGCGTTGCAAAATATAATACCCTCTAAAATTATAATACCCTCTGCAAGGGTATAAAAACAGGACCGATTGCATCGACTGCCAAACGCAAACGGTTTTTTTCATCTTAAGATGTACAAATTCTTATTTCATGTTTGTCTTTTAATAGAATTTTGTCTTTTTTGAAAGTATTTTGTTTATTGGCTAGCCAATTTTCCGACAGAAACAGAGTAGACAAGAGGAAAAAACTGTTTTGCCATGAACTCCAGTCGGGCCGCATCACATCACCCCTCCACTGCCTCTCATCCACACTCACGCAGCGGAGAACGTCATCTCCCATGCTTTCGTAGCATCCGTCGGAAACAGAGCAGACCAGAACAAAGATACCAAGTCAGGCCACGAGCATAACGTGCAACTTTCCAGCTTTCGCCGCAATCAATTTTACGGGTGCACAGCAGCAGCAACCAGAAACAGCTTAAAATGCGGCAGTGGAATTAGAGCAACCCCGAGCACGGCCACGCCAAACCACTCAACAACCACCCACCTCCCACCTCCCACCACCCACCACCCAGCACCCCACAGGCGTTGAACACGACGAGAGAAAGCGGAGCGCACGTGGTCCTGCTCACATGGAGGTATTAGCCCGTAACAACGCTGCATGGGTCAACGCCATGCAGACGGCTCGACTGCATGTCTGTACGAATTCGGAGGCTTGCGAGTGGGCGTGGCACTGCCCGGAGCCCAAAGACTTTTCCTGCAGCACTACATCCAAAAAAAATGCATTGGTCAAATTGACCGAAAACACAGCTCGTGTTTCCCAAACAAAATGGGTGACCAATTGTACGCCGAAAGAAATTGCCATCAATATGAAACAATTATTATACCCTTTCAGAAGATACTATAGTTTTAATCAAAAACTTGCAACGCAGTGAATGAGACGTTTCCGACCCCATAATGCACACATATATAGCCATGTCCACCTATCTGCTTGTCCGTTTCTCTATGCAAATCAAACAAAGTGTTCTTTCTGTTGCAGGTAGTATATAAGTTGTGCGACTTTGGGTATTGGAAACAATCAGAAAAAATTAGAACTTCGCTGTTTTTCCAAATTATATAAATATACTTTGAGATATAGAACTGATTTACTATTTAAGAATTGCACAATAAGTAAATTAAAATCGGACAATGATTAATAATCTTGTAAAGCTGCAAGAATATATAAAGTACTGACAAAGTTTGCTTCCTTTCTTCTTTAAATATGTTTTTCACACGCTTTCCTTCATAGCCAAAAACTGGTAAACATTTTAACTATATTCTGCAAGATTCTAATGAGGAAATATAGGAATTTTAGCCGACTCTTATCCAACAGTAACAAATATCCAACCACAAATTGAACACATTGAAAAGTTTTGGAAATCAGTTCAAATGACACCACACAGCGGCGAAAATTGCCATTACGAATCAATGGAATTCAAGCTGGATTACTTTGCCATATGCATGGCCGCCCTATAATGCAGGAAATATAAAATCTGCATTACAAGTAATGGGAAGTATGCGAGAGCTGAATCGAATTCGGGTCCGATTACAATTCAATATACAATTCAAAAACGTATACACTGACCTGTACAAAAAAATAAAAATATTTTTTTCCCCAAGTATAAGGTGTACAAGTTGAAAACCGCCGTTTTTTCATAGTTTGAGGCTTTATTGCGTAAAAATAGCTACACACTGATTATTCAAAATAGAGAGCTCCTGTGATGGGTTCTTGTTGTGTCTGACAAGAATCTTCATCCAACAGAGTCTTCAAAGCTGCATCTTCAAACTTTTTCACGGGACCCGGCCGATCCTTGGCTTCCACGTCATAATCATCATTTTTGAATTTGACGGACCATTCTCGGCACGTTCTTTCACTGATACACGACTCACTATATGATGCTACAATCATTCGACGCGCTTCAGCAGCAGATTTTTTCGAATGAAACGCGATAAGCAAAATCTCCCGCAAATGACGCTCATTCGGTTCAAATTTCGACATCTTCGCGCACCAACAAAAAAATGGACAATGAGAATAGACGAGCGAGATGATGTGGAGTTGTTGACCGATTCCTAAGCTGGCCATGTGATGCTTCTGATTGGAATTCCCTCACCGATTTCCAAAGGTGGCGTCACCCAGTGGAAAACGGTGGTTTTCTACTTGTACACCCAATATGAATAGAATTTAGCTCCAATTTCTAGTGGGTGGACTTTCTAACCACTGGACCACCACCTGATTGTATTTTAACTCCTTAAAGGGCTATAACCAGATAGTTTAAAATATCAAAAATGTCCTTTGAAAGCGGCAAGGCATTATCTAAAATAATGCTCACAAAAACTTATAAAAATTCTTTCCCCAAGTAAGAATTCAAACTGGCCATAATTTCCAATAAGTGGACTTTCTAACCACACCTTATACTATATCTAAAACAATGTTGTTATCTTCGGACTTCCGAAGCACAAACTTCGAACTTCGGTGACTTAAAACCGTAAATGTAATCCATTACTTTGAATGTAATCCATTCGCCGCTGGGTACATTAATAGAAATAAATTCTTTAAATTTGGAAAACTTGCTTTTGATTAGGCCAAATTTGGAATTGAATATATAATTTTTTTTCTTTATGTAAACTTTTAAGAAAAAGCATTTCTTAAAAATATAAAAAAGACTTTTTTTTTTTTTTTCGGAAATTTGGACAGCCAAAACAATTAAAAATTAAAACATTGGAATGTAAAATTGTCTTAAAAATACAGGCTTACTTAAAATAAACTAAAAACATGATAATGTAACATATTTAATTGGTTTATCCAATAGGAAAATTGTTTATTTCAATTATTTCATTTATTACTACGGGGCTAAATCACTACCGAAAATATTTTGGATAAAATAAAGTAAAGTGTAAAGTGGACTTACCATGATTTTTCTCTGGGTGTAGCAACAACGTTAATTTAGTTGTTTAAGCGAAATTTTTTTTGAGTTTAAAAAAATTGAAATACAGCCTTTAATTTACATAAGAAACGTTAAAAAAAAAAGTTCGGTTAATGACGCTTAAAAAACATTCGACTCAGCCACATCATTCATTGGGTTTTTATAAGCAAAATCGGCGTCAAGATCAAGAGAGAAATAGACCTAGAAAAGAAAAATGTCGGCCTACCTTAATGGTAGCCTAGCGGCTAAATAGTTTGTCCAAAAACCTGAGCTGCACGAGTTCGAATCCCAATTCGGGATCGAGATATCTTTTATGCAAAAGGAGACATACGAAAAGGCCAATTACAACATATTTAAAATAAAATTTAAAATTATCTAAACTGGTCATGACTTTTTACTATTAATAAATTAAAATGTTATTGATAGTATAAAATCTTTAGAAATTTTAATTTTTTTAAAACTGGCTTTAAAATGTAAGCTAATAAAAGCCATTTGATTTCAAACAAGAAAGAAAGCAAACTTCGGCAAGCCGAAGTTCATATACCCTTGCAGCTATTGCAAGAATTAAATATTTTTGAAAACATTAAAATTATGATTTACTTGCGTATATGTTTAAAAACATTGAAGCTATGACGATTTGCAGCTTAATTATTTGATTGTTCTTTTATATATTTTTATTATTTGTATGGGAGCTATATGATATAGTCGTCCGATTTTGATGAAATTTTAACCATAATTCTGAAATATTTAACCATTGCTATATGTCGAAGAACTAAAAAAACAAGAAAGAAAGTAAACTTCGGCAAGCCGAAGTTCATATACCCTTGCAGCTATTGCAATAATTAAACATTTTTGAAAACATTAAAATTATAATTTACTTGCGTATAAGTTTAAAAACATTGAAGCTATGATGATTTGCAGCTCAATTATTTGATAGTTATTTTATATATTTTTATTGTTCCTATGGGAGCTATATGATATAGTCGTCCGACTTTGATGAAACTTAAACCGTAAATTGGAAATATTTAACCATTACTAAATGTCGAAGAACTAAACAAAAAATTAAAAAACAGAAAAGTTATAATTTTTTTTCATTTATTTCTCCGATTGTTCCTATGGGAGCTATATGATATAGTCGTCCGACTTTGATGAAATTTAAACCGTAAATCGAAAATATTTAACCATTACTAAATGTCGAAGAACTAAACAAAAAATTAAAAAACAGAAAAGTTATAATTTTTTTTCATTTATTTTTCCGATTGTTCCTATGGGAGCTATATGCTATAGTCGTCCGATTTTGATGAAATTTTTACCATAATTCTGAAATATTTAACCATTGCTTTATGTCGAAGAACAAAACAAAAAATTTAAAAACAGCAAAGTTATAATTTTTTTTCAATTATTTTTCCGATTGTTCCTATGGGAGCTATATGCTATAGTCGTCCAATTTTGATGAAATTTAAACCATAATTCTGAATTATTTAACCATTGCTATATGTCGAAGAACTAAACAAAAAATTAAAAAACAGCAAAGTTATAATTTTTTTTCATTTATTTTTCCGATTGTTCCTATGGGAGCTATATGCTATAGTCGTCCGATCCGGCTCGTTCCGACTTATATACTACCTGCAATAGAAAGACAACTTTTGGGAAAGTTTCATGCAGATAGCTTTAAAACTGAGAGACTAGTTTGCATATAAACGGACGGACAGACGGACAGACGGACAGACGGACATGGCTAGATCGACTCGCCTAGTCATGCTGATCAAGAATATATATACTTTATAGGGTCGGAGATGTCTCCTTCACTGCGTTGCAAACTTCTGACTGAAATTATAATACCCTCTGCAAGGGTATAAAAATTTAACCCTAATACGGTTTAAGTGTATTGCGGAATGTGATGCCAGTGTGGAGCAACCTACTAATCTAGGAACTTAAAGGTCCTAGGCTTAAAGATAGTTTGGGTCGATTTGGTCCGAAAAAAAAGCAAGTTTATTGTTTACTTAAGATTAGTTGATTATTTTAAATTACAGAGAGTTTTAAGAGACGCAGAGAGGATGTCCGGGGGCCTCAAATCAAACAAGAAAGAACGCTATAGGCGAGTTCGCTTCTAAAATATTAGCAAAGGTCTAACATATCTCAGAGTTATGTGACAGAGTTAGAGTGGGCGTAGCTCCGCTTTGCAATAAACTTGCATGTCAAATCCCACAACTCAGATATCAAGAATATATATACTTATAGGGTCGAAAACGCTTCCTTCTTCCTGTTACATACTTTTCAACAATTGCAATATACCCTTTTAGTCTACAAGTAACGGGCTTAAAATTATATAAAAACCCTTGCACTTTAATAAATGCCAACACTCATAGCGGTTGCTCTGCGTAATGAGTTTGTCCCAAGCCGAAAATATTGATTTGACACAATATGTCGACCTTGGCACACGGTGTCTGTTTTTTAGAGCCGAAGAGATCTTTGATAGACTGACCCACTCCCTTTGGTATGTTACTCATGTTATTTATAGCTTCTGCCAGATTTTCCATGGCTAAGGATCCAGTAAGTCCAGCACCAGATAGAGCACTGTAAATTCCCTGCTGAGCAGAAGGGAATATGCTTTTCAGTTCGACGGACCAAAAAGCTGGGTGGAAAGGGTCATCGATTATTTATTGCCACACAGAAAACGATCGGTACAACTAACCATTAAAAATAATCAAAAGTTGCAGGAAAGTTATCCACTTAAGTCTGGGCATCATTTTGTTAAAGCAGATAAGTGTATACAGCAAACCTTTAAATACCTAAAGTTTTTAATGTGACTAATTTCATTATCTATAAAATGAGAGTGACGAAATGATTTTATTTCACAGTTTAAAAAAAAATATGATCTCAAAATTGTTTTTATTTTTCTAGCTTAGCTTATTTTTAAAAAATTTTTCTAGGAACACATTAAAGCTTTATCTATAAAGGGCTTTTTAAATCCTGTCAATCATGTATCTTAAGATCATTTGAAGGATAACAAATGAAACCCCTAAATAGTAAGTACCTTACAGAGTTTCATATAGATGTTATAGGAACGCTCAAATAATTGAGGTGAAAATCATCATAGATTCAATGGTTGTTTAACATTTGCAATAACTAAATGGGTGTATCAATTTTGGGTTGCCGAAGTTTGCTTTCCTTTCATGTTTTTATATATATTTTGCTGTGAAAATGTTTAATTCTAAATAGATAAATGTGAAATGGCAAACTACATGTTCTATCAAAAATCTTAATACTAATACATGAATTTCATCACAAGCAATATATAATATTTAAGATAATCCGGAATTATAAAAAACTGTATTCCATTTAATTCTATTAAATTTACATAAAAAGCTTAATATTAATTATATTTATAACGAGTTTCTTTATAATAAATCTTGACCGCAACTAAAGATCTCAGAAATTAATAACATAATAAATTTAAATTGTTTATATCCTTGCGACTATAGCATATAGCTCCCATATGAACAATCGGAAAAATAAATAAAAAAAATTATAACTTTGCTGATTTTTAATTTTTTTTTAGTTCTTTGATATATATAAATGTTTAAATATTTCAGAATTACGGCTTAAATTTCATCAAAATCGGACGACTATATCATATAGCTCCCATGGAATCAATAAAAATATATACATTTATTTTTTTTTTAAATGTAACTTCTCCATTTTGTAATTTTATTTTTAATTCTTTTTGGCATAGGAACTATTGAATAATTAAGCTGCAAATCATCATATCTTCAATATTTTGAAACATAATTTTTGCAATACCTGCAAGGGTATATAAACTTCGGCTTGCCGAAGTTTGCTTACTTTCTTGTTTTAACTAGTTGCGTTACGGTTTAAAAATAAGAAGGTGTTGTCATTTTATTCGATATTTATACCCTTGAAGAGTATAATTTCAGTCAGAAGTTTGTAACGCAGTGAAGAAGACATAAACAACTATAAAGTATATATAATCTGGATCAGCATCACTAGGAGAGTCGATCTTGCCATGTCAGTCTGTCCGCCCGACCATCCGTTTCTACGCAAGCTAGTCTCTTAGTCATTCTCTAAATTTGTATTTCTATTGCAGTAGTATATACGTCGGAACGAGCCGTATTAGACGACTATAGCATATAGTTCCCATAGGAAAAATTGGAAAAATAGATGAAAAAATTATAACTTTGATGTTTTTCAATTTTTTTATTGTTCTTCGACATTTAGTGGTGGTTTATTATTTTTGAATTACGGTTTAAATAAGATCAAAATTGGACGATTATATCATATAGCTTCCATGGAAACAACCGGAAAATTTAAAAAAAAAATAAACAAAAAAATTGTAATTTTTCTAGTTTTAAACTTTTTTTAAATTCTTTTGGACAAAGGGTTGGTTTAATAATTATTATGTTCTTTTGAACATAGGAATGGTTTAAAAGTTATTCAAAAGAATTATAATTCAGAATTAGGCCTTAAATTTAATTCAAATTGGAAATCAATTGTGATGAAAATCATCACAGATTCAATGGTGGTTTAACATAGGGTATATAATTTTTGGCTTGCCGAAGTTGGCTTTCTTTCATGTTTTGTATTGGTATTTCCCTGTGAAAATGTTTCATTATAAATGGATAAAAGTGAAATGGCAAGCTGTATTATTAAAAGTGTTAATACTAATGCATGAATTTCTTTACAAACTATATATTTTATATAGGATAATCCTGAATTACAAAAAACTATATTCCATTTAATTTTATTAAATTTACATAAAAAGCTAAATATTATTTATATTTATAACGAATAATAATAAATCTCGACCGCTACTAAAGAGTTCAGAAATTAATAACATAATAAGTTTTAATTGTTTATACCCTTGCAGAGGGTATTATAATTTCAGTCAGAAGTTTGCAGCGCAGGACGGCTATAACATAAAGCTTCCATGGGAACAGCAAACATATCCAAAAAAAAAATTGTTTTTTAAAATTTTTTTAAAATTCTTTTTGACTCTTTAATAATTTGAGAGTTCAGAATTACGCTTTTAATTTTATTAAAATCGAAAAACGATATCATATAGCTGCATTGAAACTAACGAAACTAACTAATTGAGCTGCAAATCATCATAGCTTCAATGTTTTTAAGCAAATATGATTTAAATTCAATGTTTTCAAAGCTGTTTAATTTTTGCAATAGCTGCAGGGTTATATGAGCTTCGGCTTGCCGAAGTTTGCTTCCTTTCTTGTTTAAGTGTACTTCTGCGTTAAATCTAAAGTTCTTGAGCATTCAGAATGTAAAGTCGGAATAAGCCCATTTTCACTATTTAAAAGAAATTTAAAAAATTAGAGACTAGTTTTTTTCTGGACTGTTATTTAATATATTCTGTTATCTTTTTTCATTCCAAAAGTCGAGATATGAAAATGCCCGGGATCATATTGGCTTAATGGCTTCCTAAACGTCTGTTTCTTTTAAGTATTGAAGGCTTTTTAAAGTAATTTTGGACTTTGAAAAACATAAAATAAAATATACTTTTGTTCAGATTTTGACTCTTGAAGTATGTATAAATTAGAGTAAACTCTCCAAGCAAGAACATTAGGCCTGATCGCTGAGAAACACATACATATCGCATGATTTAACACTAAGCAACACGATGGTCAATTTAAGTTATTAAGACACACAGTGACTAAACTAATTGAATCCACTAAGACAAACTTCTGTAGTCGCAGATTCAAACAAGGAGAGAAGTTAAGTCATTAGGAATAGGCAAACAAAAAGCAACGCCGGTACAGGATGTTGACATAGAGGAAATTAACCTAAGACTGTCAGAAAGCAATGTACATACATGAAACAACCATATGTACCCGAGACCAGTACCTGAAAATTTCTGTGATAAATTGTTTAGATTTGTATGTGAAGTGCTTGTCAATATTCTTAAAATAAATTCATATGCAATTGGACTGGATGATATCCGCCAAAAATTTTTAAAATTATTATTCATTACGCACATTTTTAATACTGCATTAACAACATCTACGTTTCCAGACATTTGGAAAATCGCTAAAATTAGAAACACTCACTCGCACTACTTCATCCTATGCAATAAGGTTATGGAATTAATTACCAAACTCCAAAAAGAATAGTGCAGCGCAGTTGAAGGCAACATTAATTACACACTCTTAAGAAGCCAACATGACGTAAATAAACATAGCGTCCCTAGCTTTAGATTTAATATACATAAGTATAATTAAAATTGTGTTGTAGCGTTAAATTAAAATTATTGACTACAAATTAACATATCCTGTGTGACTAGCGCATTAAATTATAAGTATTAAAGTTGTAGCGTTAGGAAGAGCTTTGTAAATAAATTAAACTAAATTAATATTTATTTTGCAACAAGCCCAGCTGATTGACAGTGTGACCGAAGCACACGTACTCGGGTGAACTCTGCAAATTTCGCTCTCACTAGAAAGAATAACGTTTTCTTGCTAGCGAAACTGTTCGTTGATCTGAATACTAGGCTTACGAACCATCACGCCAAGGGATGGTGGATAATGGATGATGCGCTGTGGGACTAGGCCTGTGTCTAGTTATAAAACCATTTTTCCATTCGTTGCTATGGCTGACACGATTTTAGGTAGAAATGTAACCATTAATAGCTGAATACATGAAAAGCCATTTTTTGTTTGTACTTTTTCGAATTTGGCGCCCTCGTGCAATGTTTTGTATCACTTAACAAATGAATGGCTTACCAGCGCTAAGTAATTTTGCAGCACTGGTCACCGTTCCAGGGATGGATCGCTCGAAAATTCGGGATTTTTAATAAAGTATACAGTAAAAATATTGGCTTAAAGTTAAAGATTGCTTAAACCATTTTGCAAACTATGTGAACTCCTCGATGGTCCGCGCACCCCACAAGTAAAGAAAGTGAGCGGATTACCTGTTCGTGAGCATCTCACACTCACACACACACACGCGTGCTCTCTGCGCCTCCGCTCTTGAAATCGTTTCGATTTGTTGTTGGCCGCAGTGCTTGTTTTGCTTATATTAGCAAGTGTGGAGTGCAAACCAAGAACCAATAGTCGCCGTAGCTTCGACGTGTCAGTTTCTAGTCCAGTTCAGTTTAGTTCAGTTGATTGATATCAACAGCTAAATCGCGAAGTAAAGCAGCCCCCGAACGCAGTAAGGAGAAGCATACGAGCAAACACAGCAGAATGGCGGAAAAAGTAAATGTGTGCATTGTGGGCTCCGGCAACTGGTAAGTGCATTTGCTTAGCCGTCCACCGATGCACTTACATAATAATCTCTGATCTCTAATCTCCACACCCACACCCTCACCAACGTCCACGCCCACACCCACCTTAACCTTCGCCTTCCGCCCGCAGGGGTTCGGCCATAGCCAAAATCGTGGGCGCGAATGCGGCCGCTCTGCCGGAATTCGAGGAGCGGGTGACCATGTTCGTCTACGAGGAGATGATTGAGGGCAAGAAGCTGACGGAGATTATCAACGAGACGCACGAAAACGTCAAGTACCTGAAAGGACACAAGCTGCCCCCGAATGTGGTAAGTAGATTGGACATTGGCAAGCCAGTTAAAGTCCAACCCCAAAGCCAAAGCTGGTGATTAAGGTTTATGTAACAGCCGTGCGAATTGTTAACAACCTTCGCTTACATAAAAGGCTGCATGCCTTGATCTTGGCCGTGCAGCCAAATTATCTAATCAGTCGAGTCAGTCGAATCCGCGACTATTTTTACACCCCGCTCTCGCTCTCGCTCTCTTGCACTGCGCTCTCTTCGCTGCAGTTTTCAGGGCCATCACCTCGCCGCTCTTCTTGGCACTCTCTCCCAAGAGAGCCCAGTGCCTTTGACGTAGGTCAAGGCCAGTGGGCCTGCAAGGGCCACAAACCCCCACATAGCAGGGCCGTTGAAGTTGCGTCAATATTCTATTAGCCGATAAGGCGGGCGATCCACTTCAAATGGGTGTGTTACTACACATGTACGTGCTCCACAGAGCACTCGAAGAGTTCTGTTTGCCGATTATAGATAAGCCCAAACGGTTCGGGTGATGAAGTCCATCCAAATCATCACCCTCCAAGTATTTAGCTAGCCCTGTAAACGGGCTGTTAGCCGTCTATAATTTCTAACTTTGCTTAGGAAAAAAACCTGAGCATACAATCCCACAGTCGTATATTAGAGGCATGCGTTGGCGGCATGGATTGATAAACGTGAAAAACAAAATAAAAACAAAAGCGACTTCTATGCCGCGGCGTTTGTTTGTCACAATAATTCACACACAAAAATACATATTGGGCCAATTTGGCAAACTTTCAGAAGCCGTATGGCTGCGACTGTAGGAGAGGGGGGAAATCATAACAACAGAAAAACCAAAAAAAATAATGAGGCTGAAATATTATAAGCAATGATCGAGACCAATGCCAGATATGCAAAATGTATGCGAAGGCAATGAAAATGTGTCAGCAAGTTAATAGGTTTGCAACAAAGGAAAACAAATATACTTTTGTTTATTTGTATATGTATCAAATGAATGTGGTATAACGTTTATCAGAACTCTATTGCATTTTGGAAGATCTTCTGACTGAAATTTTCACTAAACTGTAATTTTGGAACTGTCAAACAACTTGTACAAAAGTATTAAAGAAATTGTGATTTGTTTACTAGCTCAAAAGACAAAAGAGAGCATGGCCATTAGCTTAAATAACATAGATGGTTATTAGATAAAATTAAGCTTTTACCATTTTTCCACAACATAACACAAACATTTAATTTAATATGACCTTTAGAAAATTAAAGTCCGAAGATTTTTACACTCACACCATTTTGCAAAACGAAAAACACAAAAATACGCTATGTAGGTAATCTCATTTATAGTGCGACAAACAGGTTTGCATGCCATCATGGCGATATGGAAAAAAAATAAAGTATACGTCACCAATATCAAGCTCAGCCAATCGATCTAGCGATTTCCGTGATTTAACTAGTCTAGACATCTGCGAAACGAGCCTCCAAAAGTTGGAATGGAACACGTGCAAGGAAAATGATTTTCTCGATTCGTCTGCAGTTCCCTTTATTTAACCTTCAGCATTCTTATCGGAGTTTTATTTTACTGTTTTTTTTGCTGTTTTCCTTATCACAGTAATTAGAAAAGTTTATTTTCTGCACCTCTCCACAGGTTGCCGTGCCCGACCTAGTTGAGGCCGCGAAGAACGCCGACATCCTGATCTTTGTGGTGCCCCATCAGTTTATCCCCAACTTCTGCAAACAGCTCCTGGGAAAAATCAAGCCGAACGCCATCGCTATCTCCCTGATCAAGGGCTTCGACAAAGCCGAGGGCGGTGGCATTGATCTGATTTCTCATATTATCACGCGTCACCTGAAGGCAAGTCCACGTCGCATAGCTGACTGCCATAATAGTAATCCTCTTGTGACCTTTCCCCAGATCCCATGCGCCGTGTTGATGGGCGCCAACCTGGCCAACGAGGTGGCTGAGGGAAACTTCTGCGAGACAACCATCGGCTGCACGGACAAGAAGTACGGCAAGGTGCTGCGCGATCTCTTCCAGGCCAACCACTTCCGCGTGGTGGTCGTTGACGACGCCGACGCCGTGGAGGTCTGCGGCGCCCTTAAGAACATCGTGGCCTGCGGCGCGGGCTTCGTCGACGGACTAAAGCTGGGCGATAACACAAAGGCAGCTGTCATCCGGCTGGGTCTCATGGAGATGATTCGCTTCGTGGACGTCTTCTACCCTGGAAGCAAGTTGTCCACCTTCTTCGAGAGCTGTGGCGTGGCAGATCTGATCACGACGTGTTACGGTGAGTATTATGCTTAGGTGAGGTTAAAACGGGTTTCCGTAGCTCAGTTATAATGAGCAAGTTGATTAACCAATAAGATTTAGTATGTTGTTTTAATCAAAATTACTAATGCAACCTGTATAACTAAAAACGGGAGTCCAATCTGTAGTGAATCTAAATCCGTAATATAAATAGAAATTTAAATTTACTTTGCACTTTCAAATTAGTAACAGTTTTTAATATTTATTTCTTACAGGTGGACGAAATCGCCGCGTCTCTGAGGCCTTTGTAACTTCCGGCAAAACTATTGAGGAGCTGGAGAAGGAAATGCTTAATGGTCAGAAGCTGCAGGGCCCGCCTACTGCCGAGGAGGTGAACTATATGCTGAAGAACAAGGGTCTAGAGGACAAGTACGACTGATCTTTTAAGCCAATGGTTTTCAAAAATTAATAACAAACCTTCATCGATTGCAGATTCCCCCTGTTCACGGCCATCCACAAAATATGCACAAATCAGCTTAAGCCTAAAGATTTAATCGATTGCATACGCAATCACCCTGAGCATATGTAAGTGTTTTGTTTGCGTTCGTTATGCCTCGTTTGCGCCTGTTTATCCCGTTTACCTTCCCGAAATTCCCCGAATTAAGCTCTATCTTTGTGTGCTCACCTTTTACTTTTGATTTATTTTTGATTTCTTTAGAGCCAATATTTTTAAATTAATCTTTCTTCTTAACTATGTTATTAACCTCCTTTATTTTTATGATTTTTGAATTGTTCCCTATTTTTACTTTACTAATACTTAAATTAAGTTTAACTCTAACCTTAATAAAAAGCTTAATAATAAAACTCGAAACAAAATTCAAAATTTTGAAAAACCAAAAAACATGAAAAGATCTTTTTTGATATTCTTAAAATAAATCATTAATCACTCATTCCGAATCACATCTGTGCCATTCGCTTTCGATGTATTATTCAGCCATTTATGTCATTACCTCCCGTAGTCATTGCCAATGCCTAAAAACTTATTTTTCTTCCATTACAAATTAGTTTTCTTCTCTTCTTTTTTATATTATTTTTCATAGGGATACGTCCATCATGCCGTCGCCAAAACTTTAAGCTGTGTTACACCTAAACAAGATCAGTCAAATGTATATTGTAAATAATATATCTACCCGCATATGTAGATCAAATCAACACAAGTCATCCTCACTCACGCATATAAAACTGGCATTTATAGTTACTACCATATGTGCAAAAAGTCAGATACCACGTCAACTACATTTCTATTTCAACTTTTATTTTAAAGCGTGTTTCTGTGCAAAGTGTTTAAGTGTTAGATAAAACAAAGAACCAAAACAAAGAGTGTCATATTTGTTAAGCTTAATTGGAATTGTTAAAATAAATATACAAATTAAATTTTAATTTTGAATATGTGTACCACCCTAAAGTGTTCCTCATTCATTTGACATAAAATAATTGGCAGCTTCAAATCGGCAAAAAGGAGTACGTATTGAAATTCCAAGGTTAATAAATTTAGCAATTTTTAGTTTATCAAGCACGGTTATGTTTTTATAACAAAAGAACATATATTACCACCCATATGCTGGTGTATAATTTTTATATTAAATTATTACGTTTTCTATTTCGCAGGCAAAATTTGTAAATCTGAAACGAAGCCGAGAACGTTTTTAAAATTTTATGCACCACTGAGAGTAAATGTATTTTTTCAGCACTGCTCCAACTCAACGAATCTTTCGAGTCCATTAACTAACCAGTTAACTATAATGATTGTGTATAGGTTGATGCATTAGTTAGTTAGCTTATTCTTTTAAATCCGAAACCACGCATATCCAACGAACCACAGAAGAAACCTAACAACAAACACCAAAGTCTGCTTTAATTTTAAAATTTAGTTGTTTTTAATCCTAACTAGCCAAGAGACAAGCGCAAGTACCTAAAAAGTATATTCTAATTATATGGCCACGAGTATTACAACGGTAATCGAAGAAGCGTGTGGAAAGAATCTTAGTCTAATTTTAATCGGACTGCGTAGTAACTAGAATTAATTGAATACCAAAAGATCGTTGCAAAAATAAAAGCTGAGTAGTTTACTGGGTTGTTAACTTGTTTTGTATCATTACATATTTAAAATTTAGGGAGTTTAAAGTATAGTTAAAAATAAAGTACATGATCACGTCACATAAAGTACAATTAAGAGGCTATATACAGTTAAAAGGCCGAAAAAAGCAAGTTTTGAACATTTTTTTCTGGGAATACTTTTAAATTTATTTACCTTGTATTTTGTACATATATTATGTTATATTTTAACTGTATTTTAAGACTAAGTATTGGAAAAAATATTTTTTGGAAAGGGACTTCAGCTAAAATTCGAGAGCTCCTCTTAAAAAATACGTTTTGCGGTGACCACTATTTATGTTTGGATTGGATCCTCTGAAACTAAAAATTAAAAAATTGAATTGTGAAATCTAGTAATTAATCAAAGGAATAAGCCAAATAAAGTTGTTTGAGAAAATGGCGGTTACTCAAACAAAAAAGTTTGAAGTTGCTAATAATAAAAATATTTGTCGAATAAAAAAAATCTTAGATTAATTACTTTAAAATATATTTAGAAGCTCGTGCTAAAATTAGAGACCAATCTTATCAGCCGTTTTAGAGTAATGTTGGTCACCGACTTTAAAATCTCCATTTTGAGTAAAAATCGTGTAAAGTATCACAGAACAATATGAAATTTTTATAAATATATGTATGTTACAGTAACAAAAGAAAACATTTTTTTTTAATTCTAACTGTATATAGCCCCTTAAATGAAATGAAAACTACCAATGACCGTATATGATAATGTCAAATCGCATTATAATATTTCCAACAGTAGCTTGGAAGGTACGGTGGCGAGTAATTTTTGAAAGTGTTTCAATTGTATTTGCAGTCATAAGTCAAATAATAGGAAAAATTTCAATATTTTTTTTAACACAATTTACCCAAACTATTCTCTCCGCTGTGTTTCAAAAATGACAATACAAAAAATCTCGCTCAAATTTCCAGGATCCATCTGTTTTGAGGTCCTGATCTAAATTAAATAGACCGATGTTGGCAACCAGAACACTATATAGCCCCTTTCCACAGAGATCCATCCACCTTCCACTTCCATTTTTGTAAAAAATGGTCACCAGGGTTTTTACGCTCCTAAAATTTCCCAGTTAGTCCGCGGTTAAAATTGGACGGACTAATTTATGCGATAGTTAGTCTATGTTTTTTCGGTGCAACCCTCTTCCCACGCAGTCCATACCTGAAAAACCGTTGGGATTTTTGAAAAGTGTGAAACTCCGATTTCCACAGAGCACATCCTCCATCGCCCTTCCGATAACAGCTGATCTGATTTAAAAAAAGATGTCTTTCTTTTGTCTTTGTTTACGCCAGCAGAAAAAGTTTATTCTTTGGCCTTGTACTCAGATCGATGAATAGTTTTGGCAGCGAAAAAACTGTATTCTTTCTAGTGAGACCGAAGTTTTCTGAGTTCACCCGACTTCGATCGTACCATCAATCAGTTCGGCTTGTTGACAAACAAATAAACTTGAGAAAGCAAAAACAAAGATGTTGAATACAAACGACGCCACGGTTTAAGGCCATTGCTTTGACATGCTTTAGCAAAAGTATTCTTTAAAATGTGGTTTCTTCATCAAATTTTGGTTTAATATTATGGACTGCGTGGGAAAGAGGGCTGTACCGAACAAACATCGGCTAACTATCGCTTAAATTAGTCCGTCAAACTCCGTTAAATTTTACTGGCGGACTAATTCGGAAATTTTTGGAACATCAAAATTTTATGTACTTTCAGTTCAACGGATAGTGGAAGGTGGATGGATCTCTGTGGAAAGAGGCTATTATGGCTACACTTATGGTAGATTTGAAAACAAATTTGGTATAAAAGTATTTTCTAAGAGCTGTTATGTTTTATCGATAATTGCGCGATCGACCTGGTCACACTGTTATGATGCGATTGGCAAGAAGAAGAGGCATAACAAAAGTTTTTTTTGCGTTCTGAGAGTGGAATATTCCTACGCCCTAATTGACCGAAGAAACGGAGACGACAGTTAATGCTATACACCTTCTGGACATACACACAGTCTATCCAGCCAAGGCAAAATGAATTTATAAAACGGGCGTTATCGCAGGTATCTCAAGAAGTGGCGTCATAGATATTTTCCTTTGTTGTTTTTTTCGATAAACAGCAATTTTATTTGCTGTGAAACTAGAGGCTTGTGCCTAACGCATTCGCTGATCTGTTTTTGACATATACCTCTGCGCTTTGTGTATTTCGTACTTTACAGTCGCAGCACCGAGCCATCTAAATCGAGGAACACATCGCATGGGATAAAACTACGGCCTTGGGCGACGGAGCCATCATCATGGACCCGCAGAAGATTACCGAACTGGCCAATTTGCTTCGCCAGAACGGCGACAAAATATTGAGCTCCGAGTTTACATTGACGTTATCAGGTGAGAAAGCAGGAACCAAACGAAGTTGAGCCAAGGTAGCGCGCAAAACGCAAAACATGCGGGTGCTGGCTGATGACTGGGCTTTGTTACGAGCCGCCGCCATCCCAAGTCCGATCACTTATCGCTGCTTTCGTCGCCTTCCACTGCACAGGTTCTCTGCTGCGGGCGCTGAACGACTCCTTCACTTTGATCGCGGACATTGAGATCGGATCCGGCGTGGGCGCCCACCAGCACCATCAGTCCTTTCAGGTGGTCAAGCCCATCAACGCGAAGTCCAGCGTCTTCCCCGATCTGCAGTTGGTGCACGACTTTGTGCAGAAGACGACCCTGCTGAAGCTCACCTACTTCCCCAGCGAGCTCTCCTTCGAAGGCGCCATCGACATCGGCAAATTCCGAGCACTTCGGCGGCTGGAGGTGAACAAAATCAACATTGGCCAGGTGGTGGGTATCCAACCGCTGCGCGGCCAGCTCCAGCATCTGATTTGCGTGAAGAGCCTGACCAGCGTGGACGACATCATCACACGCTGCGGCGGCGACAACTCCAACGGCTTTGTGTGGAACGAACTCCAGACGGCCGACTTCAGCTACAACAGCCTTCGCAGCGTGGACTCAGCTCTGGAGTTCGCCCAGCACTTGCAGCACCTGAACCTGCGGCACAACAAGCTCACCAGCGTGTCCGCCATCAAGTGGCTGCCGCACCTGAAGAGCCTGGACCTGAGCTACAACTGCCTCACGCACCTGCCGCAGTTCCACATGGAGGCCTGCAAGCGGATGCAGCTGTTGAATGTCAGCAACAACTACGTGGAGGAGCTACTGGACGTGGCGAAGCTGAATGCCTTGAGCATGCTGGATCTGTCCGACAACTGCCTGCTGGAGCACTCGCAACTCCTGCCGCTGAGTGCCTTGGTCACCCTGACAGTGCTAAACCTGCAGGGCAATCCGCTGGCCTGCAATGCGAAGCATCGGCAGGCAACGGCGCAGTATCTGCACAAGAACTCGGCGACGGTGAAGTTTGTGCTGGACTTTGAGCCACTGTCCAAGGCGGAGAAGGCACTGACGGGCAGCCAGAAATTGCGCTACATAGGCTCGTTCAACCATCGCATGTCCCGAAGCAGCTCCATGTCCATCAACAGCTCCAGCTCCATTAACACCAGCGAAGGTTCCAGCTTTGGCTCCCAGCGATCGATGACCACGAGGGTAAAGGATTTCTCCGAAGAATCGGAGCAGTCCATGGCAATGGACACCTCGCAGTCCAGCAAAGTGCAAGGCTTGAAGAAGATAAGGACCGTGAATATCGAGGAGAACAGTGAGACTGAGTCGCTCACAGCTGTTTCCACACCGAAACCTCAACCTCAACCCGAAGAGAGAACCGATACTTCCCACCTGGAGACCAAGAAGCAAATTGAGACTCTTCGTTCTACCTATGGCAATAAATGGCTAAAGACCGGTAACGCTGAACTGTTGCTGGGAATGGAATCGCCACAGCCCACGGAGCAGGAGCGCAGCGAGGCTCGCCAGCTCTTCAATGAGTTCTTAGGGGAATTCTCGGAGTCATCTAGTGCTAAAGTTGATTCCCAAGCTGATTCTGAGTATCTCAACATAAGCTCCACTCCCACAAACAGCGTTGCGTTGGCTGGCACTTTTGACTCCACCATAACCCCTATTAAATCGGATGCGAACGACGCAAGTGGACAAAGCCTTTACGAGACTTGCACTGAGGGAGAAGTGACAAATTACGAGAGCATAGCCAACACCACCGAGGATATGCTGGCAGAGGAGAAACCGAATGACAAGCACACCGAGTTGCTAAGTCTCTATGCGCAAAGCTCAAACGCAGGGCAGGATGACGATCCGAGTAAGTCGTTCTGACCTGTTTACTATTTCGCTATCTTTAGTAATCCGCTGTCTAAAGTGGTATTCAAATATTTCAGTATCCGATGCCGAGTCCGACGAGGAAACGTACATTGTCTACCATGAACAAAAGGCCAGCGAGCCTGTGTTCCTGACCATATCATCGAACTTCATCCGCGAAAAGGATACGCTAAGCGAACGGTGGGTGAAACTGCACTTTTATTTCATCATTTGAGTTCCCATATCTGCCATCTTACACCATTTCCCGATATATAATCTAATATAAATAGGACCAAAACCAAATGGAGTCTGAAAATCTTGGAGTCATGCGAACGTGTAAAATCCAATACGTTGCGAATTAACTTCGACACAATGCGAAAGGACAAACAGGAGCGGATCTATTGTGTGGAGAATTCATTGTGCCAGGTTAGTAAAACAATTGTGTGTGTGTGGCTTATATAGTAGTCTAACTAATGACTCTCCTTCTTTTGATCTTTTGAAGGCACTGGAGAAGAAACTACGAGATATTCTATCCATGCGGGATCTGACCGAAATGAACATATCCATCTACCGCTGTGTGAATTGTCTCACACAATTTACCATTGAGCAGAAGAGCAAGCGATATAAAACAAAGGGTGAGTGCAGGGCACCAAAGAAGATCATCATTGTGCACTAAGTTGGAATTAACATTTTTTGACTTTTAAGACTTGCGCTGTCCGGACTGTCGCAGCGTGTACGTGGCCGAAGTCACGGAGCTCTCCACCTCGTTGGACAAACCGTCGGGGGAAGTAGTCGCCGAGCCCAAACTTTCTCCAGCCATGATTGTGGAGGAATCGCCAGTAGAGACATTTGTGGGGACGATGAATAAGGAGGAGAGCAACAGCATTGGCAAGTCCTTGCCCTTTTTCTTCATTTACATTACATTAATCGAGTTGTGAAAAATTTGTAGTTCATTTTATGGTTTTTAGTTATCGGCCCTTTATTGAGATTTGCTTTGGTTTTTGTTGCAAAATAATTTTAAGTTTGTGTTGGACGTCTTGGCCGTACATTAATTGAATTTTTATTTCTTTCTTGTTTCTTTTGCATGCGAACACAAATCGAAAATGGCAAAACCAAACTAACTTTTGTATATTTACATTGTTCTTTTGGACTATTTCTCTTACCCACAAACCGACAACTATAATATTGCGATGTAAAAAATTAATTAATACTTTAGTGGCCAACTACAGGCTTACAACTGCTAAAAATACACCCAAGCGTAGGACTTTGATGCAAGCCACCAAAAGTTAATATGCCAATTTGTATACTTTTTATTTCACTAAACAAACAAATTGCCTTTTGCTTTTGTTCTGTAATGTGAAGCAGCATTCGGGCATGAAGCAAAGCTGAGAAGCTAACTCTACAAATAGTTGTTGGAAGAACAGGTCTTTCACATGTCTTATACTTCTCTTAATCTCGCATTTATTAGCTGTGGTTCATCACGTATTAACTTATCATATAAGACATGTAAAGTACCCCCAAAAAGATCAAAATTTAAATAATCATAAAAGCTTATATAGAGCAATGCTGCTTCCATTAAAAAGTATTAAGTCTATGAGAGGACCTCACTAACATATTCACATTGTAGGTTCCGCCAATTCGCTAAACGAGAGCAGCTCCTGCTCGAAAATCACCAACTCGCAGAGTCAGTCCTTGGTGGGCAGCTCGAATACGGACCGTGATCTGGAGTTTCGGGCTAACGAGAGTGATGTGGACATCATCTCCAATCCGAGCCAGTCCAGCATAGAGGTGCTGGATCCGAACTGCGTGCAGAGTGGCAGTCGCAAGACCTCAGAGGAGCGCCGCATATCCCAACTGCCGCATCTGGAGACGATTGACGATGAAATAGGGCAAACTAAGAGCTTCATCGATCGAGAGTTTGGACCGCTTCTGGCGGAGCAGGCGCAGCCCACGGCATCTGCCGCCGCCGCTGCCGCTTCCTCGGCTGCCAAACCATCATCTATGCCCCAAATTCCGCTGACAGAGAGCAGCTCGTCAGGATCCGTAACCGACAGCATTTGTACCACCTACGAGCAGCAGGGCTTGGATGCCTCGCACATTCACATGACTAATTCGCTGCTTACCGAATCGGCAGGCAGCCAGATTAGTAGCGCGGAGGCGGACTCAAACAGTCATTTGAAAAGAGCAGAAGAAGCCAGCCTCATACCATTCGCATCCGTCCTGCAATCAACCAACCTGCTGATGTCCAGCTCAAAGAAGCTAATCGAGTCCGAGGCCGCATTCTTAGGCGCTCAGCCCTACAAGTTTAACTTCAGCGACTTCAACAGCATCGACCACCGCTTAAAACTCTACTTCTACCAGTCCAAGTTCAAGGAGAACGGCGAGCACTTCAAGTGGCTGGTTAAGGGGCATATCTACAATGAGCAGACACAGGCCATGACAGAAGGACTCGTGGTGATGTCCAACTGCAAGTGCTACCTGATGGAGGCGTTCGCAGAGCCCCACGACGAGGTGGCCAAGTGGCTGCGGCAGGTCGTCGGTGTGTCTCTCAGTCGCCTGGTGACGATTGAGCTGCTGCCCTGGAAGCTGGGACTGTCTTTCAGTCTGCGGGATTGGGGAGGATTTACGTTGCTGTTGCACGACATGCTGAGGACCGACAGCTTGCTTGCTTACTTGCGACGTAAGACAACTTTACGCGTAATAATTTGTTGTGGAATATAATGTACTTTTTTATTCGCAGACAATCCTCCGCCGGTGCAATGCAAACTGAATCTACAGCCCTCGCCCACACTTAGCAATCATCTGCAGACTATTGCATCCGAGCCAGTTAAGATGTGCTCCCTGATCTCCAGCTGCCAATGGATATGTGAGCAAGAGCAGAGCAGCTTTGTGCCCTGTCTGCTTTTGATCACCGAGTCGCACTTGTACATCCTAGGAAGTGGCATCTTCTCGTGGCTATCCGACAAAGTGCAGAAAACCCCAGTTCACCAGGAACTCAGGCTTAGTCAGCCTTTGAGTAATTTGGTGGACGCGGAACGTTTGACAGACCAAAAGTATGTGATCAACTTCATTGATGAGACCCAGAACAAGTGCGAGGTCTGGCATTTGCTGTTCGAGACGCACGAACACGCCCTGTGTTGCCTAGATGTCATCGGACAAGGGTGGCAGCAGCTATTTGGCGTGCCATTCAGCCTCTCTGGGAGGTAGTTAAGCGCTGGAGCCTGGGGACCAACTAGTAAGGACTACCTTAGTTAGCCTGCTCCGACTTTTGTGCAAAATTTATAATTGTTGATCTTTATTGACTATGTTATTTAATGTCAGATAAGTTTTATTAACTTAACCTACGTAACAGTAGTGGAACGTGGACTAGGTTTAATCAATGAGAAATGGTGCTGACCCACGAAACAAATGTAAATAGCTATAACTGAAGACCCTGCAATATATTCAAATAAAAAAATGGACTTTTGCCCAATTTTTTATTTGTGGGTTTCGCATTTTAAGAAGCTAGAAGGAGTTTGCTGTATGAAACCGTACACTTTTAATGAAACTTGTTGTAAATTACTTTCCTTTTAACAGCAAGTCCCTAATTTGTTTGAAAATTACGAGATATTTTGAATAATGACTTTACCAAAAATTTCAGCGTGATGGAAAATTGGTTTTATAAGGTTCTGATTAGGGAAATCATAAGAATTCATTTCATATCCCTTTGTCTAGATTTTTGTGAAGAATGTAGTCGTGTCTTATTGTACCAACCTTTATTATTTTTTTTCCAGAAACAGCCATTATCCATAAACTCATATGTTGTGAAAATCAAAATAATTTCATACAATTTTCTAAGAGTGGTAGATCCAAGACAATCATTTTAACTTAAAAATTAAGACTTAAATTTACATTCTTCCCCATCCTTTATAACTAGCTCTATATTTTTTGACACTAAATCACAATATATTACAATTTGTTTCAATTCATAAACCTTAAGGTTGTTAAGGGCAACTTGACTGAATTTACTTCAGGCCTGAAAAGTAGTGAAGAAGATATCAGCAAGCCCTAAATTGTGCAATGTCAGTAATGTAAGTTTTCAAATGGGACATTAGGAAAACTAGACTCCCGATTCTTAAGCTATATACCTATGTACTCGATCTTTCTGAAGCTGCAAAACTATCGATAGTCTGACTATGGGATAGGGTAGTTGTTGTTAGCACTACACGTTAGATTTTCTTTGCTGTTTGTTAGTTAAATAACCAAGAGCAATTTTGGGTATTTTGGCTAATGGATCTTTTACGAGTCATTTGAATTTTTTGAAATATGATACGCGTTTTGCGTATATACTTTTAAGAGATGTTTCCATATTTAAGTTGTATTTATTTTGAGCTCTTTCTAGCGTCTAGTCACCTCACTACTTATCGCCCAGCTGCTCTGCTATCCAGTCCAGATGTTCCTCCTTGAAGCGGGGATCCGCCATGGTGAGAGCCGTCGACTTGGAGCTGTAGTAATAGAAAACCGACACTGCGAGGGTGTTGGAGTATATGAATATATGTAGCGTATACAGCGAACTCGGAAACCGGAACTCACCAATGCGCTGAGCCACTGACAAGGCAATCAGACCCAATGGCCACTGCTGACCGTCATTGGCGGGTGGCTGGCGGTGCTGGGAGATGATCCAGAAGTGCTGAGACGCAGACAGCAGAAAGTAAATGGTGGTGCTGGCCATGAAGAGCTTGCAGTTCCGCAGGATTATGTGGGAGGCACCCACCTGGTACACACAGGTGGAGTGCAGTGCAAGGGTGAAGAGCAGGTACTCCGCAATGATCAGGGCGTCCTGGGTGCTGTGGCAACTCGGTGCGGTCAGTAAACGCCATGGTCTCCCGTCCGTTGGATACTCACACAAAAAAACATATGGCTGTTTGCAGTCGGTTCCTGGCCAGCGCCGGTCCAAACGAGTTGAGGGTTAGGTCCACTCCCAAAAGGAGCAACTGCAGCATGAGCACCCAGGAGTAGCGGCGCAGAGTGAGCTTCATAGCGGGGTCCTACTGCCGAGCACTCGGTCGTCGTTGCGTATTCACTTTGTTGTGCCTTTCAGTGCGAGTTGTGTTGTGTCCTTGGTGTCCTGGTGACGTCAAACGTAACGCCGTAGTCATGCGCTCTGCCCGGCATACCAACAGTTTATCGATAGACAAGTAACCGTCGAAAGCCAGGTTAATTCTTTTCAAACTATATTAGAACAAGAGAGGAAGCAAACTTCGGCATGCCTTATATGTATACCCTGGCAAGCTATTGCAAAACTTAATTAACTCTTTAAAACATACTAAGTTCGCTTTTATGCGATTTAACTAATGATCGATTAAACCATGATCATTTTCAGCTCAATGCAGCTTATGATAAAGTTTTCGTTTTGAATAAAATTAATAGCGTAATTTTGAATTATTACACCATTACTTTATTCAAAAGATATATAAAGAAGGAAATATTAGAGAACATTAATTTTTTTTTAATATTCCGAGCTATATGATATAGTTGTCAAATTTAAATAAATTGTAAACAGAAAATTATAATTTTTTCCCCTATGGGAACTTGAAGAAATAATTGTTGAGGAAAAAACAGACAAGTGTGAATGAGAGAGAACTAATCAAATACATTTCACTTGATCACTTTGAAATTATATAGATATTTATTAAATTGCAATCGACCGTTCATTTAGTAAACAAATAATTATTATACCCCTTGTTAGTTTATAAACATATTTTCTGTTAATTGTTATACTTTAATTTTACTTTAGTTGTTATCCTACAATTTTACTTTGGTATAAAAAATCATTTAGGCATCCTTTTATAAAATACACATGCCTGCTTGGCTGACACTTGAATCCAAAACTCGACCACGTTTCTAACTTATCAAAGGACAAAAGAGTCACATAAATATGATTTTTTACTCTTTATAAGAAAACAAGTTTCCTGTTCAAAATTTTTGCACACCTATCCTCATTTTAATATTTTTGTGAAAAATTTCAACATTTTTTTTCTTAAAATAATAAAAAACTTAAAGCCAAATCTGAACCGTTTCTCTATGTGAATGAAAGTTTCTGCAAAGTCTTCTCTCTGTTGTTTTTAACCATACGGTCTCAAATAAGATTTAAAAGGTTGCGCTAATAAAATAAGAAATTAAATAATTAATAAATATAAATAAAACCAATTTTTCTACAAATTTTGTCATTTTTTCTAGAAATAAATGGAAGATTGATATAACTTCTCTGTTTCATAGCATACACGAATAAAGTTCGAGATAAGGATGTTTTTACGATTTAAAAATATATTTTCAATGCATCGTTTAAAAATTTTCATAATTCTTCTTGATGTTTTCGAGGCTATACCAAAACGATAAAATCATAATTGTAAACAGCAGATTTATCCATACTACATATTTTGATTTTTACTTATTTCCCCGAGACATTTAATTGCTTTATTTTCAGACATATCGAGCGTATTCAAATGGATATGGGCGCCGTTTTCCCGCTCCAAGTCCGTTGATCAGCATCAGTCCAGCCCGTCTCCTAAATCGCCTGTAGTACTGCTGGTTCATCTCGGAGTAAAAGTTGGTGGGCAGGAGGTGGGTCCAGCCCTGATCGGCAATGGGTCGCTCCAGAAACTGAAACGTCTGAGACGTCGATGCGGAAGCGACTTCGGCGGCCATGGGCCAGGTCGAATTTAAGGTCACCAGAACGCAGACCAGAAACCAGAACGTCATCGTCGGAGTCGTTTGTAAAGCCAGGTGGCCAGGTGGCCAGTGTCCGGCACCCAATGCACTGCCTCCAAGTCGCTAATACAAGTAGTTCTGGGTCGTCAGCGTTTTTCGATGTACATACCCAATTGCACTTTTCCGATCGGTGTCGTTCCACTCCGGCAGTGCGATCAGCGTTTTCGGCAGGGGCTATAAAGTGGCTTGGCTCGGGGGGTTCGACCAACAGTCACCCTTGGTTCGCCACTTCAGCAGCAAGCAGAGACAGCTAGAGAATCCCTCCCATCGCCATGGCATTCCACATTGCTCACCTTCTCATCGCCGGCCTCTTGGCTTTGTCCACCGTGTCCTCCGAGACCATCCAGCTGCAGCCCACGCAGGGCATCCTCATCCCGGCGCCTCTGGCCGAGAACATCCGCGTGTCGCGTGCCGCCTACGGCGGATACGGAGCTCCAGCTGCTGCCCCCGCCGCCGCCTCCTACGCCGCCCCCGCTGCCCCCGCCGCCGCCTCGTATGCCGCTCCAGCTGCCTACTCCGCTCCCGCTGCCCCCGTCTACTCACCCCCCGCTGCTGCTCCCGCCTACGCCGCCCCCGCCCCTGCACCGGCCTCCATCCCGTCGCCGCCGTGCCCCAAGAATTACCTGTTCAGCTGCCAGCCCTCCCTGCAGCCCGTGCCCTGCTCCGCCCCAGCTCCGTCCTACGGATCCGCCGGCGCCTACTCGCAGTACGTGCCCCAGTACGCCGTACCCTTCGTCCGGGAACTGTAAGGCAACGTAACGAGGCGAACTGGAAAACCGAGTCTATGAATAAAGTAAAGCGTGTATGAAAACATTTGAGACTTTTGATTGGGGGACATTTCTGGGTTTTTTGCAGATTAATGATTAATTAATCATTATCGTTGTACAAAATGTTAAACAAAATGTAAAGCGGTAGTTTTGTAGAGCAGGCGATAAAAAAGTGGCAACTCTTTTTATTTTCCACAAATAAATGCTATAAATCTGCATTTCAAATAAGTATCGAATTTTAAAACAAATCCAAATTTTTGCTTTAACTTTAAAAGTTATTAATAAGCGCTTATTTCTATCCATTTTCAAGATGAGCGGAGATTTTTACTAATTTTTTAAATTATATTAAAATGATTTACGATTGTATGTAAGTTAGGGAAGGCAATTTTTTAACACTTCGTAATTTTCTTGAAAAAGAAATAAATATCAAATTTTGTTATCTCATTTTGTTTAATGGTAAGTAAAGGTAAAAATAAAGACATGCAGGCTTTTTAATGCATGTAGAATATAGGTCGGAACGAGCCGGATCGGACGACTATAGCATATAGCTCCAATTGAAACAATCCGAAAAATATGTGACTGCTGAAATCAAAATTTTATACTTAATACTTAAATTAAGAATTAAATCATAATTTTAAATACATTTCATGATTTAATATTAAATACTTTAAATATAGATGAAAATATTAGATTTAATATAATGCCCACTTGATTTAAATACATTTTATTTAAACTACCCATGGTTTAAAATTAAATTTAATTTGCAGATATTTAAAGAAATTCCAAAAGTAGTCAAATAAAAAAAATTGTACAAATTGTAATATTTTCATATTTAAAATAACTAAAAACAAGAAAGAAGGCAAACTTCGGCAAGCCGAAGTTCATATACCCTTGCAGCTATTGCATGAATTAAATACTTTTGAAAACATTTAAATTATGATTTACTTGAGTATATGCTGAAAAACATTGAAACTATGATGATTTGCAGCTCAATTATTAGATAGTTATTTTATATATTTTTATTATTTCTATGGGAGCTATATGCTATAGACGTCCGATTTTGATAAAATTTAAAACATAATTCTGAAATAATTAAACATTGCTATATGTCGAAGAACTAAACAAAAAATTAAAAAACAGAAATGTTATAATTTTTTTTCATTTATTTTTCCGATTGTTCCTATGGGAGCTATATGCTATAGTCGACCGATTTTGATGAAATTTAAAACGTAAATCGGAAATATTTAACCATTACTATATGTCGAAGAACTAAACAAAAAATTAAAAAACAGCAAAGTTATAATTTTTTTTCATTTATTTTTCCGATTGTTCCTATGGGAGCTATATGCTATAGTCGTCCGATCCGGCTCGTTCCGACTTATATACTACCTGCAATAGAAAGACAGTTTTTGGGAAAGTTTCATGCAGATAGCTTTAAAACTGAGAGACTAGTTTGCATATAAACGGACGGACAGACGGACAGACGGATGGACAGACGGACGGACAGACGGACATGGCTAGATCGACTCTACTAGTGATGCTGATCAAGAATATATATACTTTATAGGGTCGGAAACGTCTCCTTCACTGCGTTGCAAACTTCTGACTGAAATTATAATACCCTCTGCAAGGGTATAACAATTGAAGGGAAAATATTTAATTTGAGTACAAAATATTTGAATGTACTTCATTTTTTTTAACCAATGTGTACGCATATGTTTCGAAATATAGTAACTTTCTATATTTTCAGAAATACGGTTTTAGTTTTTTCTTTTTTTCGATTTCAAAAATACCTTTTTTTGAATTTTATTAAATTAATAAATTGGCATGTTTTAAAACAACGAACTTATTTTTGTAGTCGAACTTCAAGCAAACAAAGCGAAAAAGTTTTGTGTTGTCGCTTTATATGCGCAGTATGCAATCCTTGACCGACTTTACTCTGCAACAATATGAAAGTGTCCCCCAAAAATATCCAGAAATTACAAAAAATGTTCCTTATCATCTCAAGTTTATTATTGATCATGTGCTCAAACCCCAGCACATGTGCTGGATCCACAAGGCACCGACTTGATAACTGCTTCACAAGAGAACACGTAGTTTTTCGGACAGGTTGGCGAAGCAACTTGGCTGGATGTTTCATACTGCTGGTTGTCGGGCCCCTCGGCTGCTTCATTTTCACTCGCCTGGTCATAGCTACGGGAAAATCCTTTGTTAAAAAACTTCCCATGTCTACCTCCGAGTCCAGGACCTCCGAATCCAGGACCACCGAATCCAGGACCTCCGAATCCAGGACCACCGAATCCAGGACCACCGAGTCCAGGACCACCGAATCCAGGACCACCGAAACTAGGTCCACCTCCGAATCCAGGACCTCCGAAACCAGGAGCACCTCCGAATCCGGGACCTCCGAAACCAGGAGCACCGAATCCAGGGCCCCCGAATCCAGGACCTCCAAAGTTGTTCTCGACGACCACCTCCTGGATAATTTGCTGTCTTCTTCTACGATGCGATTTTGGGTCCGAGTCGCCAACCATCAGGGACTTGGCGGCCAGCTCTCGCAGTGGAATAAAGTGGTAGAGCGGCAGAGGCAGACTCCGCAAACAGCGGGTGCAGGGGACCAGCGACGGATCGAGGATCAGCTGACCCAGACTGCTGACGCCGGCAAAAAAAGCGAGCCATCCGAGATACTTCCACATGTTGACTGGCTGTTGAGGCGGTGCAAGCTGAGACAGAGACAGCCAAGTTGCGGAGGTGGTCGGGCTGCTTTTATAACCTAACACCAATGAAAGTGCAGTTGAAGCGAAAACTGCGGATGCCAAGGTAACCCCAACATCGATGTCAGTTGGTCGCGCATTCCAGCGGGAGTGTGGGATCGGAAATGGGACAGTGACAGTACTAGAAGTTCGAGTTGCGCTCTAAGATGTGGGCTATTGGACTGTTTAAGTCCGCAGCCCGGGGGCTGGTGTTCCATTCGTGCCCCAGCCGAGTCATTACTATTTGCGGAGCTTGGCTCGGAAACCCCTAACAACCTGGATCCCGAGGGTCAGCACATTGCTTTTCGGAGTGTAGGCTGACCGTTCAGCCAAGCATTTGATGGATCCGGTGTCGCATTTCCCAAACGCTAGCACTTTCCACTTTTTCGCTGGCTCGCTGACTCGGATGTGTCGCAAGCATTTCTTCTTATTTCGCCATTCGGTCCTAGTAAAGTAAGCTTAAATTTTTGCAAACGAGGTTTTAAATCGAGGGTTATATAAAATTAGGGAACTGCTTAGTTGCGATTAATGGCTATTTTTGGTAAAAGAGATGCTAAACAAAATAAATGAAAAAAACGTAAATTCTCACTTTTTTAATTTAAAAAAAAAATTCTTTTTAATTTAGTAATGGTATATACATTTTTGCAATAGTTGCAAGGGTATAAATACTTCGGCTTGTGGGTGTTCCCATGGGAGCCTCATGACGGACTGACGGACATGGCTACGTCGACTCTCCTAGTGATGCTGATCAAGAATATATATACTTTGTAGTGCCGGAAATGTCTCCTTCACTGCGTTGCAACTTTTGACTGAAATTAGAGTACTCCCTAGTACACAAGTGGTAACTATGGTGCTTTTTCAGTTTTTCTTCTTTTAATTTAGAATTATGGTTTAATATGATTAAAATTGGACGACTATATCATATCATATCATTTTTCCAATGGGAAAAATCGGAATATTAAAAAAAAACAAGAAAGAAAGCAAACTTCGGCAAGCCGAAGTTCATATACCCTTGCAGCTATTGCATGAATTAAATACTTTTGAAAACATTTAAATTATGATTTACTTGAGTATATACTGAAAAACAGTGAAGCTATGATGATTTGCAGCTTAATTATTAGATAGTTATTTTATATATTTTTATTAGTTCTATGGGAGCTATATGATATAGACGTCCGATTTTGATAAAATTTAAACCATAATTCTGAAATAATTAAACATTGCCATGTGTCGAAGAACTAAACAAAAAATTAAAAAACAGAAAAGTTATAATTATACCCTTGCAGAGGGTATTATAATTTCAGTCAGAAGTTTGCAACGCAGTGAAGGAGACGTTTCCGACCCTATAAAGTATATATATTCTTGATCAGCATCACTAGTAGAGTCGATCTAGCCATGTCCGTCTGTCCGTCCGTCTGTCCGTCTGTCCGTCCGTCTGTCCGTCTGTCAGTCTGTCCGTCTGTCCGTCTGTCCGTCCGTTTATATGCAAACTAGTCTCTCAGTTTTAAAGCTATCTGCATGAAACTTTCCCAAAAGTTGTCTTTCTATTGCAGGTAGTATATAAGTCGGAACGAGCCGGATCGGACGACTATAGCATATAGCTCCCATAGGAACAATCGGAAAAATAATTGAAAAAAAATTATAACTTTGCTGTTTTTTAATTTTTTGTTTAGTTCTTCGACATATAGCAATGGTTAAATAATTCAGAATTATGGTTTAAATTACATCAAAATCGGACGACTATAGCATATAGCTCCCATAGGAACAATCGGAAAAATAATTGAAAAAAAATTATAACTTTGCTGTTTTTTTAATTTTTTGTTTAGTTCTTCGACATATAGCAATGGTTAAATAATTCAGAATTATGGTTTAAATTTCATCAAAATCGGACGACTATAGCATATAGCTCCCATAGGAACAATCGGAAAAACAATTGAAAAAAATTATAACTTTGCTGTTTTTTAATTTTTTTTTTAGTTCTTCGACATATATCAATGGTTAAATATTTCAGAATTATGGTTAAAATTTCATCAAAATCGGACGACTATATCATATAGCTCCCATACAAATAATAAAAATATATAAAAGAACAATCAAATAATTAAGCTACAAATCGTCATAGCTTCAATGTGTTTAAACATATACGCAAGTAAATTATAATTTTAATGTTTTCAAAAATATTCAATTCTTGCGATAGCTGCAAGGGTATATGAACTTCGGCTTGCCGAAGTTTGCTTTCTTTCTTGTTTTTTTTTTCATTTATTTCTCCGATTGTTCCTATGGGACCTATATGCTATAGTCGTCCGATCCGGCTCGTTCCGACTTATATACTACCTGCAATAGAAAGACAGCTTTTGGGAAAGTTTCATGCAGATAGCTTTAAAACTGAGAGACTAGTTTGCATATAAACGGACGGACAGACGGACAGACGGACGGACAGACGGACAGACGGACATGGCTAGATCGACTCGCCTAGTGATGCTGATCAAGAATATATATACTTTATAGGGTCGGAGATGTCTCCTTCACTGCATTGCAAACTTCCGTTTCTACGCAAACTAGTCCCTCAGTTTTAAAGCTATCTGCATGAAACTTTCCCAAAAGTTTTCTTTCTATTGCAGGTAGTATATAAGTCGGAACGAGCCGGATCGGACGACTATAGCATATAGCTCCCATAGGAACAATCGGAAAAATAAATGAAAAAAATTATAACTTTGCTGTTTTTTAATTTTTTGTTTAGTTCTTCGACATTTAGTAATGGTTAAATATTTCTGATTTACGGTTTAAATTTCATCAAAATCGGACGACTATAGCATATAGCTCCCATAGGAACAATCGGAAAAATAAATGAAAAAAAATTATAACTTTGCTGTTTTTTAATTTTTCGTTTAGTTCTTCGACATTTAGTAATGGTTAAATATTTCCGATTTACGTTTTAAATTTCATCAAAATCGGACGACTATAGCATATAGGTCCCATAGGAACAATCGGAGAAATAAATGAAAAAAAAATTATAACTTTTCTGTTTTTTAATTTTTTGTTTAGTTCTTCGACATATGGCAATGTTTAATTATTTCAGAATTATGGTTTAAATTTTATCAAAATCGGACGTCTATATCATATAGCTCCCATAGAACTAATAAAAATATATAAAATAACTATCTAATAATTGAGCTGCAAATCATCATAGCTTCACTGTTTTTCAGTATATACTCAAGTAAATCATAATTTAAATGTTTTCAAAAGTATTTAATTCATGCAATAGCTGCAAGGGTATATGAACTTCGGCTTGCCGAAGTTTGCTTTCTTTCTTGTTTTAAATTCTATTGGACAAAATAATGGTAAAATAATTCGTAACTTTGTCATCGAATATTAAAAAGGAAAATCTTCATAGCTTCAATTGTAGACATTTTAAAGATTGTTTTATTTTTGCAATAGCTGCAAGGGTATATAATTTCGATAGAAATAACATATCATGTAGTTGACATGTTTATACCCTTGCAGAGGGTATTATAATTTCAGTCAGAAGTTTGCAACGCAGTGAAGGAGACATCTCCGACCCTATAAAGTATATATATTCTTGATCAGCATCACTAGGCGAGTCGATCTAGCCATGTCCGTCTGTCCGTCTGTCCGTCCGTTTCTACGCAAACTAGTCCCTCAGTTTTAAAGCTATCTGCATGAAACTTTCCCAAAAGTTGTCTTTCTATTGCAGGTAGTATATAAGTCGGAACGAGCCGGATCGGACGACATTAGCATATAGCTCCCATAGGAACAATCGAAAAAATAAATAAAAAAATTATAACTTTGCTGTTTTTTAATTTTTTTTTTATTTCTTCGACATATAGAAATGGTTAAATATTTCAGAATTACGGTTTAAATTTCATCAAAATCGGACGACTATATCATATAGCTCCCATAGGAACAATCGGAAAAAAAATACAAAAAAATTATAACTTTGCCGTTTTTCAATTTTTCTATTAGTTTTTTGACATATAGTAATGGTTAACTCTTTTAGAATTATGTTTTAAATTTCATCAAAATCGGACGACTATATCATATAGCTCCCATAGGAGCAATCGGAAAATGAAAAAAATTATAACTTGGCTGTTTTTATACCCTTGCAGAGGGTATTATAATTTCAGTCAGAAGTTTGCAACGCAGTGAAGGAGACATCTCCGACCCTATAAAGTATATATATTCTTGATCAGCATCACTAGTAGAGTCGATCTAGCCATGTCCGTCTGTCCGTCCGTCTGTCCGTCTGTCCGTCCGTCTGTCCGTCTGTCAGTCTGTCCGTCCGTTTATATGCAAACTAGTCTCTCAGTTTTAAAGCTATCTGCATGAAACTTTCCCAAAAGTTGTCTTTCTATTGCAGGTAGTATATAAGTCGGAACGAGCCGGATCGGACGACTATAGCATATAGCTCCCATAGGAACAATCGGAAAAATAAATGAAAAAAAATTATAACTTTGCTGTTTTTTAATTTTTTGTTTAGTTCTTCGACGTTTAGTAATGGTTAAATATTTCTGATTTACGGTTTAAATTTCATCATAATCGGACGACTATAGCATATAGCTCCCATAGGAACAATCGGAAAAATAAATGAAAAAAAATTATAACTTTGCTGTTTTTTAATTTTTTGTTTAGTTCTTCGACGTTTAGTAATGGTAAAATATTTCCGATTTACGGTTTAAATTATATCAAAATCGGACGACTATAGCATATAGCTCCCATAGGAACAATCGGAAAAATAAATGAAAAAAATTATAACTTTTTTGTTTTTTAATTTTTTGTTCAGTTCTTCGACATATAGCAATGGTTAAATATTTCAGAATTATGGTTTAGATTTTATCAAAATCGGACGTCTATATCATATAGCTCCCATAGAAATAATAAAAATATATAAAATAACTATCAAATAATTGAGTTGCTAATCATCATAGCTTCAATGTTTTTAAACATATACGCAGTAAATCATAATTTTAATGTTTTCAAAAATGTTAAATTCTTGCAATAGCTGCAAGGGTATATGAACTTCGGCTTGCCGAAGTTTGCTTTCTTTCTTGTTTAAGTTTTTTTCTTAGTTCTTCGACATATAGTCTTGGGTAACTATTTTAGAATTACGGTTTAAATTTCATCAAAATCAGACGACTATATCACATAGCTCCCATAGAAATAATAAAAATATATAAAATAACTATCTATTAATTGAGCTGCAAATCATCATTGCTTCAATGTTTTTCAACATATACGCAAGTAAATCATAATTTTAATGTTTTCAAAATGATTTAATCCTTGAAATAGCTGCAAGGGTATATGAACTTCGGCTTGCCGAAGTTTGCTTTCTTTCTTGTTTTGAATTGATTTGAATAGGTTTTGAAACAAGTTAATGTTTTATTGTTTCAGAATTACAGGTTTAATTTTTATTCAAATCGGACAACGATATAATATAGCTGCTGGTTTAACACAAAAGCATTAAAATCCGAATATTTTTGGAATGGCTGCAAGGGTATTAAGCCTTCGGCATGCCGAATTGGCTTTCGTTTTCGCTTTTATTATTAAAATAAAAAAAATGTATCCTTTTTGGGGCGAATTTTTTTTTTAAACTGCAGTTTTGGACAGTACACTTTATGACTGTACCCACTTAATATTTAATATTAATTATTTATCATAAACTGTTATTTTTAGTTTAGTAGCTTTAGTAGATATATTAAACTAAACAAAGTCCGAAATGTCTCCTTCACTGCGCTGCAAACTTCTTACTGAAACTATTAAAACTAAAGAGTAAGTTGTCTGGCTGCCAATAATCTTAAATTTATAATAGTTTTTAATTTCCTTTTTAAAAGTATTTAATATAAAGAGACTGTTTTTTATATCCCTGACAAAATTTGTGAGGCATACTTTTTCCAAAAAATTTAGCTGCTCTGAACTGAAAAAAGTTTCCGTTTTTGTTGCTTAATAATTCCGAAATTTGTTTTTTGGGCCCATGTGTATAATATACAAAGTTGAGGAATCTCATGGACTATATTGAAAACTTAAGTTAACAAGAAAGAAAGCAAACTTCGGCAAGCCGAAGTTCATATACCCTTGCAGCTATTGCATGAATTAAATACTTTTGAAAACATTTAAATTATGATTTACTTGAGTATATGCTGAAAAACATTGAAACTATGATGATTTGCAGCTCAATTATTAGATAGTTATTTTATATATTTTTATTATTTCTATGGGAGCTATATGCTATAGACGTCCGATTTTGATAAAATTTAAACCATAATTCTGAAATAATTAAACATTGCTATATGTCGAAGAACTAAAAAAAAAAATTAAAAAACAGAAAAGTTATAATTTTTTTTCATTTATTTTTCCGATTGTTCCTATAGGAGCTATATGCTATAGTCGACCGATTTTGATGAAATTTAAACCGTAAATCGGAAATATTTAACCATTACTATATGTCGAAGAACTAAACAAAAAATTAAAAAACAGCAAAGTTATAATTTTTTTTCATTTATTTTTCCGATTGTTCCTATGGGAGCTATATGCAATAGTCGTCCGATCCGGCTCGTTCCGACTTATATACTACCTGCAATAGAAAGACAACTTTTGGGAAAGTTTCATGCAGATAGCTTTAAAACTGAGAGACTAGTTTGCATATAAACGGACGGACAGACGGACAGACGGACAGACGGACGGACAGACGGACATGGCTAGATCGACTCTACTAGTGATGCTGATCAAGAATATATATACTTTATAGGGTCGGAAACGTCTCCTTCACTGCGTTGCAAACTTCTGACTGAAATTATAATACCCTCTGCAAGGGTATAAAAAGAAATCGTTTGGACCATTTTTGAAAAAAATTTTATTGTATTTAGACAAACTTTGTTAGGGGAGCGTGATTAGCTTTCGACAATACCGATATAACGACATACTCTATATCACTTGCCTCTAGACTTACTAATTTAGTTATAAGTGTAAAAAGATAAGCTTTTCTAGCTGATTTTTCGCCAAACTAGAGTCGCAAAAATTTTATTTTGATAAATACAAAAAAAAAAAACAAATTAATGGGCAACTTTTGAGCGAAGCATCAGATCCAAGCAAGTTGGGTGTCTTTCGACGCATAATTTCAACAAGATGGCAACAAGGCTAAAAAACCAAAGAGCTCCTATTAAAAAAATGTTATTATGTCACATTGGCCGCTTTTTCTCAAAAACCAATTCCGATACCTTTCGATTGGTGTTATTAGCAGATAATAGTACCTATGCATATGCCCTTGGTGTGCATCGTCCCTATATGTACTGCCGTCCAAAGTGATTTTTTTAAACATTATTATTGTTTGCCAGGTGCTCCAAACAATAACAAAAGTTTGCTACGTTTTTATTTGGTGGTCTTCTTGACAAAAACAAAAACACTCAAACAACAAAACGCGATTAAAATTATTTCTAACTGAAATCCGAATTGAAACTAAATTTGTTTCATAAAACGGTTTTGACTTTTATCAAGACTTCCCTTTCCCAAGTTTTACTCTTGAGGTTTAATTTCGGATACCCGTCTTCTGTTCTTTACCTAACACATTAAAGAGCTTGTGACACCAGTTAAACAAAGTTGTAAGGCTTAGCTTTTCTGTGATTTAATTGCAATCCATATTTTTTTTAGTATTTTTTGTAAATCCAAATTGGTTTATATTTCTCAGCAATCGAATTCGTGGCCTGTGGGCGGGAGTCCAGACCGCAAGAGGCTTCCGCTTAATAGTGGTATCCGTAGCCCTGAGGCACGTAAGCAGCGCCGAAGAGCTGCTGCTGGTGCTGGGGAAGGCCGTAGTTGGGGGCGACGTAGGTGGCCACCGGGGCGGAGTAGGCGCCGGCGGATCCGTAGCTGGGGGCGGGAGCACTGCATGGCACGGGGGCGAGGTTGGGCTGGCAGCTGAACAGGTAGTTCTTGGGGCAGGGAGGAGCTGGGATGCTGGAGCCGCCATAGCCGCCGGAGCTGCCGCCGTAGGCGGACTTGCGCAGACGGGTCAGATCCCCGAATCCTTGTCCGGTCACTCCCTCCAGCTCGCCATCCTGGGCAGTCAGGGACACCGTGGAGCCGGTGGAGCCGGTGGTCGACGCCACGTTGGTGGGCGAGGCCAGGGCGGCGGCGGCGAAGGCGACCAGAGCGATGCAAACAAAGGATTTCATGGTGATTGGGGTGTGAAGATTGATCTGAAGATGGATCGGACCGGATTGGACTGTTCGTAGTTACCAAAGGTGACTGATACCGATTCCAGGCAGCTGCGTATTATATATAGCAACTCAATCTGCGTAGCTAGCACTATGTGCAGAACTCAATGGCTAGATCTTTTCTTCGTTTTTGCCTTAACTACTTTTCTGCTCCATCAGCCCAATGCTTAGTTGTAATACCGCTGACTTTAGTACCACCACATCGTCAGCTTTTTGGGGTCATCACTAGGGGCATAACGTTTAGGTTGGCGAAAATGTGGTACAAATTTAGAGCATTGCACCTTAAGAGTGGGAGTTATACAATAACATGCGAATACTCGACATGCACGAGTATAATAAAGAATGTTATTACAACTATCTGACCCAAAAATATAAGCAAATTTAATGTTTCCAAAAATATCAATTTTTAAAAACCATGACATAATGAAATCATATATCTTACATTAAACAAGAAGGTTTATGTACCCTTGCAGCTTCAAAAAGTTAAATATTCTGTAAAACAGCAATGTTCCCATTGTTTGCCTATATATTTAAAAACAGTGAAGCCATTATGATTTTCCGCTTATTTATTTGATCGTCCCATGACAGCTGTATGATGTCGTTGTCCGGTTTTAATGAAACTAAAGCCGTAATTCTGGTAATTTAAAATATTTTTAAACTCATGAATTTGTTCATTGGTTCACGTGGGAGAAATGTGTTATAGCCGAAAAACAATTTTTGGAAATGCACGAAGCAAATAGCTTTAAAACTGAGAGACGAACTTGGCTAGATGCTAATCAAGAATATATACCAATATATACTTTACAGGGTCAGAAATGTCTCCTTCACAGCGTTGCAAACGCCTGACTGGAGTTATAAACCCTCTGGAAGGTTATAAAAATAACAGGGGCTGAGAGAAACAGTTATGAAGTTGATAAAAAAATCATTAGTTCAGCTGCCCTAAATAGGTTAACTTTTATACCCTTGAAGAGGGTATTCTAGTTTTAGTCAAAAGATGGCCACGCAATGAAGGACACATTTCCGACCCTATAATGTTTTAATATTCTTGATCAGCATCACTCTCCCATGGGAACAAACAAAACAGATAATTGCCACAAAAATTATAACTTTGCTTTGCTTCAATTTTTTTTAAATATACTATAATAATGGTTTTATTTACGAATGCTTTGTTTTACATCCAGTAATCAGAAGAGAATGGATTACAACCTGGATTAATTTTCAATAGGCATGACCGCTTTGTGATTCAGGGCGCGTACAATCTGCAGCGCTAGTACTCGGAAAAGAATGTGAGAGTCGAATCGCCCTCTGGTACTATTACAATTCAAAAAATTAACAATTCTGGTACATTATTCTTACAAAAAAATAGAAATATTCTTTCCCCTTTTTAGAACCTGGCTTCCATTTTCACTGGGTGGACTTTAAACTCCTTAAACTGAGCTTAAAACAATGTATTTATTTTTGGAGTTCCGAAGCACAAATGTGACGGAGGGGAAACGAAATAAAGAGCGTGTGAGCATCAATTACAAATATAGCCCATTACTTTTGAGCTAAAAGTAAAGCATTTTTCCCCAGACCCCATTCACCATTTCGCCGCTATGTAATGAAATTTAATTTTCTTTAAAACATCTAAATTTCGAATTATTTTCGATCGATCCTTATGGAAGCTATAATTCTCCGATTTTAATAAAATAGAAAGCGTAATCCTGCATTTTTTTAACGTTACAATAAATCAAAAAAATAAACAGCAAAGTTACAGCGACTACTTTCGCTCGGTCAAAATTAATAACTCGCTTAATTTTAAAGATATCGAGATAAAACTTTACCAATCGCTTTTTGTATCCTTGGCAACATACATATTAAATATAATGGGATCAAACGAATAAATCGTTTATATTTTTTAAGAAGAACGGATACCTTTGCTTTTGTTATTTTTTCATGCTTCAATATATATTTATACCCTTGCAGAGGGTATTATAATTTCAGTCAGAAGTTTGCAACGCAGTGAAGGAGACATCTCCGACCCTATAAAGTATATATATTCTTGATCAGCATCACTAGTAGAGTCGATCTAGCCATGTCCGTCTGTCCGTCCGTCTGTCCGTCTGTCCGTCCGTCTGTCCGTCTGTCAGTCTGTCCGTCTGTCCGTCTGTCCGTCCGTTTATATGCAAACTAGTCTCTCAGTTTTAAAGCTATCTGCATGAAACTTTCCCAAAAGTTGTCTTTCTATTGCAGGTAGTATATAAGTCGGAACGAGCCGGATCGGACGACTATAGCATATAGCTCCCATAGGAACAATCGGAAAAATAAATGAAAAAAAATTATAACTTTGCTGTTTTTTAATTTTTTGTTTAGTTCTTCGACGTTTAGTAATGGTTAAATATTTCTGATTTACGGTTTAAATTTCATCATAATCGGACGACTATAGCATATAGCTCCCATAGGAACAATCGGAAAAATAAATGAAAAAAAATTATAACTTTGCTGTTTTTTAATTTTTTGTTTAGTTCTTCGACGTTTAGTAATGGTAAAATATTTCCGATTTACGGTTTAAATTATATCAAAATCGGACGACTATAGCATATAGCTCCCATAGGAACAATCGGAAAAATAAATGAAAAAAATTATAACTTTTTTGTTTTTTAATTTTTTGTTCAGTTCTTCGACATATAGCAATGGTTAAATATTTCAGAATTATGGTTTAGATTTTATCAAAATCGGACGTCTATATCATATAGCTCCCATAGAAATAATAAAAATATATAAAATAACTATCAAATAATTGAGTTGCTAATCATCATAGCTTCAATGTTTTTAAACATATACGCAGTAAATCATAATTTTAATGTTTTCAAAAATGTTAAATTCTTGCAATAGCTGCAAGGGTATATGAACTTCGGCTTGCCGAAGTTTGCTTTCTTTCTTGTTATTTATAATACAACAATTGTTTCTTAAGCTCCTCATGTAGCAGCTTTACTTTTTTTCTATAGCTACTTATGGTAAAGAACGTTTTATTAATTAAGCCAAGCTACATAAAAATTATAATTTTTATTTTCAAAACTTAATTAAATTAAATTAAAATTTTAATTAAATTAATAGCTTGCAAATGTATTAGAAGAATGTGTAATGTATATATACAATTTGAAACGTGCCTTCTCCGGGATCTAGTTTCCCTTGGACGGCCACCGATGTTTATGACACCTTTAAATTTTCTTTGCCTTTTCTCCATAATTGATGTTAGCTTTATTTTCTTGCAGTTACCAAAGTATTCTCTCATCATGGTTTAATTATCTACTACATATATTAATAGCATATTTTTTGTCATTTTTGGTTACCATTTCATTCCATATGGAAAACAATTCAAAATTGCAAAACTTGAGGTTATGTACTTAAAAATTAAATTTCAGAAAATGTAACAATTACTCGCGATTATACCAACATACATTTCATCAAGAATTAAATACTCTACAAATCTTAATAAGTTTTAGAGTGGACTCTGCTGTACTCTCTTTGTTGATCTAGTCAACAGATAGATTTATAAATTAATCAGGAAAGGAAGCAAACTTGGATAATCCGAAGTTTATATACCCTTGCAGCTTTGCAAAAACTAAAGATTCTTTAAAAAATCTAAGTTTAGATTTATATGCGTATATGGTTAAAATTTATTTATTTAAAATTAAATTTGTTTTAAATTTAATTTTTTGTAACATTCCTATTGCTCCCATGAGAGCTATATGTTATATCCGTCCGGATTTTTAAATAACAAATTATTACTATGCCTTGAAGAACTAAAGAAAAATCAAAAACAGCAAAGTTATAATTTGTTTTCGTTTGTTCCCGATATTTTCTATGGGAGCTAAATGATACACTCATCCGATCCTGCTCGTTCCGACTTATACACTATCTATAGAAAGACAACTTTTGGTAAAGTTTCAAGCAAATAGATTTAAAACAGAGAGAATAGTTTGCAAAGAAACGGACGACAGACGAACATGACTTAACCCCTAATGATGCTGATCAATAATATATATACTTTTTAAAGTCAGAAATGTCTCCTTCACTGCATGGTACATTTCAACCGCTAAAACACTTTGTACACACCACCAATAAATTCTTGCTACAAAATCTTACTGGAACACTTTTAAACTGTTTTTTTTTTATACTCATTAAAACTTTTTAAAAAATGGATTTTTGGTCAATGAATGTGGTTGTTGGCCCCATAGAGCAATGGGCCCGGTTTCCATAAAGGTTTTTGAGTTTTCTTTCAAACGGTTTTGGTAAAATCGAAGTGTTTCGCATTTTAAAAGTTAATTTTAAGTTCTTCACTTTTAAAATTTCAGTTTCTCTGTTTTTATAACTTTTGATCAAAAGGTAAAGGTATTAATGAGGTTTGGGCTTTGGGTAACTTTTGCGCAAGGCCGTTATTTTTTAAATTATAAAAATGCCACAAAATCAACCAAAATGTTTCAATTAAGATTTTAACGCAGATTATTAAAGAATTTAGCAACAAGATTTAAAAGCAAATCACTTTGTAATCGGAGCTGATTTTTGCAAGCCAGCAGAATTTAAGAAACATCCAAAATAAAAATGGGTGAAAACTATGACATTTAATACAATAACACCCTTAAGAATGGGACCTAATCATAAAAATTAAAGGCCAAGAAAAGCTTTTGTTAGAAACCCCACGGTCCACCCCAACCAGTAAAAAGCTCTGCGAAAGCTCCCCACGCTAATCTCGAACAGCTGACTTTAGCAAAACATTTTGTTTTTGGATTTGGTTTGGGGCCGTCACATCAGTCAGATACGAGATACGGAAGTCCAGAACACGGAGAAGGGCGCGAGATGCGGACGCCGTGCGTAACCACAGTACAAACTATTATTCCAATAAGATAGACTAGAGCGGAACCAGGCCCCATTCCCGTCACCCGACCCCTTCCTAATAAAACTTCTAAGTAAGTAACTACTCATCAACCAACGGCAGCAAAACAACAACAACAAAGGCGGGAATTAAATCTGTCACGCTCTCGTTTACAAGCGTCGTAATCTGTTTGCATAGTGACTGGCGGAGAGCCAAACGTGCCGTTATTTTCCATTCATTCATCGGACGGGAGATTCCTCTCTCTGTTACATAAAGTCCTTGCGCACACCTTCTCTCTTGCCATCGCGCTCTTGCTCGCATTGCGTGAGACTCAGGAGCGGATCGATGTAGGGCTAGGGGTATGGCTAGGGGTATTTGGATTGAGGGTATATTTTGTCAATAACACTCGTATTAAAACGAAATCCTGATATAAATTTCATCATTCTCGCATTACCAGTTTATGAAAGTTCCCCCAAATCCGCCCCTGGTTAAAGTGCAATGTGTTGGGACTTGCATTGGCTGCACTCCTCCCACCAACAGGTGCCTCGCAGCCAAGGCTGCAAATATTGTCGCCCTCTCCCGCTCACTCGGCTGAGGGTCAAGATCGGTGCGAAGAAATGCTCCCCGAAGCCTAATAATTGTGCATCCCGCCGAATGCCATGTTCGAATTTAGAATCTGCTCTCATTGCACGGCTAGTTTCAGTGCGGCGTTCGGCGAAAGCGAATATTGGCATCGAGATCTCCATATTTCACAGCAAGTATCCTCCAACTTGACCATGGCCAGCTCAGAGCCCCCGCCCCTCGCGGCCAGTTCCTTAGGATAGGTAGAAAGGCCCTTGCTATTTCGTCATCGTTGTTGTTGTTTTACTGTTGTTGTCGTTGTTGGCTTGAGTTGAGCAATAGCTGAAGATTTGCTCCGTTCTCCGTTCTGGCCAGGATTAATGTGATGGTACCGCAGGCTGTTAAGCTGTTCCAGGCGTCGGTGAGTCGCCAGTGGCGACGCGGGCTCAGCGGTGGAAAGCTGCATCCAATGGCCAAGGGAGCGCTCACGTACGCAGTCATGTGGCCCGCGGGCAGCCTGATTCAGCAGGCGCTGGAGGGACGCAAGATCCGTAAGTATCCCCTCCGCATCGCATCCATAACCACCTCCTGCTCCGTCCAAATAACCACTCCTCCGCTGACGATTCGCAGGAGACTTCGACTGGGCCAGGGCGCTCCGCTTCAGCCTGTTCGGTGCCTTGTACGTGGCGCCCACTCTGTACGGTTGGGTGCGGCTCACCAGCGCCATGTGGCCACAGACCAATCTGCGCACGGGCATCGTTAAGGCCATCACGGAGCAGCTATCCTACGGACCTTTCGCCTGCGTTAGCTTTTTCATGGGCATGAGCCTGCTGGAACTGAAGACCTTTACCGAGGCTGTGGACGAGACTAAGGAAAAGGCGGCGCCCACGTACAAGGTAACGCCTATGCCGCTCCTCGCTGCTCCCCTTCGCTTACAGTCATCTCATTACTAACAATCCAGGTCGGCGTGTGCATCTGGCCCTTTCTGCAGACCATCAACTTTTCGCTGGTGCCTGAGCACAACCGCGTGGTGTTCGTAAGCATCTGCAGTCTGATGTGGACCATCTTCCTGGCCTACATGAAGACACGCCACGAGGAGCCGTCGGATTCTGCGGGTCTGCCCTGTTCATAGTTGTTTCCAATAGTCGTTTTCGTTACATGTTGTGTGTCCCCTAGACCAATTGATGAATTAGATAGCGTTAGCGTACTTGAATCGGTATTTTAATGGGGTTAGCAGAGTCCTTTAGCTGGTTAGACCAGGTGGTGAGCGACCCACGATCAGTTGGCCCACCCACAGCGAAGATGGCATCATGGAGCTGCCCACCGTCTCTACGATCCAGTCCACGTAGGCGGACACCTCGGTGAAGACGCCTGGGAAAGGTGGTCGGGCGCAGGGCTTGATGCTCCAGGATACGATTCCCACCTGGGTGTCGGTGCCAGCGAGGAGCAGCGGACCGCCGGAGTCGCCGCTGCACTGGCCCTTTCCGCCCTCAGGCAATCCCGCGCAGATCTGGCTTCCGTGCAGCTGGGTCTGGTGGCGCTCGCTGCACTCCGCATCGCTGAACACTTGCAGTTGGACTTTCTGCAGATCCCGCTGGACCACACCGCCAGTCTGAAATTGAAGGAGATAGATTAGTAATGGACTACTACGAAGGGCTGACCACCTTTCTCACCGCATTCAGACCCCAGCCCGCGAGAACGGCACTGGCGTTTCCGGGCGTGACTTGATGAGGCTCTGGCAATCGCACTGGCTGGACACGCTTGGTAAGAGTGACGGATTGCGCCAGCTGAAGCAAGGCGATGTCGTTGATGTACTTGTCGTGTGGCTCGTAGCCTGGGTGGACAAAGATCGCGGCCACGCGGACCAGCTGGCTGGAGTTGCGCGCCAGGCTCTGGCTGCCGTACTGCAAGTCAAGCTGCTCGGGAGAGGAGCTGCGCACGCAGTGAGCGGCGGTCAGGATCCAGTCCGAGTTCAGCAGCGTGGCGCCGCAGGAGTGGTGACCACTCTTCGACCGGCGCAGCGAGACCACAAAGGGGAACTCCCCCGGGGCGGCGGTTGTGCCGTTTACGATCTTTCCATTATCCCCGGAGGCTCTGGCAAGGATGGTGCAGGTGGCCAGGAGCAGCAGCGCCAGCCTTTCGGACGGAGCCATGTTTGTGTGCGGCCCGCTAGAAGAGCAGGGCAATTTATAGGGAACTAGGGGCCCGTATATACATATGTGTTGTGTTAAGTTGAGCTGGCCATGCAGTTGCGGGCGGGACCTATTAGCCATGCTAATGATATGCCAACCTCGCGATTGCGACTCCGCAGGTCCGAGATTGCGATGACGGGCCCACTGCTGTGGCAGAACCTCAAGGTGTTCGTCACCCGCTACCCGATAATGCGCGGCATGATATCCTACAGCCTGATCTGGCCCACTGGCAGTCTCATCCAGCAGACCGTGGAGGGCAGGCGCTGGGGTGAGTCCGATTCGACTGTCTGCCAGCTGGACATTTTCATCCTTTTTTCTTGCAGGCACCTACGACTGGTGGCGCGTGCTCCGGTTCAGCATGTACGGCGGCCTCTTCGTGGCGCCCACTCTCTACGGCTGGGTCAAGGTGGGTAACTGTGTCCCTGCCAGCGTTGTTCCATTTCCGGTCCTCCGCAGATCTCCAGCGCCATGTGGCCGCAGACGTCGTTGAGGACGGGCGTCATCAAGGCGGCGGTTGAGTCGATCTCTTACACCCCGGGCGCCATGACATGCTTTTACTTCATCATGAGCCTGCTGGAGTCCAAGACGGTGGAGGAGGCGGTGGCCGAGGTCGGCAAGAAGTTCCTGCCCACCTACAAGGTATTTTTGAGTGGAGTCCGATTGAAAACAGCTGTGAAATTCATTCTCCAAAGGTGGCACTGTCCGTATGGCCTCTGGTGGCCACCATCAACTTCTCCCTGGTCCCCGAGCGCAATCGTGTGCCCTTCATTAGTGCCTGCAGCCTGTGCTGGACCTGCTTCTTAGCGTATATGAAGCACCTGGAGCACCATGAGGTGGAAGGCGCTATTTAGTGATCGTATTGTTTTAAAATATAATGGTAGTTAAAATAACATAATTAGTTTACCTGCGGTCACACTAGCGCAGTCTGTATATTTGTCCATTATGTGCTGTCCCCACTGCGTCTGTTTTCGTTTCGAGCTGGCAAACGATAGTCTAACGCGATAGTTGTGTCCTCAGAGCACATCCGACATCCGATAACACCTGATCTGAACAGCTGTGGCTTGCCTTCTAACCGTCATTTTAAAATGAGCGCACAATTAATTGGGCCGGTCTGGCATTAATAAACTTTTATCGATGTTTTATAAAACTTTCGCTAAATTCCCTATATTTAAGGTTTAAGGTTCTTCTAACGGTTGCCGCTTTAAATACTGTTGTTTTTTCCCTTTTTTTTATTTTAATTTACGTTATGGTTTTTGAAGTTTTATTTTGGTATTATTTGCCTATGGTTTTTATTATTAATTTGGTTGTATATTATTTATATTCATTGTTAAAAATTGTTAAATTTTTGGTATTATCTTCTTTTTGCTAAGTTTTTTTTTGCAGAAATGGTGTAGGAAGAGAAGAGAGTATCGCACGATTATTCTTATAAAAAATTTTAATTTTGCATGCATATATATTTGCATATCGACAACATTCACGAAGCCGATAATATTTTGATACATTCACGAACGCGTTGTATTTCGATAAGCGTTAAGATAGTTTGCTCCTCCCTATCTAGGTAAAGTTGCCAGATCGGCCCGACACTTTAAAATGACTGTTAAAAAGCAACCTATTTTGGTCATATTTTGCAAGATATTGCCAAAAAAAGCGGACTCCAGGACACTGCTATATATAGCCGCAATATTCGAAATTAGGAAAGAATAGTCCGATCTTAATAAATGATAAAGCATTCGAAAAAAAACGATTTCATAAGAGTTTGTGCATATCAAAAGTTTAAGAAAGTTATTTGGTTTCGGAGTAATGGAGGTGAAAGTGCGCAAAAATTGTATTCTTATATTGGAGCACTGTTGTATTTTGGCTTTAATTACGCGTCCAATGACACCTAGGTCATCGCATCCGATCCATTCAAAAGATGTTCAACAAATTAGATGTTTAGAGCATTTTTCAAATTACGACGTATGTCCTCTAGTTTGTTTCCACGGTGAAATTTTTGATTTAGGGTCTTAAACCCTTTTTACCGGATTAAATTTTTTCTATTACTTTGTGGAAAGCCCGCTAGTTTAGCGGGAAAACGGCTAAAAAAGATAGACTTCACACGCCCACAACTTCCAAACGACGCTACGGGTACGTTGAGTATATAAGTCGGAACAAGCCGGATCGGTCGACTATAGCATATAGCTCCCATAGGAACAATCGGAAAAATAAATGAAAAATAAATAAAAAAAATTTTTAACTTTGCTGTTTTTTAATTTTTTTTTAGGTCTTCGACATATAGTAATGGTTAAATATTTCAGAATTACGGCTTAAATTAAACAGCAAAGTTATAATTTGTTTTTATTTATTTTTTCGATTGTTCCTATGCTATAGTCGTCCGATCCGTCTCGTTCCGACTTATATATACTACCTGCAATAGAAAAACCACTTTTGGGAAACTTTTACGCAGATAGCTTTAAAACTGAGGGACTAGTTTGCGTAGAAACGGACGGAAAGACAGACATGGCTATATCGACTCTCCAAGTGATGCTGATCAAGTATATATATACTTTATAGGGTCGGAAATGACTCCTTCACTGCGTTGCAAACTTCTGACTAAAATTATATACCTTTTGCAAGGGTATAATGAAAAGTTGCATTATTTAAACTTTCTATTCTTAATTTGAGGAAACTTATAATTTGCAAGTGAGCAAGATGTGATCTAATATCTTTAAAACAACGATGTTATGAACAATTTAATTTTCTTTTGAGAGCCAGACAATATATTTTAATGTCCTTGCAAATGGTACGACCATATCAGTCACAAGAATTTAAAATGTTTCCATTCGGCATCGGCTGAAGCGGTCCGAATGGAAACATTTCAAAAGTGTATTTATTTAGTAGAATGTTTATTCATTTTTCGACATAAAATTTGATTTAAAAATGTTGTATGTTGAAGGGTCGATCCTCACGACTTTTTTACCTCGTTAAGAAGTGTTTTGTTCGATAAATTAAATAGCACCGAAGTTATAATTTATCCGATACGGAACGTTCTGACTAAAATCCAAACATCGATAGAAAGAATACTATTGGGAAAGTTTTATCCAAATGGCTTTAAAATTGAGAGACTCCTAATGAGAGTCAAGAATGTTTATATTTTTAGGTTAGAAAGTGTCTCCTTCACTGCGTTTATATACCCCCTGGCAGGGTATTAAAACTTTATGAGTGTTTTCATAGAAGAGGGCTATGCAACTATCTTGGCGAAGACTGACCGCTGAGTAATTAGTCATACTTCTCGCCCACTCAACGGCGATTAAAGATTATGTAAACTATCACGCTATGATCGCCCGCAAAAGAGGAATGCGTGCCACATGCAAAATGAGGAAGCGTCCGCAGCGGGCGAATACCACTAGTGGTGATTATATGGGTGCGGTTCGCCTCACAATATTGCGAGTTGCCCAGGGTGCTACTTTCACTTGGTCATGGTCATGGCCACGGTGTGTTGGCTTTGGGATAGGATAGCTCTAATCACTGGGTGATTATCACATTTTACACAGGCAGCCTGTTTACCGCATACATGAGGAAGTCTGGCCTTGGTTTATTGTTGTAATTTGTCATGGAATTTGAATTCGAAAACGAAAACAGAGAAGCAGAAAAAACAGACGGCGAACGAAAGACCAACTGACTGATTTCAGCTGCTTGCAGGCACAATTTGTTGTCGAGGGATTGGAAAAGGGAGAAATGTACAAAAAGGCATGCGGATGACATGGGAAGCCCCAACCAATTTTTCCAGCCCCTGCAGATAAGTTCACCACGCAACTGTACAAACAGGCAGACAATAGGCTAAGAATAGATTCGTATCTTGCAGATACTATTACTCGATAATATTGGAAACTTACCCTTTTCAATCGATACTTAATTTAGAGCGTAATTCTGAAATGTTAAGCCATTACTATGCTTAAAAGAATTTTTAAAAAAATTAAGCAAGATATGCAGCTATTGTAAAAATTAAATATTCTTGAAAACACTTTATTGACGATTTTTATGCGTATAGCTCAAAAAATGTATGATTTCAGCTTAATTATTCGATGACAGCTATATCATTTCGTTTTCCGATTTGAAATTAATTAAAATCGTGAATCGAAACTATCAGAATATTTATTTCCAATAGAATTAAAAAAAAAAAAACAAAAATAGCTATTAATTAATAGTGACGACTAATTAGTCGTCCGATTTTCATTAAATTTAAACCGTAGCTCTGAAATATTTACCCATTTCTACATCTCGAAGAACGAAGAAAAAATTAACAAACAGCAAAGTTATGTTTTTTTTCATTTTCTTTTCCGATTGTACTTATGGGAGCTATATGCTACAGTCGTCCGATCCGGCTCGTTCCGACTTATGTACTACCTGTAACAGGAAGACAACTTTTGGGAAAGTTTCCTGCAGATAGCTTTAAAACTGAGAGACTAGTTTGCGTAAAAACATGGCTAGATCGACTCTAGTGATGCTGATCAAGAATCTATATACTTTATAGGTTCGGAGATGTCTCCTTCACTGTGTTGCAAACTTCTGACTGCAATTATAATACCCTCTGCAAGGGTATAAAAATAGGAAAGTTACTTTTTTTATGTTTTGTTTTTTAATGTTTCTATTGTTTTCATGGAAGCAATTTGTATTTTACAAACTGAAACCCTAGACAACTACACTGTATCTTGCAACGATCAACGAAGTCAACGATTTTTAACTGTAGCGTGAATTTTATTTTTGCAATGTGTACTGAATTGACGGTTGAATTGATTGCGAAAATAAATATTTTACAACCAGACTACAATTATTACATTTTCAAATTTTTTTTTTTTTTTCAAGAAAAACAAGAAGACGCGGATTAGTCAATCTCCCCGACTATTAGATACCACTTACTCAGCTAACTAAATTCAAAATAAGTTCTTTCCCAGAAAACATTCGGGCTTCAGCAAAGTGCTTGCACTTCTTAGGTTCTAGGTTCTTTTGTTCATACCTTAGCATATAGGATAGAGAAAAACTGTCTTAATTTAGGCATTTTGTGTAAATGGCAAGGTTAATTAATTAACATTGATGTTTTTGTTCAAAATTACTATTTCTCCCTAATTTAGAATAAATCTTACTTACAGAAATAAAATTTTAGGTAAAAATCTTTGTACGCGACTTGCAAAAATGTTGTATACTAAATTTAAAGTGGTATTTTTATTGTACTGTCCTTTGGGTTAAATATATAAATAAATAAATATTTTTCGTATACGTAACTTTAAACCTTCTTAATTTGAATATAAAAATAGTAAAATAGTAACTAAAATTTAATACACTGTGATTTATCAGCACGGAAAATTTATTAATATTGGCGTCTACTAAGTTATTGTTTTGGGTTTATAAATTAGTAATACTATTTTCAAGAAAGATTTCGGCTAAACCTTTTTTTTTTGGTCCTTAGGCTACTACACATCAAGGTGATTTTTCTAAAATATATAAATGTATTTTAATGACTGCAAGAGCACCCCAACCCTATACACCATGCAAACCAGAAATCATTATAAAGTTTTTATTTACAGATTGGTCAACCATCAGCGTTTCGTAAACTACATGACATATTGGGGGCCCAAGGCCAGGCGATAGTTGTATTCCTCGAAAAGTTCCGGGGCCACTCGGAACGGCTGATCCATCAGGGACAGGCGGATGGGCGTTTGGCAGGAGGGCGTGGCATAGGCGGGCGTGGCATAGGCGGGCGTGGGCGGTGCAGATGGCGGAGGAGCTTCGTAAACGGCAGCCGGTTGTGGTGATGGTACTGTCTGGCTGATATATTCCACCTGAGTGGCCGATTTCGATGGCAGTGGAGTAGACAGGTAGATTATGGGTTGGTAAACGATTTGTGCCGGTGGGGACCCAACGTAATTCGGCTGTGCGGCTTGGCTGTACTCTGGCGACTTGCCATAGACCTCGGAGGTGCTTCCAGGCTGGGTGTAGCTGGGTGCCGGCGGATCGTAGCTGGGAGCTAGTGGGGCAGGAGTGTTGTCATAGTTAGGAGCAGGTGGCGCTGGAGCTTCATAAGAAGGAGCAGGTGGCGCAGGAGCTTCGTAAGAAGGAGCAGGTGGCGCAGGAGCTTCGTAAGAAGGAGCAGGTGGGGCAGCGGCTTCGTATGAAGGAGCAGGTGGTGCCACGTAGCCCGCATTGCCATCTCCGGGACCATTGTACTCGGGGTTGGGTGAGACATACCCTCCGTTGGGCAAGCCTCCATAGCCGTCACCGCCGTAGGAAGAACTCGGAGGTGCCACATAGCTGTTCTGGGGCTGCGGCGACTGACCACAGCCTCCGGCACACTGGCCACAGGGAGTGGGGGAGGGGAAGAGATCGGGGAGTTTCTTGAACAGCTTCAGCTGTTTGAAGGGATCCAGATCCTCGAGCTGGAGGCCAATGCAGTTGTTGGCAACAGCGGCCGCGGGGGAAGCTGGAGCTGGTGGGTACAGCAGATTGTTGTTGCAGCAGTTGTTGTTGCGGGGAAAGAGGTCATCCCACCACTTGAGTAGCGAGCGGTTCGATCGTTTCAGAGGCTCGTTTGGGGCCACCAAAGGTCCCCGGTCCGCCATCATGTAGTAGAGGGGCTCACCCGGTGCCGCAATCGTATTCGACCCGCCCTCCTTTTGGGCAGAGGTGGACATAGCGAAAGCCATCGCCAGCAGGCTCAGAGTCAACGATCTACTTGTGGAGTGCAGCATTTTGCGACGATTTAACCTCGCGAGGCAAACTCTTAATTTCAACTACCAAGTCGAATTGCTGCCACTGGCAGCTCGAGCTTCCAGAAATACGGCGGATTAATGCAAGGTCAGCAGCTGATACCTTCTGACGGGGCATAATAGTTTACTCAAGAAGCACGACCTCTGGTCGTATATATATATATAAACTTCTCAATTTCAATTTTACCAGCCACAACAACTTGTATTTGACGAAAATCATGAAATCTTTCGAGGAAAGGGTAGCAACAGTGCTTGTAAGCCAACTAGCTGTTAAATGGATCAGTGGAATGAGGAAATTTAAACTGCAACTTGAGCTTTGCAAAACCCAAATCTAACCCAATTCTGGTAAAACTTAATCGACAGGTGTCCCATTTAATCACTGGTTCAAGAGTCCCAATCACCTCACTGGGAGGCCAATGACTTTGTATTACTTTATTGTTGCGTTGCTTTCTTTATTATTTATTCAAATTGTTCTCTTACGTGCTCGAAATAAGCAAACGGAAGCGAAACATAAGCATGAGGTTCCTGATTTGTCCGCGGAGCGTGACTGCCTTGGCTTCAAGCCGCTATAAGCCTGGCCACTCGAAAGCAAAATGCACATTGACGAACGGAAGTTGATCGAAAAAAAAAAAAAAAAATACATTATTACTTCCCACTGGCATATCCATCACTTATTCATCGCATTTCACAAACGCCCAGGCTGTTAAAATGTAACAGACGACGCAGGCTGTAATATAATCTATCAGGTAACTAAGCAATTTCAGCAAGAGATTTCCAAATATACCAAACAAGACAAAACAATTGTTTGTGAGTTTGACATGAAGAAAAATGTCGCAACTTTTTTAACTTGAAAATTGTTTGGACGTTCAAAATAATGGCGCAAATTTCATTCCAACGATTGTAACAACTGCAACATGACAAATTTAGCATTGGTCAAGTTATACAAGCTTTTGATACCAAACCCAAACCCAAAGAAAAAATTAAGCAAACCGCTGCTGATTTCAGAAAATCAATTGATTTGGATGTAATGCCGATTTTGCCTATACACTCATTAAAATAGTTTTCTAAATCACCCTAAAAATTAAATCGCCCTTAATTAAAAGGAACATTTTGTTATAATTAGAAAAAAAAACTGTAGAACATGTTTAGAGCTCAGAGGCGTGGGCTCTACCCTTCGGATAGTCATACGATTTATATTTTTTTGTTTTTATGTGTTTTAAAAACTATTTAATAGATCACTACTTACCTAATGTTAAGGGTAAATTTTTTCATACTACGCCTGACCTATTTGTTATTGCAGTGCAAAGGCAATAAATAAATAAATTGATGCTTATAAATTTAATAAACAAAAATCAATAAATTAAAAAATTTGTTAAAAATAAAATTTACAAACTTTTTATTTTTTATTTTAATATTAACTTTAAGGAAAAAATAAATCAAAACATAAAAATATTGCGCTTATGGGTAACGTAAATTGACAAATTTTATTTTACACTCATAGAAATTTCTTCTTAAAATCCAGAAAAAAACACCTTTGAATTCTCGGCAAAGGCGAGTCGCCGTTATTTAGAGAAAATTTCTTCTTAAAACAAGAAATGCAGCTCTTAAACCAAGTAATATTATTTCTAAAAAAACAAAAATATTTCTTGTTTGAAGAAAAAATATTTCTTAAAACAAACAAGAAATGAAGCAAACTTCGGCAAGCCGAAGTTAATATACCCTTCCAGCTATTCCAAACATTAAATATTCTTGAAATCATTAAAATTATGGTTTACTTGCGTATATGTTTAAAAGCATTAAAACTATGATGATTTGCAGCTATATAATTTATTAATAAGTCAAAACGAATTTTAAAAAAAATTACAAAATAGAAAAGTTACATTTTTAATAAATTTTTTTTAAAATATTTTTATTGTTTCCATGGGAGCTTTATGTTATAGTCGTCCGATTTTGATTTAAACCATAATTCTTAAATATTTAACCATTACTATAAGTCAAAGAACTTCAAAAACAGCAAAGCTATAATTTTTTTCACTTATTTCCGATGGTTCCTATGGGAGGTATATGCTATATTCGTTCCGACTTATGTATGTACAAGCTGCAATAAAAAGACAACTTTTGGGAAAGTTTCATGCAGAAACGGACGGACAGACGGACAGACTCACCTAGTGATGCTGAACAAGAATATATTTACTTTATAGGGTCGGAAACGTTTTTGACTTGAAAAAAAGTATTTTTAAAATATTTGAAAAGATCGAAGAAATTGGTTAAAAACACTTTTTGTTTTAAGTTGACTCCGTTTTGTTATTTTGAATTATTTTTTTTTAAAGTGGTCAACCCGATAACGGCATTTTTACTGAGGAAGAATATATTTAAATTTTTTCCGGTCTCTACAAGGTTTGAAATCATGTCAACCAGGCTTGTAACTCGGCGAGTATTAAGTTTTTTTTTGTATTTTTATACCCTTGCAGAGGGTATTAAGATTTTGGTCAGAATTTTGCAACGAAGTGAAGGAGACGTTGCCGACCCCATAAAGTATATATATTCATGATCAGGAAAAGGGAGTCGATATATTCTGTCTGTCCGTATGTCTGTCCGTTTGTCTGTCTGTTTTAATACCGTTTTCAAGCTCAGTTTAAAAGCATGTGTACGCAGATCAGTTTGAAAAGCGTCCGATCGGACGTCTAGGAACAGTCGGATATAGTTTGCAAGAATTTAAAAGCTTTTGACATGCATCTTTCCAAATCGTATTTACGTTTAACGTTTTTCAGCTGTTTCGTGCCTGTTATATTATTTATCTCCAGTTTTGATTTTTGTCATCGATTTTGTTTTGTTTGATCTCTGGAGGATTTTGTCGATTTAAATTTCTGCCTGTTTTATCAATTTTTTGTCTGTGTATTTAAAATTGAATATATTAATGATTCGGCTAACTAGTTTGGTAACTCATGAAAACCTGCAAAGTATTTGGTGAGAAGCTAAAATAATGGGTCTGAGGGCATTAGCTTTGAAAACTTGTATTAAACTTTATTTATTTAAGGGACCCAATTACAGATAGAGGAGCTATAGCTGCTGCAGGTATCTGTGCTTCTGGGGGACTCGCCCACTGGAGCGTGGATTGTGCCGCTTGCGTTTGTCGGGCTTGAGCAGCTCCGCCGCCTTGCTGACAAGTGCCTGAATCTCGGGGGCGTCGGCGGAAACGTCGGCGTCCGCTTCTGGGAGGGGTGTGGTCACCGCCGGCTCTTCGTCCTTGTCAATATCTTCGGCAGAGTCTTCGTCCTCGGAACTATCGCGGGCTTCACTCACATTGGCATTGGCATCGGGCTGATCTGAGCTGGAAGGCGTGGTGCTGCTGGAGAAGTTCAGCTTCGAAGTTCTGCCGGAGTGTGCCTCAGTTCGTGGAGCAGCTTCTGTGGTCGAGGTGCCTTCCGCGCCCTGGTCGAAGTTGAATACCCGCTGAAAGAGGTTGCCATTGGACGCTGGCACGTTGGGAGCCGGCGCTGCCAGGATTCGGTTGAAAGGATTGAACGGGTTGAGGGCTCCGAAGGGGCCGAAGGGGTTGAGACCCATGCCCAGCTGCATTCCCATGCCGAAGGGGCCGCCCACCTGGTGCTGCATGTCGTATCCCGGGGCTCCCATCTGCGGAGCCATGCCAAAGGGACTGCCCAACTGGCCAGCCATCCCAAATCCGCCTCCTCCGAAGGGACCTGCCACTGGCCCCGTATCCAGGCCAAAGGGCGTGGCCATGGGCGGGCTCCTCAGTATTCCCATTCCCGGTGAGGCTCTCGGCAGAGCAAAGTAGGGAGTCGGCTGGGGTCGTTGTCCGTAGCACGGCATGCTTATGATAACCGGCTGGAAGCTTGGACAGGAGGTACTGTAGCTGACCCCGTTGTCCGGCTGTGTGGGGCACTGGCCCACTGGCTGGGCAGGGGCACTGCACCCACTGCAGTATGGATTGGGAGGGGGAGACACCTCAGATTGGTATGAGTACGTTGGCGGTGGTGGCGGCAGAGTTGGTGGGGCAGGAGCCTCCGGGTATTGGGTATTGTGGGGACTGTAACCGGACGCCATTTGACCCATCATTGGTTCCACCACTGGAACCGAAGCCTGAGAAATTTGCTCCTGGTTGTCCTGTGTTGGAGAGCCCGATCCCGACAAACTGCTGTAGAAAGCCTTCATGACCGGATCGTTTTCCGGATTCTCCGTGTGCGACAGCGGCACCCACATCAACTGATCTCGAGGATCTGTCTGACGGTGCTGTTGGTCGAGAGCGTCCCGCCTAAATCCTGCGTCCGGCCAGGCCTGCACTTCGTCTTCCAACCCAAATCGATGCCGGCTGTTACCCACTATGCTGAACTCCATGGGGCGGTTCGACGATCGCGGAGGCGCTGCAGGATCAGGCGCAGGGGGCGTGGCCGTTGGGCCTGGGCCAGCTGTAGCTCCTGGTGTAGCTGCTGGCGGGCTGCCCACAAGTGGCTGAGAAAGTTGTGGCAGGCCAGACGACTGCGCCGGAGATGCAGGCGGATGGGCAGCCATGGGGTTTCCGTAGAGTCCGTACTGGGCGTGGGGTTGGTGCTGCTGAGGAAGAGGCTGCCACTGGGGCTCCTCCTGGTGTGTCGTCGGACCCGCTGATGGCTGGACTTGATGAACGGGATCTCCTGGGAGTGTCTGCTGTGGATACGACCCGCCTCCAAAGGCGGGAGGAAAGGGAAAGTTGTGACCGGCAGGATGGGGGTTTGTCGTGGTCGAAAACTCGTCTCCGGGGCCAGTGGAGTCCGCTCCCCGGCACATGTAGAAGGGCTCCCCCTCGCCTCCTTGGTGTCTCACCTCCACGCAGCTTTGCTGTCCACTGCCGTCGGCGAAGTTGGCTCCGCGGCACATGTAGTACGGTTCATCCTTGGGGCTACTTGGCCTGATCTCCACGCAGATGGTCGTCATGGTGCGCTTGCTGCGATGCCTGCTGCTTACTTCGCCGGCTCCAGTTGCAGATGCAGTTGCAGTTGCTGTTGCAGGCACCGAAAGACCGATGAGCAGCCATGTCCCGAGGTACAGCAGCATGAGTTCTGTGAGGTTCTGTCGATAAGTTCCCATGTTCTTCTTCCGCTCACTAACTTCCGCTTGTAACTGGTCAGCGCTTTTATAGTCTTTCGCTTTCTGTTATGGAATGGGTCCATTAGAACTGCAGTTTTACTGACAACTCACAACCAACTTCCACGGCTTACCCAACTTAGTTCCCCGTAGAGATCTTTCGAAATCTCCTCTTGCTTGAGTTAAGGTTTCCTCTACAAACTGCAGGCTTTGGCCAATTGCACTGGTAATCGGAGTTTTGTTCGCTTGAAAATCGTTTCACTGAATAAAAAGCAATGCAGGGAAAACTTTGGAACGGACCTGGCCAAGAGGTTTCCACTCATGACGGAAATGCACTTCCGTTCGCGGGGTAGATGGAATTCAAAGACAACACAGTCGATGGATAATTAAAAAGGATATCTTTATCAAGGGACTCATTTATTTTATTTGTTTGATTACTTTTAAGCATAAATCACCAACTTAAGATTTGATTAACACTGAAAAATAAATATCTGTTCCATGTTTAAATTCATATTCATAGTGTGGTAGAGCATTCGCTTGCAGACTTCTCTAAAATTTAAAAAAATTTTTGCAATAATTTTAATTTGACTTGTGCAGTTCAACAAACTTCTCAGGTGTCTTCCGATTTTCAATGGTCAGCACTTTCAATGAGTCTGGGACAAATGAGCCAACCGTTTGCAGTGTGCTCGACATTAGCCAAAGCCGACATTAAATCGGTCAGTCGGTCAGCAAGTGTTAGATAGTTGGGAGTGCGTGCCATTTCATTGTAACTGACCTGACCCTTTTGTAAGCAAAAACCCTGAAGGGCCCTCCTCCAGTTCCCTGAGATGACTAATGAGCAATCATACATATATGCTCCAACATCAGCCAGTGTGCGTGTTTTGCAGACATCAAATTAGGCCAGTTCGGTTTCGTCATCATTTCATTTAACAAGAGCCTTAGAAACTTCAGGGCTTACGCAATTCGTTCCTTTGGCTGGAAGTTTTAATTGCAGCTCTTAGTAAATCTAGTTGTGTTCTTTGTTTTTCACCCATTTGAGTGTTTTTCCATCTCGTATTGGCGCGTGGGAAAACTGATGATTCGTAGGGTGTAGATGTTTTTGCAAATGTTTATAAAGACAACATCAGTCGCAAAATATCTTTTCTTAGACAGATAAATCCGTATATATTCGATTTACCAGCAGATGGATGGGTTTAATTGAGCGATAATTGAGATAAAAATATAAGATTAGTTTCGATTTTCGGGCTTATATTTTAAAGCTGTAAATTTTAATGGCGGCGCCAAATTTTAATCAATTTTTGTTAATTTTATCGAGCACTAACAGCTTTTTATTTCAAGGTGAAAAGCGTGAATTACTGCACCGGAAAACAACACATTCGTCACTGACGGATTTTGTCGATTTAATTTTATAAACCAAGATAGTCCATTTCGTATACATTTTTATGGAACCAAATAAAAATATAATATTTGCCTTGCCCTGACGATTTCAAGATATTACGTTTCTTGGAAACCTTTTTATATTCTTATTGATCACAGTAAATTTCGTCTGGGTACCGCATTTGGCAGTAAAAAACTTATGTAATTTTCTATCAGGCGAATACATTTTCGAATTAAGCTGTACCACTGACATAAATCTTCCACTCGTCTCAGCTATACAAATAATTGGTTTTTCAAAAAGCAGGGGCAATTTCGGCACATTATAAAAATAAGCGAAATACTGGTAACATACTTGTATTACCTAAAACCGACAATCAATCAAGGTGAGATGTGGTCTGGCACTGATTATTTTTATTTCCTTGCAGAGGGTGATATAATTTCTGAAAAAAGGTTCGCAGTAAATGAGGCATTTCTGACTCTATAAATTTGTTTATTCTCACTAGGAGAGTCGATCTAGTCATGTCCGTATGTCCGTCCGTCCGTTTATCCGTCTGTCCGTCCGACTGTTCATCGCAAACTGAAAGGGTATAATATCTGAAAGGATATTTAAAAAACTATAAACCTTCTGATACTACATCATGATGGTAATAGTTGGAAAAACTATTTTCTATGAATGTTGCGGAACTGTATGTAACTATGATATAATGTACAAAGTCTTAAACAAACGATTCTTTTTTTTAAGCAATTACAAAAAGCAATTACAAAAAAAATAAAAACGTATAGAAATGTTCACCAAAATTACCATTTTTTATAAAAATATATGTCAAAAATACATTTTTTTTCCTTCGTCCAATACCTACTTTATTGTCTTAGCTAAAACACGTATTTTTTATTTTTTACTTCTGGTGATCCTGCAAAAAATTCAACTGTCAACGCGGAGATACCTTTATTTCCATGGGACTGCCGGGAATTACGCGAGTTTTTAATGTTTGGTTTTAAAAAAATATCACAAAATCTTTATTGAATATGTATCTCTAAAAAAAAAAAATTTTAACCAAATCTTTTCAGTTTTTATATGAAAAAAAAAAAACTCATGGAAAAAGTATTTTAATTTAGATGGCCCTGATGGCTTTCAATAATTTTATCACGATTTCGGAAACACAAACTATATTTTAGACGCCACCACAGCCGAGAAAGTGAAATAATGGTGTGGGGTGCTATCACGTTTTATGGAACTATTGACTTAATTTTTATCGATCAGAAAACGCACGGCAATCGCTTCTAAACATTTTTGGAGTCCGTACTTTCAAAATGAAATGATCTCTTTAGACTTTATATCATACCATATTCTCCAGATCTAAACGCAAATGAAAATATTTGGGGCTTGCTAAAGATAAGGAAACATTAACTGCAGTCATTAAACGTTTAACCAAATATTAAACAATAAAAAAAGCTAACTTCGCCAAGCCGATGTTTATATACCCTTCCAGCTGTTCCAAATATCAAATGTTCTTTAAAACATCTAAATTTGGTATTATATGTATATATTTAAAAACATTGAAACTATAATGATTTTACCTTTATTATTCGATCGTTTCTTGGCGATTGGTATTGTTTTACGATAAAAAACGAAAATTAATTTGTTCTGAATAATTAAATATAACAAAATAATTTTAACGAATTAGGGAAGTTAGAATTTGTTTCAAATATATGGATTGTTCCCATGATTTAAATGATTTTTTGTTAATCAAATAAAAGCAGTAATTCTAAAATAAAAAAAATTACTATTAATCTAAGCACTAAAAAATTAAATTTCTTCCCGATTGTTCCTATGGGACCAATATGATATAGTCTTCCGGTCGGGTTTTTAGGTGTCTGTAATTTATTTTACCGAAAAACGAGGAACCGTAGTGTTGTGAATGTGCTAGAGGGCACAAAAGTAAAGGATTGCTTTGATTGAATCAAAACAGCTTAGCTGTGAAGAGTCTGCTCTTTTTCGTGATCTGGCTTCTGAAATTAGTTTGTCATTTTGTCCACCCGAAAACGCCTTACAAGCTTTATAATTAGCTCTCACATAAGCGGATGAGATAACCAAACTTACTGAATTTCAGAATTAAGGTTTTAATTGTATTTAATACGGACAATTATTATTCAGGGTAAAAAACAGCAAATAAAATATATTCGTTCTAGGTCTATTTCAATTTCACTCTGATCACAGAGACCAAATAAGTCGCCATTAAAATTTCAGATAACCTTATAATTTATTATAAAACAAGGGTGGCATTAGGTCCAAAGCTTATATTGTAGAATTGTTCACAATAAAATTGGGTACGGCAGGCAAAATTAGTTCGTTTGACCAAAGAGAACTAACTTACAAATTTGCAGTTTGAGTCGCTAGGTAAAGATAAAAAAGGAGATGATATGATATGATGAGAGAGAACAAACAGTCGTTATAAAGAATATTAAATTTATTAACAGCTGACAGGGTATATAAACATCGGCTTGCCTTAGTTTGTTATCATTATTGTTTTTATTTAAATTTGACAATGTCACTCGGCGTTAACTTTTTCAAGCGGTTTTGGATGTACAATAGACACTCTATGGCCACTAACTATACCCACCACAATTTCCCTCTATGAAAAGACACTCTTATTCAGACTCCTATGATTTGCGGAGACTACGGAAGTTACTTTTCTTTCCTGATAATATGACGAGGACTTAGTGTCCTTTCGCGAGTCGCCCAAAGATGACATTTGAGCATCCAGTGGCATCGAGCGGAGCGGTTTAGTGTAAGCGGATCGCAGACGCCTAATGAATTTTCGTCCATTACGTACGTAAGAACGTGACGAATTCAATTATAGTTTCATGTACATATTGTGAGCAAATCCAAATTCCGAGTATATCATGGACGAGGACGAACGGTACTACTGGCACCTGCGGTCCGTAGATAACGAGGAAGTGCCGCGCTTCCCGCCCACCAACATGGTGGAGCCACTGACGGCCAGCAGCCTGCTGCAGCTGTACCTCAACACCTTCGTGGCCGCCAATCTGGCTGAAGCGTGCGTGTTTCCGCTGGACGTGGCCAAGACCCGTATGCAGGTAGACGGCGAGCAGGCTAGAAAGACGGGCGCCGGAATGGCCACCTTTCGGGCCACGTTTGGCAACATGGTCCGGGCGGAGGGCTTCAAGTCGCTTTACGCCGGCTTCTCGGCGATGGTCACCCGTAACCTGGTCTTCAACTCGATGCGCGTCGTCCTCTACGACGTCTTTCGGCGCCCCTTCCTCCACGTGAACGAGCGGAACGAGGAGGTTCTCCGGATCCACCTGGCGTTGGGCTGCGGCTTCACGGCTGGCTGCATAGCCCAGGCGCTGGCCAACCCCTTCGACATCGTCAAGGTGCGGATGCAGACGGAGGGCCGACGGCGTCAGCTGGGCTACGAGGCACGGGTGAGCAACATGGTGCAGGCCTTTGTGGACATCTACCGCCACGGCGGACCGGCCGGAATGTGGAAGGGTGTGGGGCCCAGCTGCATGCGGGCCTGCCTTATGACGGCCGGCGACGTGGGCAGCTACGACGTCAGCAAGCGCACTTTCAAGCGCCTCCTGGAGCTGGAGGATGGCCTCCAGCTGCGCTTCCTTTCCTCCATGTGCGCCGGGCTGGCGGCCTCCGTGCTCAGCAATCCGGCGGACGTGATCAAGTCGCGGATGATGAACCAGCCGGTGGACGAGAGTGGAAGGAACCTGTATTACAGAAACTCGATCGAGTGCGTCCGGAAGCTGGTGAGGGAGGAGGGCCCCCTGACCCTGTACAAGGGTCTCATGCCCACGTGGTTTCGCCTCGGACCCTTCTCTGTCCTATTTTGGCTGTCCGTCGAACAGCTGCGCCAGTGGGAGGGCCAGGCGGGATTTTGATGATCAAGTTTTTGTGTTGGTGTTGCATTATGTAACTCTTTTGTCGTATAATAAAAGATACAAGATACGAGTCGTCGACCAGAGAGCCGATCTATTTTATCGAAATCAGAAAGCTGTTAAAATAATAAACATTGAATAACTGTAATAACTGATTTATACACTGTGAAAAGTTGAGAACGAGAAAACCAAGAGCAAATCCGCTCTATTTCAGTATTTTTTCTTATTACTTTATCGTGAAATCGAGGAGAAGTTGTTTTTTGTTCTCGATTTCGCTAATCGAGAAGAAAAACTCTTGAAATCAAAAATAAAAAATCATGGACTCGAGATAAAATTATTTTAAAACTTAAAAAATTGAAAGAGATCGGGCCTCGTCGTTTCCTTTGTAAAGTTTTGTCTTTGATTGATTAAGCGTTAAGAAGTGGAACCATGGAGATCACAGAAGATGACCGGTTGGTTGACCTATTGGTTGGATGACCTATTGGTCGAATTTAAGTTGTTGGAGGCCCAGCGATATTTGCACAGTAAGTAAACAATATTTTATTAAATGAAAATTAATAAATAATTCTTGTTATTTACATATATGTAGAAATAATACTTCATGTAATAATTTTCATTTAATTTAAGAAAGTGGTATGTATTAATTTATTTTTGATAAAAAAAAGCTTGTTTCAAATGTTTAAATTTACTATTTAACGCGTGTTTTAGTAAATCAAAGGATTTAACACGAGTTGTGAAATAGCAATTAACCACAAGATGTCTTCTTTATTTCGGTAAATCCATTCTTGGCGCACTATTGAGCACGGAAATTTTTTAAATGAAGAGCTTAAACTTCTAATAGCTTTCAAATGAAACCCCTTAGAAAATTTACAACTCCTTTTTTGACGCTGTTTCTGAGCTGATTTCTGATTTGAAGAGACATTCTATATTAGGTTGGGGTTACGAATCACTTTGTTTTAAATATTTACCTACACATGTATAAACATGATGAAGTTATCGAACGAAATACATTATTCCGTGACTCAAATCCATCATGAACTTGGAAATATGTGTTAAATTTCAGATTTTTCTTATTTTGAATGATCTCTGAAACATTTAAAATTTATATTCGTTGTCGAAACACCTTTTTACTTTCAGTTTTATCTTGTGTGTGTTTGTTATATATGGTGTCGAAGAACGTTCTATTGCAAGTTGAACGAAACATTAATGATCGGTTTACCAGAACACTAGATAAAAAAACAAGAAGGAACGATAAAGATATCAGGGTTTAAGTGGCTCGACAAAATCCTCCAGAGATCAAACCTTGGCGTTCTGGTACAGTTCCCTGAATCAGAAAAAGACACTCCAAATTTTTAATATGGCACCATTTTTATACCCTTGCAGAGGGTATTATAATTTCAGTCAGAAGTTTGCAACGCAGTGAAAGAGACATCTCCGACCCTATAAAGTATATATATTCTTGATCAGCATCACTAGGCGAGTCGATCTAGCCATGTCCGTCTGTCCGTCTGTCCGTCCGTTTATATGCAAACTAGTCTCTCAGTTTTAAAGCTATCTGCATGAAACTTTCCCAAAAGTTGTCTTTCTATTGCAGGTAGTATATAAGTCGGAACGAGCCGGATCGGACGACTATAGCATATAGCTCCCATAGGAACAATCGGAAAAATAAATGAAAAAAAATTATAACTTTTCTGTTTTTTAATGTTTTGTTTAGTTCTTCGACATTTAGTAATGGTTAAATATTTTCGATTTACGGTTTAAATTTCATCAAAGTCGGACGACTAAATCATATAGCTCCCATAGGAACAATCGGAGAAATAAATGAAAAAAAATTATAACTTTTCTGTTTTTTAATTTTTTGTTTAGTTCTTCGACACATGGCAATGTTTAATTATTTCAGAATTATGGTTTAAATTTTATCAAAATCGGACGTCTATATCATATAGCTCCCATAGAACTAATAAAAATATATAAAATAACTATCTAATAATTGAGCTGCAAATCATCATAGCTTCACTGTTTTTCAGTATATACTGAAGTAAATCATAATTTAAATGTTTTCAAAAGTATTTAATTCATGCAATAGCTGCAAGGGTATATGAACTTCGGCTTGCCGAAGTTTGCTTTCTTTCTTGTTTTAAGTTTAAACAACGCTTTTCACCCGATTTTATTATTTATTTATTTTGTCTTCAGTTCTGCATAAAAAAATTGGCTTCGTGTCTAGTGTCATATCCCCCCATTAGCGGCAAATGCAAATACAATTTTAATTTGTTCCAAAAAGACTTAAAACCGAAACAGATATAGTGCTTGTGCTTCCGAAAACCTTAGCCACCACTTACCTTTTTGAAAAGAGAACGCAAGCTGCAAATTAATACATTAACATTTAAACTTTGTGAGATGATAATGTCATTGAAATAGCGCGCTATTGGCACACACATTAAAAAGGTTTGCCATACAAATTGCTCATACAAATGAAGTGTGATAGATTTCCGTTTTTCAAATATGAATTAACGTTATAATATAACATAATTGCTTCGAGCTTATAGAATATTGGGTTGATTTTGAAAAAAAATTCTATTGGTGTGTCCGTTGATTTGGACCAAACATGGGAAGAGACATTGCCGTCAGTTGGGCACTAGGAAGGAAAATGACGGTCGACGCCACATCAAAGATTGAGGAGAAGCGAAATCGGCTATTGCTGGCACCGAATGGAAAGAAAAAGCTAAATAAATAATAAATACTGCTGATAGGCTTTCAAACAGCTCTTGTTCTTTTCCTCATGTGATACCAGTTATAGAACAATAGTTTTAGGCTTTAAAAAAGCGCTGGTTTACACTTGAAGAGGGTAAGTTAATTAAGATTTGCTGTCTGTCCAACCAGTATAAACAGGAGAGTCAACATCCCTTTATCCTGCAATCTACTCGATTGGTTTAAGCCTAGTGGTTTTAATTAAATCAACAAAATTTGTAATATTGTAATTTACTTTCCAAAATCAGCTTACTTTCTAGTTATTGGCTGAATAGTTCGTTCTTATGACTGAAGCTTCCATTCTTAAAATACTTGGGTGATTGAATAGAGCTAATTTCCGACCCGGGTTTTCCTAAAAACGCGGTCACTCTTGACCGGCGGCAAAGAAATTTGAACTTGTTGTTTCGTTAGAGACGAATACAAACACGCGCCACCACAAAAAATAAATACAATGTGATTAATTTTACAGCTGATAAAAGTGGTCGAGCATCCTCGCCTTTACATACGTACATCTGTATCTTCGCCTCAATCTATGTATGTATGTCTTTCTTTGATTAATTTGTGTTTTCTCCAGAAATAGCGAAACAAAAGTCGAAATTTCGGAGAGTGAAAGTGAACGGAGCATACGGAGCATATGCTGCCCAAATGTGACCCTCTTCATAAAATTCAGTACAATTTCACACATGGCGGCATGGAGGGACAATGTGGGTCAATGTCTTTATGCCAGATGACAGCCGAGCTATAATATGCAGAACGACAATTACTGAAAAAAGCAAAGCAGCTGCAAAGTGGACGGAGAGCTCCGCGTCCATTCTTCTGACGGCCAAGCACCAACACTGAAAATTTAATAAATATCCGTTCTTATTTATGAATATTATGCGTCAGCCATTTTCGATGACTGTACGGCGCCCAAAATAGCCTGACAATCCGCACAGTCCAATAATGGCCAACGCCGAGAGCGCTGGCTTCTAAAATAATTAAAATAAACCCTAAATGCAGAAAGAATTGTTAATGCTCATGGTCGCAACGACCTACACAAACGCGAAAGGAGCGCAGAGTTCATTGATCTATCGATTGCCAATTGCCGATTGCCGATTACCGATTGCCCCCACCCAGAGATATAATGCGGCATATGCTTACTTTTTGTGAGGAGCATTTTCAGTTTGCTCACTCGGCTTTTTAATTTTAATAGTATTAAAGTATCGTATTTTATGTGATTTATATCCATATATTTATGCATTCCGTTTTCATTTCAAGTTTACTTAGCTTGTACGAAAAATGTCATGGAGTATGGGCGGAACGGGAGGAGGGGGGGGTGGTAAACAGGTGGGAATCTAAGGGCGCGATGGGGATAATGGAGTATGCGAGAGCGTGAAAAGGAAAAGATGTAATGCGCTAACGATGTATTTAGGCCGTACTGTCTACGATGTGGAAAATGACAAACATCAAGCCAATGCATTTACAGGAGTGAGAGAGTTGCCTTGTTATATGGTCTTGCAATGGAAAACAGATTCGAGATATGAAAACTATTTTGTTGAAGCATGCACTTTGATGTTTAGCTTAAGTTTTAGTTTTAATTTCTCCCTATTCAGTATCGTTCTATAAAAATTACACCACTGCGGTTGGTATTCACGATACTTCCATTTTGGTTTCTTCTTTTCACCATATAAAAATAGAGCATCGCCGATCTCCAAATAGTTTACATATATAAATATATATAGAGATATTTATTTATAATGTTTGTTTTTCTCCTGTGTGTTTGCCTTCCTCTCCGTTTCCTTCCCTTCGCTTCGCACCGTTTCGTTGGCCTTCTTCACTCTCTTTTCTTTCTTTCTTCTCTCACTCACTTTTTTTTTATAAAACCTGCGTGTGTGTGTATTCATGTATAAATATACATAAAATTTTTCGGTTGTGTAAATATTGCTATACAAAAAATCTTTCCAAAAAATGACTGCGTTGCTTTGCGTTGTTGTGGGATATACATTTTTTTAGATTTGCTGTTGGTTTTGTTGCATTTGCAGTTCTTGTTTAGCATTTTTGGATGACGACTGAATTCTTATTTAAGGGACATTTTATAGTTTTGTGTTTTCCTTTTATTTTTATCGTATAAACCAAAAAGTTTTAAATATAATAATGCAGAAATTTTTAATTTTGTTGTAGTTGGGTGTTAATTTGCGTTTTTTGACATTTTTCAAGCATATGCATTTATTCTGCTACACACAAAAAACCGCAAATTCTTTCTTGGCCGTTGGTTTTTTACATAAATTTAAATATTAATAATTACTTTTTATGTGTTATTAGTTCATTTACGGTTTTCTCTTATCAAATTTGTTGCTTTTGTTGTAGTTGTTGGTGTGTGTTGTTGTTGTGGTTGATGGGGGTGTTTGTGTTGATTTATTCTCCTAGTACCCGCAAGTAATCAGATAATCTCCAAGTTTCTCTACGACGGAAGCGGCCTGCTGAGGCTGAACGGGGTCCTCGTAGATGGAAACGATCACGGCTGCAAAGGACAAACGAATATAATTAATATATTAATATTTATGTAAAGGTGTACAAAATATTAGGTGTATGAATAACTCTCTTTTTGCTATTCTTGAATAATTTGAGTATATTAATGCCCATGTTTGCAACGCAGGGAAGGAGACATTTCCGACCCTATAATGTATATTCTTGATCAACATTTAGACGTCTGTCTGTCTGTCTGATATCTGCATTAGACTTCCCAAAAGTTGACTTTCTCGAAATAATAGTCCTTGAGATGTTGAAATGGTGTATTATTTCAGAACTACTGTTTTAATTATTTTAATATCGGACACCGATGTCAAATGGATGTCATAGAAACAATCGAATAATTTCGAAAATCATCATAGTTTCACTGTTGATAGGCATCTAAATCTTATTATTGGTGTCTTAAAGAATATTCAATTTTTGGAACAGCTGCAAGGGTATATAAACTTCGGTTCCCCGATGTTTGCTTCCTTCCTTGTTTTGTTACAATAACTACATTTTTGTGTCCGTACTAAAAATTTTAGAAGTTTTGGGCTTTATATGTTAAAAGAAATGGGTGTAGATGATATTACGATTTTAAAAATAAGTTAACATTAAATCATAATGTTGCCATAGAAAAGATTAAAAAATCGACATAATATAAAAGAATCTTGATGCAATGGTATTTAAGCTTTTGTTTAAGCTTAGTCCTGAACATAAACACACACATTACCAAAATTAAACCACCCTCTGCAAATGCTTAAAGCCATTCGAATTTTTCCAGCTGTATTCTGCCCCTCTCTTCCACTTTTATTCGCTGCGGTAGACAATTTCTTCGCCACCCGTCCACAATATTACGTTTTTCAGCAGTAAAGTAAATCCGGTTGACATCGCTCTCGAAAGCGGGGAGAAAGCGGCTATCAGCAGCGAAAAAATTAGAACTAACCGTTTTTTATAACAGCAGTATCTCTTGGCAGCTGGAAATTATGAATAAAGCGATCAATAAGAGCGCCTGAGTCCGCCACAATCCAAAGTGAAACCTGGACGGAACGGACTGCTGGCCAGCCAACTCAAGAGCAAACGAGAACGGACCCGAATGACAAGTCTCGAGTTGAGTGGCTAATACATTAATCAAATGAGCAGAGAAGTGATGGACACTTAATTGTTTGGGTATTGAGTTGAAACCGCAGCTCAGCAGCTCATCAGCTCATCAGCTCACCGCTTTGTCGAATCAAAATGAAGCGTGAACGGACGCAAAGCTGGCTCGGGGTCAATAAACCGGGACTGGATTTTCCAAATGAAGAAAGAGCCATAAGAGTAGCTGTGTTCAGCAATATTGGGTGATGGTTAGGGGGTGGTAATGTGGATGGCACCATGTATGTATGTGCGGTAATCGATTAGTGATAACGCAAATATAATAAGTAAAGGTTGTTTGGGGCTTAACTCTGTTTTATTCGCATAGGGAGCTAGAGATGGGCAACAAATTTTAGATTAAGATTTTTTTAATTTTTATTTTCATTCGGTAATTGGCCATTGCTCCACTATCGTGCCTAACTATCACATCAAGCAGCAACAACCAATAACAAAAAACAGCTGACAAACAAAAGCGTGAGCAGAAAAAATGCAATTTTATCATTAGTTAAATTGCAATTTTGCTTATTGGATACTTCGCAATGGCTAAAATGAATATCATACTATCACCCCTTTTAAACTCTTCAAGGCAGATATTTCGGCTAAATGAATATATTAAATAATGCTTTCATTATTGCCTAGGTTTCTATTTGCTATTGATCATTAGCTTTAATATTTATTGTCCAGATTTGTTTGGTTAATAAAAATAAACCGCTGTTCTAACGAAAGGAAGTTCTCGTTAGTGTTATTGGGCTATAAAATATCACACATGGTTGATTTTCTCCGCAGAACTAATAACCAACATATGATACGTCGCATTTAGTTCAGCTATTTTTCATAAGAAAAACCCAACTCCAGCTTAATCATTAAAAGCGAAAGCAGAGTCTTGGTTAGAACTACTTTTGTAAACAGTATGCACACCACATTTTGAGTCAAGCAGCGTTCACATTACAAATTTAGAAGAAAAAAACAAAAAAAAACATTAAATTAAAATAAATATTCTTAGGACTTTGCTTACTTAGTCAATTATCTAAAACAATTCTTATGTTCTTTTTTCTACATATGTAGTTTTAACGAAACTTTCTTGTTTAAACAAAAAAAGGCTGCAATGTGAGTTTGCCACTCACTGTTATCGATACGTTGTCTGCCCAACCCGTAAACCATTATCAGATGTTTTTTTTTTTAATGCCTCTCGATTTTACAGACTTATCGCTGGCGGAAAGAATTTAATCAAAGGCCAACGGCATTAATAGCAGATAAGTTTGGAAGTTGAAGAAAATATTTAAGGTAAATTAAGGTTTTAATGAAAAAGCTCAAAGAACAACATATGTATTTGCGGAGTCCCTCAAAAAGTGCACCATTATCGCTACATTTTTGGGGTCAACCAGCGACGTTTCCAATTTAAGCATCTTTAGCTGGCTATATGTTTGAAAATGTTCGCTCGCTCTCTGCGCTTGTATGGTGAACAGCCAATTTTGATTTTTGTTCTAGCTGTTTGCATTCACGACCAGTTTGTTTGCTGACGCGGCAGTCGCACTACCATATTTGTACAGTTTTTTGCGGCAACTGTTGCGTACTGGGCACACACACACACCTTCACGTAAACACAGAAACACAGAAACAGCCGCCCTCCACCCTCCGCCCAACGCTGAATCCACAAGCTCAAGGTTATTGCCATAATCCATTTCAAGTGTAAATGTTGCACAAGGCGTGTGAGTGTGTCGAACGACCCAGAGGCAGTGGCGTAAAAATAGAAAAATTGGCTAGAAATTGTTCTCTGGTTCGCTTTGGACCTGACCAGTTCGTGTGGGGCGCCAGTCAGCCGATACAGCCGGTATCTAAGGCCTCAAATCCAGCTGATCGGGGTTTTTTGCTTTGCCACAATCGCGCACCGTTTACGCATCTTGAATTACCGCCTGCCCGACCGAATACCAGAACGGTGTTTGCTTTAGACAATTAAGGCCTGCTGGAGCATTAGTTGGCTGCTTGAGATGTTGCTCGACAACAAACTTATTTGTTTTTAAATGTGTCGCTAAAAACTCATTCTCAGTTAAAACTATCGCTGCTGCTGCCCCTGACTTTTTTTGTTGGGTTTACAAGCATTGGTTTTATTATCTTATCCAACGCAAAAAAAAAGTTTGAATTTCATAATATTGATTAGATTTAAACTTATCACTCTCTCTTTTTTATGGCTATTTTATTAATATAACTTCCCTTTTGGTCCCTAATAAAGCAGCTGACAGTCACCCTATAAAGTATACATATTCTTAATCTAGACGATATATTCATGTCCGTCTGTCCGTCTTTTTCAACGCAAAGAAGTCTATCACTTTTTAATTATTAAAATATTAGTTGCAAGTAGAGTTTCGCAAAGTATTTTAAAACAATTATATGCTAGGAAAAAATTGGACTTACAGAGAGCAAATCGGAATCTGTGTTCTTCGTTTTTGAAGTGAGTCGAGGAACAGGTCTAAAAAAATTTGAATCTGAGAAAATCTCTAGGAAATGTAAACTAGAAAAGGTCGGTAAAGTCCATAAAAACACTGAGTTAGGACCCCTTAATAGAAAAAAATAACACTTTACGAACTGGAGATATACCCATATATTAAGCATCTTTTATTTTTCCCGTTAAAATAAATTTGTAAATCAGAGGTAGTCGTTTATGCCGGTAAGATACAAAAAAAAAGTGAAAAATAAGAACGCAAGCCTAAGATAAAAATCTGTTTGCCATGGTTTTCCTCTGAATTATTCGATCGTTCCAATGGCAACTCTATAACATCGTTGTTCGATTTTAATAAAATGTATACCGAAATTCAAAATTAATTTACTAACACTATATTTTGAAGAGTATTAAACAAAACTTTAAAAACAGCGATCTTAATTAGTTGAAAATTTCGTGCATATAGCATTAATGTCAATAAAAAAACATTAAAAAAAAAATATTTTTGGTTGCTTCTAATAACGTGTTATTGTTTAAAATTTAGTTTTCTTTACCAATAGAGGTAGGACCATGTACCTCTATAGCTAAACTAAACTAACTTTACTCTAACTTTCAGTAATTCCTTAAACAAAACAACTGACAAAAACATGACATAGAAAATTGTGCACCAAATTTTAATGAGATTTTATTTGTTAGTCAATTTATAGAGACGATTTGATTGTGGATGCTTACCTTGTGTTGTCTTCATGCAGTGCACTCCACTTCGGCCGAGCTTAGCGCGAACGACGCGATCTGTGCCGGAGAGGTAAATGTACCGCTGACCGGCGAGTGTCACGCCGTTGCTGGTGAGCCCGTCCTGCTGGTCGAAGCCGCTAATCAGTTTGGAGAGCTCCTCTTTTGTCACCTGCAAGATGGTAAACGATGGGTTAGTGGACGGGTTTAACATGGATAGTTGCGTTGCAGTAAAAATGTTGTGGAATTATCGTTAAGGCCGAACACATTTGGCTCTCTAAACAGCCATTTGTATTAGGGACCTGCACATGTATGTTAACAACAATTGAGTACTAATTTCGAAATTGTTAAGAATTTTCTTTACTTTTGACAGCCAATTTTAACTAGAAAGTTCCAGATTTATATAAACCCTCATAAAAACCGAACATGCAAATATATAAAGCCCTAAATCGGTTCAACAATATAAGAGCTTTATTGTTATTATTCTCTTGACACGAGAAAGCGCTCTACCGGCGATCTGCCGGCATACGAATTGTATGCGAGTTGTGTTCTCCCAGTCTGAATATGCTGGACCCCACCAGGATACTAAAATCATATACAAATTTAAAAATCCAACAACTTTCATTGATGCCGCTAGAATATTAATATTTCGGCATCGTCAACGCAGTAATTTCAAAGTATCTGCTAGGCAATCGTCAAAATAAGCAGTGCATGCCTATGATTTGAGTGCGCCAGTGAGTGCTGCAGACGGCCCACGCAAACAAAAGCAAACCCACCACTGCGAGCAAAACACCACTTTTGAAAACAGTTGGCAACAGCGACGACTACCAGCTCATTAACAAGTTTTACTCAAGGGTGGAACAAGGTGGGGTGTGGCACCAGAGGCTGGGGCTGGCAAAGGGCTATGGGATATGGGATATTATAGGACAAAAGTATCGGTTAATCGTCTAAATAAGCAGTGGATGCATGTACATATGAGCTAGCTAAACCACGATGGGGTTATGGGCTCGCGGTACAGAGACACATTAATTTTTGTTAAAATATTAAAAAAAAAAAAAAAAAAAAAAAAAATCAGCTGCAGACGTCCCACGCAAACAAAGAAAAACCACCACCGCAAAACAAACCACCACCCGTTTGAAAAAAATGTTGGAAACATCGACGACTGCCAACTTATTAACAAATGTGGTCCATCCACTCCAGGGTGGAAAAAGAAGGGGCGTGGCATTTGGAGGCTGGGGCCGGCAAAGGGATATGTGCCCATCCTGAATTTTGGTTTTCAAAAACAAGTTTTGCACACTTGAATGACTTGTCCGTCCAGACAGAGACATATAAACATGGGATAAAGAGTGATGTGGATGGGGAGGGCATTAGGCAGCTCACCAATGTCATAAGCCTTGGCTTAAGGGAAAACAAGTTGGCAGCCCAACCCGATAACAGCTGCTTTATCCAGGGGGTAAGGAAGGAAATTAATTGGAAAATCTCGTACAATTGATACTCATTTGCTGCCTGCCAAACAGTGACACATCGAAATGCCACTCGAATTCGGCATCGAGAAGTTTCCATTGAGCGCAAATCTGAACGAGTAAGAGAGCAGATGAGTCGAGAAAAGCCGGTTTTGTGAAGACAGCTATGCCTAAAAAGTTAATAAAAATAAACTAAGCAGTGCTCATTATACAGCGATAGCGAAAATTCCACAAGTGTCAAATATCATTGCAATCACCTAAAACGGGTGTTTTTAAATGAATTTCAGTGGATATCTGTTGATTTATTCGGAACGCACATTATGGCTGAAAATGGAAACAGATTATACCTTTTAAAGCCGGTTTTGCGCAGAAAAATAAACAGATTTTTTTTATAAGTCTCAGGTGAGAAGTAGTCTGCTTTGAACTCAGTCGCATTGATTTCTAAAAACAGTCTGGCAAGGCCCAACGCAGCTGATCAATCGCGAGAGAAAAGCAATTACTCACAATAATTCATGCGAATGAAAACGCGAATTGGGATCAAAAGTAGGTAACTTGGGTATTGCGAAATAGGGAAAACCAAACGAAGGCAGATACGAAAGCAGAGGGAGATAATAAAACGAAAGTGATACGCGTGCAGAAATAGCAGGTATGAACTGTGAAAGAATAGAGGGAGATGATGACGCGGCATCGGATCGAAAATTTGGCCAAATTGGTTTTCAATCCAATGCCACTAACAGTGCGAGAAAAACTCCAATCGACAAACAAAGCACAAGGGAGTGGCTGAATCGAGTGAAAACGGATAACGGAGAGAGCAGGATAAGCGTACATGGAATCGGCAGGAAGTTGCACACATACATCCGCACGCTATTCACAGAAAGGGCAAAAACGTGGCGCGCATACGAAAAATGCTCAGAGCCATTTAAAGGTAGCCGACTCCACTCACTCTCCGCTGGTGACGCGGCATCGCCTGCTCAAGATATTTCTGTCTTTCTGTTCTGTTCTTTTCGCTTCGATAAAGAGCATTCATTTTGGTCGGCAGAGTTAACAAACGGCAACCCAGCAGTAAGACTAAAATAAAAAAAATATAATTGTGTTGAATGTGATAAGGCCAGCGATACTAAAAGGGTGGGGCTGCGGCTGCGGGCTGCAGACTGCATTATCAAGAACCAGTGTTGCACAGTACCGCAGACATTCGAACCGGCTGCTGATATCAAATTCTCCCCTCCCTACTCCTACAACGCATTGAGTGTTTTGGTGATTACCGCGAACAGAAGCTGCGCTAGAGAGGATTGAACAACCAAATGGTCTTGTCCCGCTCTTAAGAAGCGCAAAGCCAACTCTGACTCCGATTAGGACCTTTTGAGTGGGATTCATGAACTCCTCGCGATCACGCAAACTCGCTTAAAGAGGGAACGAGAGAGGGAGAGTGGGCCTGCGCAGAAGCGCCACTGCAGGGGGTGAACTGGCACTGGCGAGAGGGTGGGAGTTGCTTTTATCAGGCGTAAGTAATCATGGCGGCCGAGAGAGGGAGACAGCGAGACAGAGAGTCACACCCTTGAACTTGCGAAAATTCATTGTCAACTTGCCGTTTTCCAGCTTTCCAGTTTACCGTACTCACCTCAAAGCCATTGGACTGCGCCCAAATGTTGCCGTCGTGTCCGGCGATGCACGCCTTGGTCACGCACTGCGAGGCCAGGAGTTGGTTGTCCACATAATCTTGCCAGCTCATGGTGCTTTGTTTGTAGTGGGTGCGGATTAAATTGAAATTGAATTGGATTGGCTGGGCTGGATATTGGCTGGATCGCTGTCGCTGCTCTACCGCACGGCGAGTCGCACTTTTGTTTCGGGGGTCACACGAAATTTGCAGGGAAACAAAGAAAAACCGCAACGGTGACGATTTTTTCTGGGGGTAACTTACTTCAGACTGCAACGAGAGGTGGAGAAAGAGAGAGATAGACAGAAATTAACATTTATCGCATTGCATTCGCAAATCGTCGCCCCCGTTAGATACGCAAACTAAGCGCCTTGATTCGATAGCTGCTTTTCAACGCCCTTGACAGATTATTGGGCAGCAGCGGCGACTTGGGACCCGACCTTAGAGGTGTAGAGCTATATAGTACACCGACAACCGAATTTTCCTCCTCCGAAAAACTCACATATACACACACGGAGCACAGACACACACGGGGGATGAGACCAAGACAGACAGAAACCGTACGCCAGCAGCTCCACACACACGTCCGACTCGCTATGAATTTTCGAAGCGTTCGAGGCGGATTTCAAAAGTCGAATGAGCGCAAAGCAGAATCACAAACCGATTTTGAATTTGACAAAAAAAAAAACTCACTCGGTGAGTGACGCAGCCGCCTGGTGCGCTTTAAAGCGCTCAAGCCGTGAGTCACCCGCTCACTCACCTCACCCACTTCGACAACAAGGAGAGCGAGTGCAACGGTGCGGCTGGAGTGTGTGTGCGAGGGAGATGGCCGTACGAGGTGGCCGTTATTAATCAGCCGGCTGCGGACAATGCAAATGAGTGAGTGAGAGCAGACGATGACTCAACGGCGGCTCTCTTGGCGAGTGTTATGAATCGCCTCTTTTTTGGCCGGCACTGAGTAACTGTCATAAATTAAAAATAGCCTTTAATTTCAATGCCTATATGTGCACGGATCTCGCGTATCATTATGCGATGCATCCGTTTATGTTAACAGTGGCCGTTGACAATCCGAATACCGACCGGCTGCTTAACTTTTCCCACTTAATTTTTTGCACACTTATACACACACACAAACACAAGTATATGACGACGCACGGCCAACGCGGTTGGCCAAGTTGCGGTGTAGATGTGTGGGTTTTTGCCATTTAAGTCAGCAGAAGGTCGTTTTTTTCGCAATCCAGTGTTACAGGAAATTGTTTGTCTTTTACCCCACCTAGAGCAAGTCCTAGATTAAACTCTTTTTAAACGGATTTCCAAAATCCTCACGGCACTCACACTGTTCACGCTGCGGTAAAAATTCAGAGTGACTAGAGCTGAGCCAACCACTCACGATAGTATCGATATATAGAATATTTGGCTTTGTGGAACACTATCGAGGCTAAAGTTTCGATAGTAATTTATCGCTGGGGATTGAGGTTCTTTCTCAGATCCTCTTTGTTCAAATAAAATGCTCAATTGCAAGCAACTTGTTTTTTTTTCAAGAAACACACAGCTTTCGATACTTTGTCTAATCGAGGTGGAATAAAACTTTAAGTTAAAACTGTTAGGCCATGTCCTAAGTGACAACCGTCGGGGGTTAAATATTTGAACCCCCGACTCGGACCATGGTGTGGAACCTTGATACACACTATATCATATTTTATTTATATTACTGAATCATTTGTCGTGATTAACAAGATTAATTCAATTGGGAACTATTTAAAAAGAAAGATAGAATAGAGTGTCGGCTTTATACATAAATCACTTTTGAGATAATTCGATAACAATTGCAGACGCGAGGTCTGGCAACCTTGCAAACGAGATGCAGCCCTTAAATTCAGGTGGCATTGCCAAAATCACGTAAAATGCGCAAATTCATGAAAATGTAGAATCAAAATTTGCACTTTTCCAGAAGAAATTTTAAAATGCTTGGCTTCCTATGTGGGCGCTTGCTACTTTCCAAAATCGCGACGGAAACGCCGGATATTCCCTGACAGCTGGCGATATATGGCGATTAAGCTATCGATAGTCGGCGATGTTTTCTTACATCACTAAAACTTTTGCAAGATGGAGCCTCTTTTGCTTGGTTTTAACAAATCAGTAGCAGCACGTGTATAAAAAGTGCCAAATAATTTTCAGAAAATGTTAGTATATTTCCTAGTTTAAGCGTTCGAAATGTGGAAATCGGCTAGGTGAACCGGTGCTCTATCGATTCGGCAACGGTTTAGTGCGATTCGAGTGTGCGGCTATAAGAAAAAAAGATTTTAAAATTTCTGACGGTCAGAATGAGTGGCACGCAAAAAAAAAAATTACACGCCCGAATGACAGCGCAGGGGAGTGTATGCGAGAGGAGAGGAAGACAGTTTGAGCTGGAGAGAGCGCAGTGGTTGCTCCAAGAGAGTTATACTAAGTGGACTCTTCAGCCTGTGGGAACATCCGAATTAGGCGAGTTTGCTGAAATCCGGTGACGTCTTTTGCCACTTGACTCAGATTCTCGCATACACTTACGTTTGACTCATGACTGGACTGTGACGCATATTGATGATTAAATTCTATATTAATTGAATTGCTCCGATTGTGGGTTGGTTTAGCCCCGCTCTATCTCGATTTTCGTGGTCCATCTTGCACGCCATAGGGAAAGTTTGCCTTTCGGATAGTTTTCTCCCACCCTACTGCCATTTTTAACCGGCTACTACTTATTGCAACCTACGTTGAGCAACACTGGACCCGCCGTTACGTGCACATATCGTCCGACTGTTCTCGCTTAATGACATTGACACACGCGTCTGATAGAGTCGTCCCGCTCGCACCCGCTCAGGGGCGGACTCTCGCAGCTCATCGCTCAAAAGGCCGCCTAGCTGTCGTCGCAACCAGCAGCAGTCCAGTCTCATTTTTTTATACGTAAAGACACCGCATCACAGAGCGCACCTCATTCGTTACGAAGTGGAAACACGTTCATACTTCTACGGGAGAAACAAAGCAGGCAGCAGTTGTTCCCAAATTCTCTGTTATTCGTTCTAGACAGACACGGCACAAATTGATTGAGTAACCCGAGCTCAAGCCGTCGAAATTCAGGATATAAGTTTACCTAGTCAATTCTTTATTGTTGATAATGTGAGTGCCGCTCCAAAGTTGCGTTGCCAAGCGCTTTTCCCTATTCACCGTTCACTGTTCACGATTCGCCATAACCAACAAATGTGGCTGGAAAATTTGTACCCTTGAAGTCGGAGTTTTTGTCCCGCCCACTAACGCATTTTCTCGCGCTCCTTCATTCCGCAGGGATGACCGAAGTGAAATAGCTCAGGATGGTCCCGCCGGCATGGACCCCGAGGGAGTCATCGAGTCCACCTGGCACGAGGTGTACGACAACTTCGATGACATGAACTTGCGCGAGGAGCTGCTGCGCGGCATCTACGGCTACGGTTTCGAAAAGCCGTCCGCCATCCAGCAGCGCGCCATCATTCCCTGTGTCAAGGGTCGCGACGTCATTGCCCAGGCTCAATCTGGTGAGTACATAATCATAATCCCCATCCCCAAACCCCCCATATCCCGAAAGTTTCCTTACTCCCCATGATCAGTTCAGCTCGGCGACAAAGAAAATCGTTCGAGAATGTGCGAAGTCGGCGAAAAAATGTTCGGGCAAGCAGTGTCGATGACTCAGCTGCTGCGCCTGTATTCTTTGTTAAAATTGCACTCTCCCGCCCTCTCCTCTTCTCTGCTCTCCTCTCTCCGATATTCGGCGTCTGCGTTTGCGCGCCACTTTTCGCTGGCCAGCTGCGTTTCGTTTTCGCAACCGCCCGGGCAGAAGAAAGTTCTTGGAAACAAGGTCGCCCGTCGAACTTTCTTCCGGGCGATTTTCGGCTGTTCTTGCCTAACACCAACGGTGGTGCGGTGAAAAGGTCATCCATGAAAAATGCGATCTACCTACAGATACCGCCCCGCACTAATTCATTTGGCAGGGTCTCTGGATTGCATTTAGTCCATTCGCACCCCTATTTGTGTGTTGCTTGCACCTGCCCTTCGTAATCCATGCATGGGATCATGTCCAGATCCACCCTGAAATGCATATTGGCAGGGTTTTACCGATCGGTTAAAATGTTTGTATAGTATAGTTATTTGTTCTCCAAAGAAAAACACTTGCTGTTTTAGTTTTGTAAAGAAAAACTTTATTTTAGTTTTAGTTTGAAATGCCAAACATTTTCGAATGTAAATAAATACTTCGACATTAGCATATTTTCGTCTGTTTCTACCCTCTCAGTTTAAAAGATAAACTTTATATCTACGCATGTAGCAAAGAAACTGTCTAAACAAGCTTAAAAAAACCTTTTTATTGGTTAAAAAATAATACTTTCCGACGAAATGAAATTTACCCTGATTACACAAAAGTAAGGCGTGATCGTTTGTTTATACTCTATCGTATAGCAATAAATGTTTAGAAGGTGTAACTGATCAGTCGTGTAACTGTTCACTGTTCACTTTAAAAAGAAAACGAAATAAACACCTTTTTGGATCGAGTGTCAAAATGTTAAATATAGTACAAAGAATTGTGAAATTCAATCTGTAGTTTATTTCCCCAGTACTGAAGTTTATAAAGTTTAAATTTGTTGAAAAATATATACTTTTTTTTTAGTTTCGGAGAAGGTCCGACCGATCAAAACTAGCTCTTCAAGATTTTTTTCTTTTGTTTTGAATCAAGGAAAATGATCCACATTCAAAATTTTATTCAAACAAACTAAATTAAGGGCGTGAGGTAGCTTTACAATTTTTAGGAAGTTACTTATCTTGTGTTATCAAAAACTTACTTAACCAAAAAAATTCGAGCAACCAGCAAAGATAGGATTTTAAAGAATATACTACTCCACAAACCAAGTATATTAATCTGTTTTCGTCTTTTTATCTCCGTTAGGAACTGGCAAGACTGCCACTTTTTCGATTGCCATCCTTCAGCAAATCGACACGTCCATTCGCGAGTGCCAGGCTTTGATTCTGGCCCCCACTCGTGAGCTGGCCACGCAGATCCAGCGCGTGGTGATGGCGCTGGGCGAGTACATGAAGGTGCACTCGCACGCCTGCATCGGTGGCACCAACGTGCGCGAGGACGCACGCATCCTGGAGTCCGGCTGCCACGTTGTGGTGGGCACGCCCGGCCGCGTCTACGACATGATCAACCGCAAGGTGCTGCGTACCCAGTACATCAAGCTGTTCGTGCTGGACGAGGCCGACGAGATGTTGTCGCGCGGTTTCAAGGACCAGATCCAGGACGTGTTTAAGATGCTGCCCCCTGACGTGCAGGTCATCCTGCTGTCTGCGACCATGCCGCCGGATGTGTTGGAAGTGAGCCGATGCTTTATGCGTGAGCCCGTCAGCATCCTGGTGAAGAAGGAAGAACTGACTCTCGAAGGTATCAAGCAGTTCTACGTGAATGTGAAGCAGGAGAACTGGAAGTTGGGCACCCTATGCGATCTGTACGACACTTTGTCCATCACCCAGTCGGTTATCTTCTGCAACACCCGACGCAAGGTAAGCTTACTCATTTGTTCTCCTATGTATGTAATTGTTTGGGCTTACGACGTATTTCTTTCCCATTTTGTAGGTGGACCAGCTAACCCAGGAGATGTCGAGCCACAACTTCACCGTCTCGGCCATGCACGGCGACATGGAGCAGCGTGATCGCGAGGTCATCATGAAACAATTCCGTTCGGGCTCTTCGCGTGTCCTGATTACCACTGATTTACTGGCGCGTGGTATTGATGTGCAGCAGGTTTCGTTGGTCATCAACTATGATCTGCCCTCAAACCGCGAGAACTACATTCATAGGTAAGTTGTCGTGTCCCCTCACCATTTCCTTAATGGGGAGCCGACTTTTTTAAACATATATTCTCATTTTTGCTCCCCATTTCAGAATCGGTCGCGGTGGTCGTTTCGGCCGCAAGGGTGTTGCGATCAACTTCATTACAGATGACGATCGTCGAATCCTTAAGGATATTGAACAATTCTACCATACTACAATTGAGGAAATGCCTGCTAATATTGCCGATTTGATTTAAATATTTTCTGCTGATCCGCAAACAACTAAAAAGAATTCTAAATAAAAAGTGAGTGAGCAAAACAGAAACCAAGAACTGCGAAATCGATAACCGAGCGCAAATATAAATTATTCAAAGATCAGCTAAAAATTAAAGTTCAAGTTAAATATTTATTCAACCATTAATTTAAAAAGGCAGCCGACCATCCAACACCAAGGACTAGACGCGGACTCAGAGCACTAACATCATCAGCAGCGGCGGAGAAACAGCAAAACAACAAATTAGAAGCGGTCACGGCAGAAACAACATCAAGGAGCCGCAGAAGCTTACAAAATTTGGCCGAAAGTCGGGACATCCTCTGTATCCATTTAGTTCTTCTCTGTGTATCATCAATTTTAAACTGCGTCGTCAACCAGCAACAACAAATATATACAAATATATAAAAAAAAAAAACAAAATTTGCATCTATTTAAAGAAAGTAATATTTAAAACCAGGTACAAGATACCACTTGCTGCAAAGAGCAAGCTACATAACGCAAAAGCCACAATATCAGAACATATTTTTGCCGCACCTTTGTTTTAGCTTTTTCTAGAACTATTGATAAAAATATATTAAAAACAAAAAATACATTTGTACACATTATGTTTAAATATACCACTCCTAAGAAACAGCTGAAACACGTAGAAAAATTTGTCAATTCCATTTCAGAGTGTGCTTTAAAATGATGCTCATGGAACCGCTGCACAATTTAAACGTAGCTTCAGACCCTGGTGGTTTGGTTTAGACCTGGCTACACTTGGTAAGCGTCTGTTCCAGACGCAAACAAACAGACTAGGTTTTGCATAGGTAGCTAGAGATGGGAAAAAAGTGTATGCTGGTGTACTTAGTTTTATTAAAAGGTAGTTGAGTTCGTCCGATTCTGGAGTCCACAATATGGAGCTCATATTGACCGCATTGAATCAGTACAAAAAAAAACTTTTCTTTACGGCTCAACTGGGATGCAAATCTTCTAGTTTATTGATTAATTAATTTCCTCGCGCTGCTTGTTCCTTTATTTATAAAATTATGAAGCCGAGTGAGATTTCTAGCCAAGTAACAATATGACAGGTCAACCATATTTGTTTTTGTTTTGATGACCCACAGCTGTGCAGATCAGCTGTTACCGGAAGGTGGATGGTTGATGTGCTCTGTGGAAATCGGAGTTTCACACTTTTTAAAAACCACAAAAGTTTTTCAAAGATGGGCTGCGAAAAAAGAGGGTTGCAAACAAACACCGTCAAACTCCGTCAAATTTTAACGGACTAGTTGGGAAATTTTTGGAACGTCAAAACCTAATGGACCTTCCGTTCAACGGATGGTGAATGAATCCGTGTGGAAAAAAGCTATAAGTTCACACATATTTATGATTTTGGATTAATTTCGTTTGGATTTACAACAATTCAAAAGTTAACAATCTCATAGCCGGATTCCATTGGCGCATTATAACGCCTAATGCGCATTTAGGGAATCCCATTAGGCTAAATGTTACATTTAAAATAAATGCGATTAAAAATCATTCGTTCCGAACATTTTTAGAAAAAATACAGAAAAATACTGGTTTTTAAGGATATTTCGTTAGTGCCACCACAATAGGAGCTGGGTTTTTATGAAAGGATGGCGCAATTTTTTATTTCTTTTGAATATAAGTGTGCTGAGCATTAAAGAGTTGAATAAACTCACTCAAATTTATTATTTTCTATTCATTTCTTTTGGATTTGCCAAAAATCCAAAAGTAATGAAACCCACATCAGCTGTTCGTGCCACTCACATGTCGGAGTAGCATTAGCTAATGCCCTCTTTCCACACAGTCCATCCGTTGGAAACGGCTGGAATTTTCAACAAATGTGGCAAAACCTTCAACGGATGGTGGAAGGTGGATGGGTCTCTGTGGAAATACGCCATAATAATAATGCTAATGCGCATTTAATAATGGAATCAGGCACATTTAAAAAATTCACTTATGCTCCAATGGAATCAGACAATCATCAGATCAGCCGTTCGTGCCATTTTAGTAATTTAATATTTAAAATAACAAAAAACCGCTATGGATGAACATCAAAGTGAAGAAATGTAAATCGAATAGAAAATATTTAAATATTATAATTATAACAAAAATAAATATTATAATTAAAACAAAAGTCTATTTTCATTTAATTTGCCCACTTGTGTTTTGTTTCTACGAGCTATTATAGCTCGATAATAATCACACACGACAAAGTCATTTTTATTTTCAATCTCAAATCTATAAGTTTTGAGTGATAGTGGCTTTTTTAATCGGCGACTTGGCAACAATTAAGAAAGCTTAATGAATGGACAAATACAACTAATCAACTAATACAAATAGAAAATATTCAACGGATAAGCCCAAAAAAAGAGCAATGATCTGTAGACTCATAGATTGGCATAGCATTACGGATGTGACCTTCCTGATTTTGAAAAACACAAACTTTTGGTGATAATATGGGAAATTAAAGTTTCACAAAATCGTATATTTATTTGACAATGGAAAAGAAGATTTCATACATTTATGTTTATACGATACACATTTAAAAGTGATTTTGGGAAGGTACAAATATTGTACGTTTAGTGAAATTTTCTACCACATTTCACATTTCTTCGGCGGATTCAGAGGCGCGGTGTCCGGGCAGTTGAAAATTTCGCCAAAAGCCGGCAGATTGCTCACCGCCTGATTGAGACGCAACTTGTCGGAGTCCATTTGCTCCTCATCTCGATACTCCTTAGTGAACGAGAACAACTGGGCGACGTTCAGCAGGAACAGCTTCTTCAGTGGCACATCGGCGAATGCGGGCTGATCCTGGTTGAACACCGAGTTGCCTCCGAAGAAGGTCTCGTAAATCAGGCCCAGACTCACCACATCGCCCGAACGGTAATGGAGATCCTTGGAAGGAGCAGTAGAATTCAAGCATGCGAGACCATCGATATAGCTTTGCCTCTCCTTGAAGTCATTCAGGTAACCTCCGTAGTTGCCCACACTGTCGAAGGGCAGGTTTCCGGGCAAGAAGCTTTTCATCATTGTGCGAGCCAGGGAGAATCCCAGCAGACTCATCTTGAAGACATCATGACTTTCGGGCGCAAAGTAGGGCTCCAGCAACATGTTAAACGGCATGACGATGATGTTGTGACTGTCATCGAACGATGTGGTCGGATCATTATCTGAAAGGTAACCATAGGGGTAAAGGAAATCTGTCCCCTTGGGAACAGGCCCATTGAACTTGTCCAGGAATCGACGTTGTCTGTGTCTCAGGACGCTGAGTTGTGCCCTAGCGAAATCCGGATGTGTGTCCAGTTCCAGATCGTCGTAGAAACTGGTCACGAAGCGACGATGGTTGACACTGTCTGGCAGATATCCCACTTTAAGCGTCTTGGCGAGCAGTTTCTGCTGCAGAAAGATGACTTCGTCGTCGGTCAGGTGCATGCGGTTCTCCTCCAGCCTGGCCATAAATGTTCGGCTCACCGCCTCAAAGATCCGCTGCACTTCCCTGGTGTACTCTTCCCGCTTTCCCTGGCCCAAGTAATGGTTTTCGTACAGCAGATCGCTGGCCAGCTCCATTTGAGATGCGACGGCAGCGGCGCATTGGACGGACTTCTTCTCTGAGCCATTGCCATCCAAGAATAGTAGAAAGCGGACAAATTGAATCATTAGGTAACTGGCCACCACTTCAGAGTCGTACCTGCGAACGACTCCGTCGATTTGTTCAAAGTATTCCATGTTGCTCACATACACCGTGGTACTGTTCTCAAAGGAGTGGCCAAAGACAGTCTGGAGGTACTTGCCCATCTGCAGATTGGTCCGACTCTGCACATCTTCCAGGGTGAATGTGTAGAACGTATCATCTCCAGTCGGACCATTAACATCCGAGTCCAGTTGGATAATGCTCCTTGCCAGGTAAACAGCCCGCCTTGGGCCCACTCCGGTCCGTTTCAACAGGTCCTCCACTTCGGACACATTACTTGACTTGTACAAATCCGGCTTGCTAAGAGCCAAAGAGAACTTATTGCTGCTGTAAAAGTCCTCCCGGATCTCGAAGAAGATCAAAGGGGTTTCCATTGCGTAGAGTCGCAGATTCGCCAGGGTATCCAGCCACTGGAACTGCTGCTTGGGCCACTGACTTCCTTGGGGAACTAGTGGCGGCCAGGTTAGGTTCTCACCCGGCGGAACCAACTCCAGGAAACGCCTTATCCTGGAAGTGCCTTCGGGGGCCGTGAGACAAGTGTTGTAGAAGCGCCACACCTTCTCCTCCACGGAGAATTCGTCGACGAAAAGTCGTTCCTTCAGCAGATCGAACACGGACTGCAGTTTGCCAATATAGTTGTGCCTGATGGCATCCTGGGTAATTTCCCAGTCATCCTTCTTGTTTACCTCGTGGAACTTGCCTGTGGCATAGTTCTGAAAATCTTCGCAAGGGTCGGCACTGTCATTCATGTGCCGCTTTATGAAGCTTAGGATCCGCTCGTTGGCCGTAGAATCGACGGATCGAGTTACTCTGAGTCCACTTGCAAAGCCCAGCAAAAGCAGCAGGCTGCTAATCCACACTATTCTCTCCATTGTAGTCGAAAAACTGATGCTTTCGCGCTAGAAGCAGGCCACTATATAGCCAACTGAAAGCGTAGGTCTCACACACGGGGACTCACAAAAAGTACAAAAGTTTTATTTAGCTGATAACTGAAACAGGAGGTCAGCACACGAGACGCACTTTTGGGAGAATTAGCAAACAACAATCTCTTAGGTCGAGCCACCAATTCAATTATATAACGTTTAAATAATTGTTGAATACAATTACGCATCGCTGGGTAATCTCTCCATAACATGACTCATTTCCAAGAATGTGAGATTAGCATAAGAATCAAATAACGAGAGATGAACTAGTGAAATTTAACAGCGAATTTCAATCTGAAATTTAAAAAAATCAAAGTACAGCATTATGCATATGTAAAGGAGACAATGAGATCAGGCGCATTTAATATCGCATTCCATTGGCTCATTAAAACGCATTTAGCCTAATGCGCATTCATTTACACAGGGAATCCCATAAGGATAAATTCCGCATTTAAAATAGATAAATGCGATTAAAAATCATTCGCCCCAAATATTTTTAGAAAAAAAAAGTATATATTTTTAACGAACTTTTCGTTAGTGCCACCACTACAACACTTGGTTTTTATGTAAGGATGGCGCAATTTTTGATTTCTTTCGAATATTAAAACTATTTTGCTTAAAAATTACTGAAAACAAGATCACACGCATCAAATTAGAATTAGCTTAATGCTAATGCGCCAATGGAATCAGGCACATTTATATAAAAAACAACTTTTTTAAAACCTTTTTGCAACAAAATTAGGGTTGACAACCAAGAAAAACAGAAATATAAACATTTTTACACCTTGGAGCGACAAATTACTAATTTTTATTTTGTAAATGAACTAAAAACTGTTCGAAATAAAACATTGCTGGATAAAGGATAAGAAATGTTGTAGAATTTAAAGATTAAAACTGCGAAACTTTAAATGTGAAATAAACATAAGCGGGATATTAAAAAAATTTGAATTTAACGTTTAAAACTTTGAAAGTTTAATAGCCTGATTCCATTGCCGCATTAAGCTAATGCTTTTCCGACATGTGAGTGGCACGAACCGCTGATATCGAAGCAAACTTCGGCAACCCGAAGTTCATATACCCTTGCAGTTCTTGCCCAAATTAAATATTCTTGAAAACATTAAAATTATGATTGACTTGCGTATATGTTAAAAACATTGAAGCTATGATGATTTGCAGCTCAATTATTCGATGGTATGGCAGCTATATTATATCGTTTTCCGATTTTTATAAAATTAAAAGCGTATTTCTGAACTGTCAAATTATTAATAAGTCAAAAAGGATTTCTAAAATAATTACAAAATAAAAAGTTAAATATTTTTTAATTTTTATACCCTTGCAGAGGGTATTATAATTCCAGTCAGAAGTTTACAACGCAATGAAGGAGGCATCTCCGACCCTATAAAGTATATATCTTCTTTATCAGGGAAAGTACGGCATATTTTACAGATTTTCTTTGATGAAGGCAAAAGCGCAAGCCTGGCGGCTGTAAATAAAAATAAAATTAATAACAACTAGCGCCGCAAAACTTAAGAGCTCAATAATATATGCCCGATTTCTAAAGGTCAAGCCATGATTGACGTTCAGGAATGTCAGCAATGAGTCGGCAGAAGATCCCTGGGCTTATTTGGGAAACCAAATAATTGTACATTTTCTAATCTGCACGACAGAATGCAATCACATATTTTTAAGTATAAAGAAAAAATAAAGGGAAAAATGCTTTCTAAAAACTGGGATACACAGCAGGCTTAGTCCTGGTAACCATACACATTAGTAACTCAACACTTTCGTACACTAGTAAACTGGATCAGGGAATACGAAAAAAAAACAAAATCCAATAAACTGCCGTTTAGAAAGAGGTTTGGGCCATGTCTTCGAAAGTAAGGTGACGAGCGTCTGTGGGAGCAGAGCAATTTAAGGGTAAGCAAGCCGTCAAACCCTCCATTACTGGACACAGTATCCGCAGGCCCAATGTAAATAGTTGAACTTGGAGGAAGAGCAAAAGAGGTATCAGGTACGACTGATGATCAGTTACCTCACCGTTTTTTGCCCCCTGTTTATGCTAGTGGTCGAGTGCTTTTCTTGCGTCGAGGCTAGGATCACAATCAATTGTATGACTCTTTCAGCTAAATAAACTTATATTCAGATTCCAGGGCCGGGTCGGATGGACTTACTTTTGGAATGGGACTAGTTAGTAATCCACAAGTGGGTTACGGTGTGCACCTCCGTTTTGTCGGCGAGTATTGTTTTATTTAATGGTAAGCCCAAAAATGAAATACAGGTATATTTGCATCTTTCGACTGTTTGCCTTCAGATATAGCGCAGATCAAGTATCACTGTTACACAAACGACTGGCTTCTTGATCTCTCCTACGACGTCTTTGTGCTCCGCATGATTTACATGTTCTTGCCGATTCCCTCTATCAGGGGAGCTGCTCTACTGGCCACCTCGGTCAGCATTGTAAACGTGGTCTACTTCGTACACTTCATTGCGCTTGACCAAACCAAAAGCGCGCGCAATGTTCGTGGCTACGAAGTGATATCCGTCGACATGCTCCGAGGAGGAGGTGTGGCTTCGGCACGCCCTGCGCCTGGAAAAGATGCTTTTGGACAGCATCCTGCCGCCGCAGATTCCGAAGCCCATCAAGGATTGCATTAAGAACAAGTTCGTGCACGAGTTCGAGCGCTCCATCTCCGGTGGTTCGCGAATGCCGGAAAACTTCATGGCCGTCCAGATGCTTCTCAGCCTCAGTATCCTCTCCGCCGACGTGGTGGAGCTGAACACCTAGCTGACCACGGTGGAAAAGTCGGTGATGATTCTGCACGACCTCTACGCCAGATTCGATGTGGCTGCCTTTCACTTCAAAGTGCAGCGCCTCAAGTTCCTGGGCGCCTGTTACTATTGTTTGACGGAGGGTGACCCCGACCACGCCAAGGTGGCGGTGTCCCTGGGCATTTCCATGATCGCCAACATCCAGGAAGTGCGGTGTGTGAGGCATTAAGATTGGGATTGGGCTCACTGCTTGAGCTGATCCCAGGGCAACACGAGGCTTGGAACTCGACATGTTTGCAGGTGTCATCGTAGAGGCCAACCTGCAGTTCAACACTTGGGGTAGGACAATCTTCTAAGGCGTTCTGAAACAAGTAATAATTAAAGTAACTAAATCTCCCCAATGCCTTTTCAGGTGCTGACGTGGACATTGTCAATCGCCTGGAGGCAACCGGTTAGCCGGGCTTTGTGGGCGGACCCTAAGTAACTTGAAGACACAAAGGCGGCTGAAAAAGATCCCGGGCTGCAAAAGCATCCAATGAACACTTACCTTCTTACCGGCATAACTCTATGCCGTGAAACAAACATTGGAACCAATTCGGATAAGTGATGGACAACTTGTTTTTCTTTAGTTTTTACACTGATGTTAATTTGGTAGATTTCCCTATTCATGCTAAATATTTTACACAAGTAACTTCAACATTTTTCTAGCCCACTTAGTCTTAAACATGAAGCTATCTGCTCCAGCCGGACTTTATTTACAAGTTCTCAATGGTGATGGCCTGCGGCATTGGGTGGTGCCTGATCTACATCCAGGTCGTGACGAACAAGATAGTCTGAAAATTTAATTTTACATACATAACATGTGTGTATGATGTGATGTGATATAGACAATATACATAATAAAATCTTTTCATGCAATAAATACAATTTCATCTTGAATAAACATGTTTAATTTTTATAAATTTGTCTAATTTTTTGAAAATTTTGCCATAAAATGTATGGTATGCCGCCCTACATTTGAGCCACATTTATCTTAATTCTAGAAAAGTTTTCCTTCAAGGGCTATTTGCCCAAGATTTTAAGAAAGAAGTCCCATTAATTTTAGAACACTTAGAATTCATGGTGGTTTGCCATTGATGACAAAAATAGGGTGAATTTCTTAAATTTAGGGCAGATTTTGTTATGAGTGTAGAGTAACAGGAAGAAGGAAACGCTTTCGACCTATAAAAAATATATATTCTTGATCAGGATTGATAGCCGAGTCAATCTAGACATGTCCGCCTATTCTTCCCTCCTTCTGCGTCTGCTCTACGTAGTCTAAGTTTATTTTTAAGTAAGGCCACGCCCACTCTGATGCCTCCCGAAGTCCTGAAGTATTTTCTTAAAGAATTCTCGAAAGTTGATTTAGGTTTTAAAAATTGTTACTTTTTAAATCCAATTTTGCTCATTGATGTATCGTCCCCAGTGGTATTTTATCGAATGTTATTTTTGTTGCCCAATTCCGTCTAGTATTTTACTATCGGGTATCGAGTTCTGTCAATTTTCTCCATTCATTGCTCACTGGAATAGTCATACGTTTGTCCTGCTCGCACTTACGTAAAATCGTATTGTTAAAACAAAAAATGAGCAATGAATGAGGTCAACAATGTAGAGTCATATGCCCATTACTGAATTCTGACTATATTACCACCAGCTCAATTGCTTGAGGCAAAATTTAATTCAAATGAGAAAAGCTGTTCGAAACTCTAGTTAAGTTGGTCCAAGATAGACACAATAATCGCGATAGTCAATCGAACTTAATGGAAAATTCGAGGCAGTGTGCAGAACACTTTACTTTCCTCGTTTCCGACGGATATTTGTTATTTTAAATTAGTTTTATTTATATCTAAAAATGTACAATCATGTGTTTCTGAATACTTTAGCTAGTTGGAGGCATTTTCGATTAATTAACGAATTTATCGAGGTATCAATAATCAACTAGTGTTGGTGTGGCTAGGCTATTAGTATAGTGTCAAACCAGTACAGTAAGTACATCGTATTTGGCGATTTCAGTAGATGCGATTAATTTTATCGCACTTCCGATTATATGTATATCGGTTGACTTTCCAGCTCCATCTCAGTCAGGTCATACTATATTTCTCAATCCGCCCAATTGGACGTTTATATATTTTCCTTCGCCGCGCCGGTCGACAGTAATGTCAACCAACTAACGCCGACCTGTGGAACGTCATCTGTGTCCAGCCTACAACTGCAACCTAACTGTAATCCGAGCATCTGAGATGGGTCAGAAAGTTTCGCGCAGCGACTTCGAATGGGTGTACACGGAGGAGCCGCACGCCTCGCGGCGCAAGATCATCCTGGAAAAGTACCCGCAGATCAAGAAGCTGTTTGGTCACGACCCCAATTTCAAGTGGGTGGCCGGTGCGATGGTGCTCACCCAGATCCTGGCCCTGTTTGTGGTGAAAGACCTGTCGTGGTCGTGGCTCCTGGTGGCCGCCTACTGCTTTGGGGGCATCATAAACCACTCGCTGATGCTGGCCGTGCACGAAATCTCGCACAACCTGGCCTTCGGACACAGCAGGCCCATGCACAACCGGATCCTGGGCTTTATTTGCAACCTGCCCATCGGCTTGCCCATGAGCATTTCGTTCAAGAAATACCACCTCGAACATCACCGGTACGTGTGACTCGACTATTTTGAATCTGTGACGTACATACATATGTACATACGTACATATGTAAGGTGTACATTGTACACATACACTACACTACCACACATACGAATTATTCCCTGTTAATGGGCGTAGTCACAAAGTAAACTAAAACTAGCATCTCACCCCCTCGGCTCATTTACACATTGAAACGCCGGCATGAGTTGCCCAACACTGCCCACTTATCCCGAAAAGCTTATGAGTCAATATCCATTTTATTCCCTTTTGAGTGCTTATAAATTGCGTTGATAAGATAGGGCTGTACATAGTTTCTATATGTACATATATACATATTTACAAGTAGGCGCTCAATTGGTCACGTAGCTCAGCGATTTGGCACTCGAGTTTCGGACAGTAAGTTGAGTTAGCTTGACTCACTTTTATTGCTTTTCCCAATATAATTATTAGGGCAAAGTAAATCATTTAACCGCATATGTACGTGTGTTTGTTTATATTTACAGGGAAGTCGCAGATAAGTTTTACCTAATCTCTTAGGTGATTTGTCGTTGATTGCTTCCAATAAGAAGTTTCTATTGCGTTAACCCTTCAAAAAACTCACTTAAATCATACTTTATTTATTTAATTTTGAATTAATAGCTCATATCTACTAAAATTTTTCACTTTTACTATTTTGGTCAGATGTCTTCATCCTGTAGTCATTATTTTTTTAAGTAATAACGCTGTTTTTAGATATAATTTAATATGGCCGATATATAATATTCTTTGAATTGTAAAAAGAACTCAACCAAAAAATTATATTGTCGCAGGGAGGAATATTTATTGGTTGGCCTGACGTCATTGCTAAATGTTATGTCGCTGACGTTCAATTTGGCAATATTTCTAAAATAATAGATTGATTTGATGAATTTAAGTAGATTATATTTCTACCCGTTACCGTTATAAACATTAGGGCTGTATGAAACCAAATATGGGAGTGCAACAAAGTTATAGCTGAAACTATATAACAACTCTTATTTCGATTTCCTAGTTCTAAACAGTTGTATTTACATTTTCAGTTACCAAGGTGATGAGGCCATAGACACTGACATACCCACACTGCTGGAGGCGCGCCTTTTTGACACCACTTTCGGAAAGTTTTTGTGGGTGTGCTTGCAGCCTTTCTTCTACATTTTCCGACCACTGGTGATCAACCCGAAGCCACCAACGCGCCTGGAGATAATCAACACCGTGGTGCAGCTGACTTTCAACGCGGTGATCGTTTATTTCCTGGGCTGGAAGCCCCTGGCCTACCTGCTGATCGGTAGCATTCTGGCCATGGGACTGCACCCGGTGGCCGGACACTTCATATCGGAGCACTACATGTTTGCGAAGGGATTTGAGACCTACTCATACTACGGCCCGCTCAACTGGATCACCTTCAATGTGGGCTATCACAACGAGCACCACGACTTCCCAGCGGTGCCCGGTTCACGGCTGCCCGAGGTCAAGCGGATTGCCAAGGAATTCTATGACACGATGCCCCAGCATACCAGCTGGACACGAGTGCTTTACGACTTCATCATGGACCCAGCGGTGGGACCGTACGCCCGGGTGAAGCGTCGCCAGCGCGGCCTGGCCTCCTAAGCAATCGATGATATTCAAGGTTTCCTGCCGTGAATTTAATCTCAGCATTAGACCTAAGCGGCTTTTTTTTATGTCTAAATACATGGTAGGAACATTTAAAGCGGATGTAAATAATCCAAGGGAGCAACCAAATACCTAGCACCTGCTAATCTCCAATGATTAGATAAAAAGCACTCAGGCACTCGCAGCGGCTGATTTGAACAATTCCGTGTATATATACTCTTTGGTATTAATGCTAGACTGGGAGCTTAGTGTGACTAGTTGTACTAACTAAGGAACATTTTCGAGCGCTTTAATTAATTGTTAAATCTAGTGTGTAATACTTGTCCTATTGTCTTAGTATTTTCGAAACGTATTTATATTGCTTTCAAATCTTAAATATAAAGACACTAGTCGGTGTTTGTTGTGCCGTTCCGACACACCGGACAAAGGAAACCTCTAATCAACTATTTTTTATAGTCTCTTGAAACAGTTACCTAAGAATAAAGTCAAAGAAAGTTGTTTTTCCAGGTGTAACGGCATATACAGAATACAATTGTAACTTATGAGCAAAACTAAATAAATATAACGAAAATATAAACGTCAAATCCTATTGTAATGACTCTTCAACCAATTTTTTTTTAGAGCTCGTGAAGTTAATGTTTACGTCGATTGCATGTCGCACGTCATGTGGGCAATGCGCTATTAACTGATTATAATAATTTTGATAAGCGGCTGTGAAGCGACATAGCTATCCTGTTATATAGTTGTTTTGATAGATAACTAATAGACCTTGGGGAATTTACATTTGCAATCGGAATCACAGTTGTTATAGTTTGATTTAAAAGTTTCTTAACAGAGCCATAGCCGCTAACGATCGGTCATATTATATAAAAATTCTCACAATTTGTTGGCTAACTAATAAATATGCATTTCATATGGTTTCAGTAATTTAAATTAAATTTAAAATTTATCAAAATTGCTCTACCCATATTTGTAGCTAAAACAAGAACCTGCTGGCAAAAAATTGAGTAATTGCAATAACTGCAAAAGGAAAATAAAATTCAACTTGAAAACTTTTTATTAATAGTTCATTTTTTAAAACAGTCTGTTATAGAAAATGAACTTTATCCGAATAAAAAACACTATTACACTAGATTTTCAACTATATACAGCTGCAGTCAAAATAATAGTAGTGCTATCGCTCCTCATCTTCAAGTGTTTGTAATTGTTGTTTTTATTGTCAAAAGGTTGCCATGATTGACTATTTTATTAGATAAGACTGTATATAGCTGAAAACAAATAAAAAAAAGGATCATTTTACAGTTTATTTTGTTGAAATCAATCATTATCTGCAATGAGGTCTAATTTCAGTCAAAATAACAATAGTGCTATTTCCAATTTGAAAAATAATGGGAAAACTTGACTAAATTTGAATAATTTATTTTTCAAACATTTGTTTGGATTGAATTGATTTGGTTTTTGTCGATTATTGTAAGCTATGACTTCAGAACGTTATACTATATGGTCAAGAAACCTCTGAACGTCTTTTGAGTTAAAACAGGTCAAATATGAAACAATTAGTTGTTTCTGAAATAGTTAGAAGTTGATTAACTTAATACTGTAAGTTTCTTATCAGACTCAAGTTTTTCGAATGTCTTAAAGTTAATTTTTCATGATTTTTAAAAATGAAATTTATTAACCACTTACATGACATTATAACTTTTAAAAATTTAAAAAAGATTAACTTTAACAATGGTCAACTATACCTATAACAGAATATTGTTGATTATTAAAGACCGTCACACAAAAAAAGCATTGCCGTAAGTATCACTAGCTTTATCCTAGATTTGCTTCTATCGGCAAAAAAAACTGTATGCTGTATTGTCTGTAAACTTTTTTTTTGAATTTGTGAAAAGATTTTTGGCTTTTACTTTATTAAGGCATCTATAACCTAATTATTCTTGCAACAATTAAGCCGATGCACTGAAAATGTTTGATTTGAGGATATTTTAAATGCTAAGACCTCAAAAACTAAGGTATTTTTTTGTTACTTATTTTTTTACAAAGAGCTCACGCGTCGTTAAATTTAGATTTTTAACACAGATTTATTACTGAAAGGCGTAAAACTAATTATGAATTATCAAAATTTTATTCAGTTTCAGTCTTTTTTATTTTCATTACTTTTTCGAACAATTAATGCAAAACGTGCTATTTATTTTTCTTAAGTCCAGACAAAAAATATTTTCCAAAATACAAAATGGTTGCAACAAAAAAGGAGTATGTTGCCTTTAAAATAATTTTGAATTATGGAACTTTGCGAGTTTTTTTTATTTTTATTGAATTAATCGTTTTCACTACTATTATTTTAACCGGCTGATGTTAGTCCTAGTTTCAGATAATGGCTGATTATCATAAAATAAACTTCAAAATGGTCCGGATTTCTTTTGTTTTCGACTATATATAGCCAAATCTAATAAAATAGTCAATCATGGCAAAATTTGGACAAGACATATTACAATTACAAACATTTAAGGATGAGGGGCGGTGCACTACTATTATTTTGACCGCAGCTGTATAACTTATAATTCTCAAGCACAACGAACAGTTATTTTATATTTATACCCTGTAGTCGCAGAGTAAAAGGGTATATTGTATTCCTAGAAAAGTTACTTAATCAGGATCAACAACCAGGTCGATCTAGTCCTGCCCGTATGCCTGGCCGTCCGTATGAACGTAGAGATTGCGGAAACTATAAAAGCTAGAGATTTTGGATTTGACATGCAGATTCTAGCAATTCATAGGTAGCGCACGTCTATTTCAACGCCCTTAAATAGTAAAATCACAGTCATGCTAAACCGAGCTATAATTTTAGAAGAACCCGTAAGTAAAATAGGAAAACTTTTAATCCTGTACAAAGTACAAGTAAATGAAACTTTGAAAAGAACTAACGAGCCGAAATGCTTCAAAGCGCAGGGATAAACTGAAACATGTTAAACTAAGTAAACATAAGTCTTGTCACCTGTAATTTTACTAGGGGTCAACTTCGTTTCTGAACCCAACTTAATGTTGACAATAAATTGGAAATGTTTGGCCGGCAGAGCAGAGGCAGAGCCATTAATATCATCAACAACAATAAGCACGAAAATGGCTAGACCGACCCGCCTGTTGATGCTGTTCTTTGGGTCGGGAAATGTCTCCTTCACCTCGTTGAAAATTTTTTAATAAAACTATTAAAAGCCTTTGTGAGGGTATTAATAATGTACGTATCAGTAATAATCGTGCCGGTTCCTGATAAACAATTTTAGGTTTGTTAATTAAGTTGTAGCCCACTTGGCCAGTAAGTCAACAAGATTATTTTAAGTATTTTTTCTGCTGGTTGATTAGCAGCCAGACTGGACGGCTGAATGAGTAATGTATCACTTGAGTTCATTATAAATGAATAAAATTAAATCAGTTATTTCCAGGAATACACAATATTAGTAATAAAACAAATAGTTTTTTTTTAAATACTATTTATATATAATTTATTTAAATTATAGAATTATATATTCTGTTGGGGGAAGGTGTCGTGAGGGCAAATGTTTTCAATATTTTTGGATCATTCATTGAAATTAATCGTACATTACTGCTTAATGAAATTAAAGTGTTTATCCTTAATATGTTTAGGGCTCTATTTTGTTTCCGTTATCGTTTATCTTGGGTTGCTTGCATTAGAACTTGCACTTTTATCATCTTGAGTTTTATACACATTTAAAAAATGATTTTACAAAGTGTGTTCCGCTTTTTTTGTCTGCTTTTTAATTGCATAATTCTAAGCACTGTGTTTATTGTTGTACGTTAATATTACCAAGTTATTTTTCAATTTTTTTGTTGTTTTTTTTTTAATTTTCGTTTTTACTTCCAAGTTGCTGGATTTCTAGTCAACTTACTAATTATAAATTAAAAATTATACATTTTTCATTGTATTTTAAATGTAAACTTAGATTTATACTGAATTTTATTTTTTTGTATGATCGTTTTATTAACAGGTTTTTGTTTGTTTTAGATTTAACTTGGGGGTAATAAACAAGAACATACAAAGAAAGGTGTGTCTACAAGGCAGCGGCACGCGTCAAATTGGAAGATTCGTAGTGTTTGAAGATTTTTGCTCGGAACCTTAGGTAAACAAAAATGTACAAAAGTAAAACGAGAGTTGCCTTCGGTTAAAGGAAAAACTTAAATAGAATGTAAGCAAACTTTGCGTGCGCATTGTACGAAACTCGATGGGCGAACACAAAAAGTGAATTAAATTAACAAAAACTAAGAATAGCAGGTAATGGTAATGGTAAAATATATTATAATAGTAAAAGAACGTTTAACGAACGTAAAAAATGGGTTCAATTGTACAAAAACAAATAGTTGTGTGGGTTTCTGTTTTTCTTAATCGATAATCCCTATGCTTCTTCTTATTTCCTTTATGTTTTGCTCTTGTATTTCCTTTTTTTTTTTTTTTTTTTTTTTTTTGTTTGTTGTTTTTTTCAAATGTGTTATACGTTGCAGATGCGTAAGTATAGCGATAATTGGTAAATATGTACTACCCAAACATTCAAGTGACTTTACTAAACTTAGTAAATACCGTTAGTCGGCCTGCTTCGTGTGTTCAGTAGTAGTAGTAGTACATCATGCGCAAAACACAAATCGGCTGTCACTGCAAAATCTAAAATGTATCCGGACTCCATTCACTCTACCGCGCCGATTGCACCGCCCGCTGTTTGCCCGGCGTCGTCGTGGACGTCGCGCTTATACTGTGACCGGATCCGGGTGCGCCGATGGCCACCGTCTTGGTGCACCGGATGCAGATGTAGTCGTCGTCCGCCTTGATCTGGCTGCGAATGAGACCCACACAGTACATGTGGAACCACTCGTTGCAGCCGCCGTCGCACTGCACCCAGTCCACCTCCCGTCCGGTGGGCTTATGACAGTTCTCCGCCCGGCACTCCTCCTCGTCGTCCTCCTGCGCGGCCTGCTGAGAGCGCTGCGCGTGCTTCTTCTGCCCGCCAGTTGAGTTATTGCCGCCGGTGGCTGCTCCTGCTCCCTGCGCGCTACCCGAATTACTGTTGACATTGGTGCTGCTGCTATTACTGTTGTTCGTGCTATTGTTGTTGTTGTTGGTGGCGGCGGCGGCGGTTGTGGAGACGCGCTTGCGCTTCTTGTGCGTCGAGCCGGGTGTGGGCGTGTTGGCCGCAGATTGATTGCCGCCACCACCACCAGATCCCGTACTAGAGTTGGTGTTTCCGCCGTTGGCTTGCTTGTTCTCAGCATCTGCATCCGCTCCCGGGGTCGTGGATGCAGCCGGGGATGCCTTAGCATCGCTCTTGCGACCCGCAGCCGCCGGCCCCTTCTTGCCGGGCGTCTGCTTGGGTGTGTTCTGCTTCTTTCGCGGCACAGCCGAGTGGCCGCTAGTGTCGTTGGAGCGTCTCTTCTTGTTGCGCCCGCTGTTGCTGGCCGATGCAGTCGGGCCACCACTATTGCTGTTGCTATTGGGACTGTTTTGCACCAGCAGACTGTCATTCGAGTCCTCGGCACCGGATGTGGGCAACGGATTTGGTTGCTGCTGCCGCTGGCG